ACACAAGTGATGTCATCACATCTACCCCTCTATTTAAGGAACGAAACAGGAGGATTTCTCCACAAATCTGGCTGTCACCTGATGAGGCTAGTTGGAATTACTGGCGAAACGTCGTACTCAGATTGTAAATGTTGTGGCTTTGCTCTCCAACAAACCGGTGTGCTGTACTAATAACAAATTAACACGTTCTGTTTACATGACAAACCTTACGAATTGGCTGTGTCGGGTGTCGGCGGGTTTAGCGACAGGTATATATTTACGCGATTTAACCCCAAAAAAACCTGTATTATGGGAGGCCATGTACAGCCCTCTGTCAATACACTTCTGGAGTAGGACATCACAATGTCGTGGGGGAGTCGTAGCAGTGGTTTGGCCATACTTCGTCACTGTGCAATACTGCCTAACCATTCTCCTCTACATGGTGGTGCTCTGAACATCACAAACGGAATGTTGGGAGGGGGTAGCGTGAACCACACAATGCAAGCAGTTTCGATTTAGAGTTAGCACCTTGCAATGGTTGGGGGTAGACTCAGGTCATTACCATCTTCGGGGTCACTTAAATGAGTACCACTTTTTGGGGAAGTCCACAGTGACTGTCCTCTGAATAGACTCGCGCCGCCATGGGAATGTGGAATTTCCAAAACTGGTCTTTATAATGGGGGGGGGGGGGGGGAATTTGAATTCACAACCGCTGTTTCAGCGAAAGCAGTGAAAGTAAATTTCGATTTAAAGCTTTCGTGACTGCAGGGATTCATCTTCTTGGTTCTTTCGGTAAAGTCACGTAGAATGGAAATAAAATAATGAAATAAAATAATACAATTCTCACGACGTTTCGGCCACAACACAAGTGGCCTTCTTCAGGTGAAGAAACAGGTTTATCAAGAAGACAGAACTTGAATGAACGCTGTTAACCAAAATCCATACCCTGGCGATATGGATTTTGGTTCTCACTGAAAAAATGGTATAAAGCAGTTGTGTTTACTAGGGTCACCTCCAATTGTCTGAGCGGAACATTCATCCTAATTTTTTTCCACGGATAAGAGGAATCGTGCCACATAATGCATCCTATTATCAGCATTTAGCTGGGGATCCGTAAAATGCAACTTCAAGTACAGGAGTCTCCCCCAAGGTGGTAAGTAACTGTGCGTTCAACTTTTTGTTTATACTGGACATCTGTAAAAAAAAAAGATTTTTCAACGATAAATATTCCGACTTTGGAAAACGTTTAGTGCTCATCCTGAAATCCGCGTTCATCCACAGGTAACTGTGCGGGTGAGCGGCAATTATGTATCGGACGAACGAATGCACTGGGCGGCATCATAACGTGCAGCAGCAGAAGACCTTCGACTCTAACTCGTCACCGTAAGCGCCCTATTTACACATTCTGGAATACATTACGGTACTTTCCTTGGCCTTGGCATGCAGTAACTTTTGTGCAACATACATGCAAACATCCACCGTGGCAGTACCCAGCCGAACATGTGTATCATAAACAAGCAAGAGAGTCGTATAACATAATTTGCTCTTAATTTGAACGCAGAAGTTTGGAACGCAGCAATTCGGGGAGACCCAGCCCCATGCTCATGTGGCACTGCGAAATATAAACTCGTGGCCTGCGGGCCCAGTAGATTCCCTACTTACACACTGCAACCCGTAATGTCGCTTCTCTCCCCACGCACCACAAATGTGAGTGGGGCTGGGGCGACGCCACCTACGTAGGGGCAGGGGGGAAGAGGTTAACTACCTCGCCTGGTGTCTATAGGAGGTCGTGGGTGCAATCCCGACCCTGACGCCTGATGTATATTTGGAGTTTGCGTGTCTCCCCGTGGTCGCGTGGATTTTCTTCGGGTTCTTCGATTCCCACCTCCCACCCCCCACTTTACACATTGCGTTTCAACGTCCGTCTCGAGCAGGTGGCTGCAATACATGTCCACGTGATAAGCCACTTCGTTGAGTTATCATTTGGGATCAGGTCGCTTCTGAAAAAGAGCTACATTGCTCAATGGGCCTTACCTGGTAAAATAACAAGTTATTTCGGTAAATATATTAATTGGGAATAATTTGCCACGGCTGCGCTTTCGGCATATACTCTGTATTAGTAATTCGCCATGAACCGAATTGCCGTACTGAATGGTCCAATTTCGGAATCCACGTGGAGCGACGCCGAAAACAATGCCTCAGTCTCGATTTAAAGCTTTCGTGACTGCAAGAATTCATCTTCTTTGGTTCTTTCGGTAAAGTCACGTAGAATGAGAATAAAATAATAAATTAATAAAATAAAATAACACAATATTCTCACGACGTTTCGGCCACAACACAAGCGGCCTTCATCAGGTGAAGAGACGAGACTGTCTGGAGGACAGCGCTGGAGTGAAAAAGCCACGCTCAGATCGCGACCTTTAAGCTGTGTGAGAAGAAACAAAGCGCTTTGACAAAGGAATTAGCATTGAATTTAGCATTGAAATGGCTGAGTGATTAGCTTGTGACTGGTCACAGAAATGGCTATGTTAAAGTTAAAGGTCGCGATCTGAGCGTGGCTTTTTCACTCCAGCGCTGTCCTCCAGACAGTCTCGTCCGTTCACCTGATGAAGACCGCTTGTGTTGTGGCCGAAACGTCGTGAGAATATTATTGTGTTATTTTATTTTATCAATTTATTATTTTATTCTCATTCTACGTGGTGACTTTACCGAAAGAACCAAAGAAAATGCCTCAGTCGAGTGGCAACAACAGTGCAGAGCTGTCGCTTTGGACATTACTTTGTTTAAGCACTCTGTGCAAGCCAACCCTATCAGAAATGTCGTCTACACATCGATCAAGAAGTAATAGAAATGGACTGAAGTACAAATCCCTTCGTCTGCGAGACAAAAGTGTCGGATAGAATTGGTACAGGTGTCATCTTCTTTGGTTCTTTCGGTAAAGTCACGTAGAATGAGAATAAAACAATAAATTGATAAAATAAAATAACACAATAAAATTCTCACGACGTTTCGGCCACAACACAAGCGGCCTTCATCAGGTGAAGGGACGAGACTGTCTGGAGGACGAGACTGTCTGGACAGAAGGCCGCTTGTGTTGTGGCCGAAACGTCGTGAGAATTTTATTGTTATTTTATTTTATCAATTTATTGTTTCATTCTCATTCTACGTGACTTTACCGAAAGAACCAAAGAAGATGAATCCTTGCAGTCACGAAAGCTTTAAATCGAAATTTGGTACAGGTGTCAATGTGTATGGTGTGTTAAGAGTTTGGAAAACTCATTAGGATTTTTTTTTATTAGGGCAGGAGGCACTGAGGAGTACCATTATACACAATTCGGAAGAGTGGATAATTCACTATGTAACACGATTTTGTCCCTGGGTAGTAAGTGTTTTTTTATTGCTTATGCCTAAAAAGTACAGAAAATAGATATTATTCCCCACAAACTTTGCTTTTGTGACCAGGACTTTACGTGAAAGAATGACACAAATTCGCCCGTTTTCTCATTGAAAATAGGTAAATTTCAACATATCACTGTCCTGGTCACAAAAGCAAAGTTTGTGGGGAAATTGTGAATAATAGCCAATTTCTATACTTTTGAGGCATTAGCAATTAGAAAATAACACTTACTACCCAGGGACAAAATGTGTTTTTGTTACACTGTAATTCGGCAAGGCCAGAGCCCCACGTGTCGAATTAACAAGGGTTTACTGTATTTGTATATTTTAAGTGATTTGTTTACCTTTCCGATAATTAATTTGCACTCCTATCGTGCTTTTGTATTGTTTGTTGTAACGTTCTGACCCCGTGCCTGCGACACATATCTTTACAGCTCATCGGATTCCTCCAGTATAAATAAACATTCTTATCCCGATTTCCCCCTCCGCATTTAGAATCAACGTGCGTTTAGAGCAGTTGGCCTGAAATAAATGTCCACGTGATAAGCCACTTCGTTGATCTATCATTTGTAATAGCCAGGTTGTTTAAACACATATATAACAATGTATCGTACTTCAGTGAGCTTTAGGTGATAAAACTATAAATAACTTTTAGTTTACAACCTCTGCGCTGTCGTCTCGCTGTGCGCGGTGACTTTATACCCCCACCACCACTCCCTACCCCCCCCACCACCACCACTCCCTACCCCCCCCACCACTCCCTACCCCCCCCACCACTCCCTACCCCCCCACCACTCCCTACCCCCCCCCACCACCACTCCCTACGTAAGATGGTCGCGGGGGACGTCACGAAGCCTGCCGCCATTCTTTCCATTGTTTGTTGCTATGACATTCTGCCCACCGGCCCCGAGTGGGAAAAGAGCTTTACAGCTCATCGGATTTCTACAGTATACAACTATTCTCAGCAGTTTCACACGTAGGCTTTCGCGGTTAATATCCATGATAAAGGGGTGAGGGGGGTTGGGGTCAGATCGCGTATACATACGGACACACGAGCTCCAACCAAAAACTAAACTTTACGATGTAAAATATGTTTTTATTTTAAAACAGTTCACTTTATAATCGCGGTGTCGTCATCACGCCGCGCAACAGAGACTTTACATTTTGATTTAAAGCTTTTCGTGACTGCAGGGATTCACATTCTTGGTTCGTTCCGCTACGAACCCCACCCCGCCTTACGTAAGATGGCCGGCCTCGCGTGACGTCATGCGCGAGGAGGGGGGGGGATTGGCTCGAGCCTCGAGCGTGACGACACTCGCTCCTCGCGTGACGACACTCGCTCCTCGCGTGACGACACTCGCTCCTCGCGTGACGACACTCGCTCCTCGCGTGACGACACTCGCTCCTCGCGTGACGACACTCGCTCCTCGCGTGACGACACTCGCTCCTCGCGTGACGACACTCGCTCCTCGCGTGACGACACTCGCTCCTCGCGTGACGACACTCGCTCCTCGCGTGACGACACTCGCTCCTCGCGTGACGACACTCGCTCCTCGCGTGACGTTATGCGCGAGGGGGCTCGAATGACGTCACGCGGGCCCGGGGCCTCGCGCTATATCCATGGGGACGCCCGTCGCCATTTTGGATCGAGCGTGCGGGGTTCGTAGCGGAGAGCGCGCGGCGAGGAGAGAGGGAAGCGCGCGAGAGAGACGAGGGCCCCGCCGCCTCCGCCTTGCTCGGCCTCTCTCGCCTTCTTGTTTCTGCCTCGCAGACGCACGGAACGAGAGTCGCCGCGCAGCCGAATCCCGTGTACATAATACAGGCGACGCATATAAGCCGCGATATATTTTTTTGTACGACTTCTATATATTTTTTCCCACCACCACCCCCACCCCCTCCGTCTTTCCCTCATCGACTCCTTTTCTGTTCGCGTCGCTCAAAAGCACGCAGCAGCAGCAGCGCCACCCCCACACCCCCCTCCAGGCATTCAACTCGCCACCCACCCCGACCCGCTCGCTGCCGCCACTGCCGCCAACACTGCAACAAGATGACGAGCGTCTCCTACCACATCTCCAACCTCCTGGAGAAGATGACGTCCAGTGACAAGGATTTCAGGTTCGCGACGCGACACCCCAACAACAGCGGCGACGACGACGACAGCAAAACGACCGACGACTATCGGCAGTTAGCAGCAAATAACAACAGCGACCAATTCGTGAACAAATTTATTTATTTTTAATGTGTGTGTCCCCTACTGTACCATTACCGCGCGCAAGTGCCGTAACCGTACCGGCCTTGCGGTTATTGCATGGCGCCCGCGATAGAAAGGTAGAGTTGGGTTTTTTTTAAATTTGTTAAATCGGTGTCTTAAAGGGGCATGTGTGTTTTTGGTACGATTGCAATGGATGGACTGGATCTCTTTGGGAAATTTGGAATTTCGACTGTCGCGCCTAGGAAAGTACAGTGCAGCCATTTGACACGAACTCTGCCGGATGAAAGCCTCCAACATCGCCGTGCCGGTCGTGGGAGTCGTTTCACCAAACTGTTACACAATTTGGAGCCTAAGACCGGTCCAAAATATCACTTCGCCGCTCACGTTTGCCATGGCCAGGAATCGAACTGGATCGCTGGGTCCGTCGTTGAGCAGCGCGCTAACCACTGCGCCACCGCTCTACCCCCATTACCTCGGGCCCGTCATAGGATTGTGGAATATAAAACATCGATGTTTGAATGGTACGAATGCAAGGCCACTGGTAAGGGCAGCGTGCTTATGGAAGGCCTGCGTCCGTCCATAGACACGTGGATAGAATACAACTGCCGCATAGCTTAAGCGCTCGGCCATTGAGAGCCGTGAGCTATACTTGTGGAGCAGTGTGTAATTTCTACCGCAGACACAGGACACTGCTGATGCTCGGCGTCCGTGTGACGACGGTGTTGTTTATCGATAAAAACTGATCCCCGGCATAGGACGCTGTATGTTATGTAATTGCCATAATCACGACAGCGTATGTTATCGCATTCCGTGTTATCCCGGAGGAATCCGATGAGCTAAGGAGCTCTTTTACACAGACGTCTCCAGTAGAGACGGGTCAGGTATTTGGGATGCCTCGCTAATATTGTTGAAGGTGCGCTGTTGACATATAACCCTTGTGGAGTACAGTGTGTTTTATACTGCGTGTTAGTTCAGTGGCCGGCGTATGGATAACCTGGCCCCCTCACCAAAGAAGTCTACTTTCCACCGCTGGCCCGTGGCCAAGGATGGAGATTTACACTGCTGCTGTCGGTGCTTGCTTTGTCTTTCCTGATTACAGTGCGTTTACAATATTGTGCACGAATGCAATCGTGGTTTGCCTGTCGATAAAACAGCCTCCGTCATAGCAATGTGGAATTTCCACTTGCACCAGGGCCGATGCATCAGATCATCAATCTCCCCAATGCTCGTTTTAGCAGAAAGACAGTGACTTTAGTTTTAGTATATTGCTTATCATATACTTTACGTACACAATTGTACTTGCTTTATGGGGAGACTGGTTCTGCCACAGAAACGTGGAAATTCCATTTTCTAATCCTGATACGAGTGCCAGCCCATGCGCGCCTGGTTTTAGGGACACTGAAGTTTGTGTTTTCTAAATAGGCCATTATTGTATATGTGTGCTCAATCTAAACATATAGTCGTCCGTGAATGAGTGACATGTGAATTTTAATGGGCTTCTAAAATTCTTAAGCTGAAATGCAGTACAGATACAAGACAATCTGAAAACCAAACTTTTAAATTGTGGGTGCCCAAAAAGCGACAGACCAAATGCTGGCAGGGGTTCATTCACGGTGCAAGGGTCAGCCTAGAAATGTAAATTAATTTAAATATCGTGCTACGCGTGTATTAATATACGAACCCCATCGGTGAATCAAGTAGTTTGCCTTCATTGGAATGTGATAAAAAAGCTGATGAATTCGATTATTCCTACGATCATTTATTAGTACTATGCAATTATATACATCGGATGTCACAGTTATCTGCGGAAATTCCATATTCTCATGGAGTGTGCCAATCTATCCGTATGGACATCATTAAATGTGTCGCTTATGCTATAGAATTTCAACCCAACAACCCAAATACTGTATAGGGTATTGCACCGTGTTTCTAAAACATGCGTGAATCCGCAGACTGCAATAAAACAGTGGCACTCATAATGGATCATTGCAAGGTCCTTAAATATATATTGGCTGCTACCCACCTCAATGTTTGCTGTGATCCGTGGGTCAAGTACCATTGTGATTTGGCTACAGTTGGCCATGTTTAATGTACAGCTCCAATTAGCTTTCCATTCGCATTGGTCGATCATTGAGGACTTAATAAATTCCATTACGCAATGTGATCTTTTATGTGAATGGCTATAATCGGGGGGTTTGCAATTCTTGGTAGTTTTGGCCAGTGCATATTGTCTGCGCTGAGTGTTGACAAGTGCTCATATTGAGCAACGCTGTTCCAATATCTCCATAAGCAGACTGTTCTTAAAAGTAGTTGGTGCTCTACTGTACTTCTAAGCATCCCTATAGCCTACTGACCACAGGAAATAAATTAATTAAAAAATGCCTAGAGACCTGGGGGGGATAATGCAGCGTCGCATCAACCTCCAATTAATATTTCCACTGCCTTGTGGATACTACCCTTGTCAGAGTAATGCATTGCTTTAAAATATATATATGAAGTCAGTAGCCTCTTCTGTCCTCAACGCTGCTGCTGCTGTATATGAAAGTAGGTCAAATCTTTTTCAGTGGAAGTGTTGTCTCTGTGGGCCTGTCACCTGCTCAAGGTAAAGGATCTGCTGACTCAACCACTGTTCTGTTCAACAATGATAGCCACTTCATATATATTTGCTGTATTGGATGCAGCCTGTTTTCTAAAAGGTTGCTTTCTGTAATTGTATTATGAGGGTAACTTTTAATTTTTTTACGATTCTAAACTTGAAGTTTAGTCGTGTAATTAAATTGTTTGTTTCACATTAGAAGTTAATTTGCCTGTGCATTTATCTTTTTCATCTCCTTCTAGTTGTGCATCTTGTATTTTGTAATCTCCTACGGGTCTGCCTTGCAAAAGACACGCTCTACCAGTGGCCCTTATTTTCACGAGTGGCGCTCCTTTCTGTCATGCTTGTATTTTGCTGAAAATGTAAACTACATTTAATTATTCACTGTATTTTCTACACTTGATCTACAGCTGTCATTTATATATAATTTATTTTTATATGATTAATCTAGTCAGTTATAATAAATTGTAAACTCTTATCTGGAGATACATTGGTTAACATATCACAATTAATGAGCAACTCAATTGGTTAGGATTGCTCAGTTTTAATCAGCTACATCACACTCTGTGTGCATATCATTTTTAAGTGTAAGTATAAATTTGTTGGAGCAGAGAACTCCATTCGCAGTATACTGATGCAATGTACTGATCCAAGCCGCAATTCTCACTGACAGCTGTGGTTGAATTGATTGCAAAGTATTTTTTTACCTTCATAACTTTTTGTAACATTGAACTATGAAATCTGATTATTTATTTATACTGGAGGAATCTGAGTTATAAAGCTTTTTTCACAGATGTCCAGTAAGGGCGGGTAACAACATTACAACAACAAACAGTACAAAAGCATGATTGTCACGCAAAGTTCAAGAAATGAATTATTGCATGGGACAGTCTGAAAATGCTCTAATTTCCATGCTATTGTGTTATTCTACCTGAATTTTTCACTCTAGCAATAAACCAATGAACATCAACACGTTACAATTTCTTGGCAACCTACAGAGTATATAATATGGTCATTTGGTTTTGTTTCTGAATAGTCAAGCATGTCTGAGGATTTTTTTGCGGAGGAATTTGTTTTGCATAGTTTTGTTCTAATTACAAAAAATGTATCACCTAGCCTAGTCATGCCTCATTTAGCATATTTTTAACCACAACATTACCATATTCTTTCACAGATGGTGAACAGCATCATGCACTGCACATAAATTAATGCTGGAAAATTAGGAACCGCCCTTGTAAAGAGAAGTGTAATGTTTGGCGTTGCGTAAATTTTTTTGTCTGTCGCAGGTTCATGGCGACGAATGACCTGATGTCGGAGCTGCAGAAGGACTCGATCAAACTGGACGATGACAGTGAGCGCAAGGTGGTAAAAATGCTCCTCAAGCTGCTGGAGGACAAGAATGGCGAGGTGCAGAACCTGGCCGTGAAATGGTACGAACTGTGCTGCCACTTGTTTTAAAATAGGAAAACGATATTTCACCACATCCACTATAACAGGATGCTGCCATGGTGTTTGGGTGAGCACTGGACTTGCAATCCAGAGGACGCCGGTTTGATTCACTCTTTTGGTACGGCAGTCGATATAATGGGCAAGTTTCTTAAATCCCCCCCCCCCACCATCTCTGTCTACCCTGTAGTATAAATGGGTAAACCGCAGTCGATCAACAGATGACGTGTGGTGGGGTAGAGTGTGCACTCTCCATTTCTCGTAAGACGTCTGGTGAGCGTGAAAGATTAAGACAAGAATACCCTTTAGTGGGGCCCTCTAGAGCTCCTTGGAGTTCTCTAAAGCCGTTCCGCTAGCATTGTCATCAGTTGCAAATCTGCACCCTTACCACTGTAGCATTGGATGGCCGATGCATAATTGTTAATAATAATCATGACCAGTGGTGCCAACATTTCTAATTAAGTCAATCGTGCTCTCCCTGTCGATGGGTGTCGTGTGCTTTTTAGCCTCGGCCCGTTGGTAAGCAAGGTGAAGGAGTACCAAGTGGAGACCATCGTGGACACCCTCTGCTCCAACATGCTGTCTGACAAGGAGCAGCTGAGGGACATCTCCAGCATTGGCCTCAAGACTGTCATTAGTGAGCTTCCTCCGGCCTCCAGCGGTGGGTCACGTAATAGCCGTGAATATAGATACATGTAAGCAATTCTGAAAAATAATCTCGACATTCAGCCAATGCTTTTCTGGAAAAATAATGTATTCTATTTTAAGTGAGATCATTTTAATATGCTCGCTAAATACATTTTGGCCAGTCTTTATCTGTTAAAATGTATGATCATGTGTTCCACAATATTGTATCTACATGTGTGTATATCTTGGTGAGCGGTGGTGCAATGGTTAGCTCACTGTCCTGCAAACCGAGTTGGATTCCCACTCAAGGCCAAAAACGGTGGTGAATATCTGAACTGATCCAGGGTCTCCCCTTGGTCGACTCAGCCTCAAATGAGTACCTGGTGCAATGTGTAAACAACTGCACGAGGGAGTCGAAGGCGACTCCCTCGTGCAGTTGGGTGTGGTTCTGGCAACCACCAACTCCTTCGCGTGCCGTGCTTGCCTTGTTGGATTCTCACTAACAGCACTTTCCCCAATAGCCTGTAATACCAATTACCATTGTCTTTTTTTTGCGCATGTGTAGGGTCCAGCTTGGCAGCCAATGTGTGCAAGAAGATCACAGGGCGGCTGACGAGCGCTATCGGCAAGCAGGAGGATGTCCCGGTGCAGCTGGAGGCTCTAGACATCATGGGAGACATGCTGAGCAGGTGCCGAAGCCTTTCCCAGTGCATCTCTAACGAAGCAGACTAAATGTCTTCCAGCACTGGCTGTGGCTTTGGCATTGTATGTTGCAGGAGGCAATCGTTGCGAAGATAGTGTAATGCCCTTAGTCAATCCACTGCAGGATGAAGGCCTCACGTTGGGGGTTATTTGATCATATTTAATCACACTGGTTGGTATGCAGCTTTCACACTATTTGGCATGTTTGTAATCCCTGCAAGCATTATCCAGGCTAAATCTTGCTTAGCGTCTGAAAACTGATGAGATCGGGTGCATTTGGGTGATTTGGTCATAGCCACTACTGAAACAATTATTTTTGTTTGCGTTCAAGATGTATGACCGATTAAACCTAATTATTTAAGGGTCACTAGGCCAGCTCTGAAGCAAATATAGTTTTAGAGTGACTAAAAATAAGAATTGAATAGTAGCATGTTCTTGGCAGCACTGATTGGCAACCATCCACAAGGTGGGAATCTGAGATTTATTCTTGGTAAAATGAGCCTTGATGGTCAAAAGTAACACTTGTTTAGCTTCATAACTATGTAACACAATTTTTGTTTCTGGATATTAAGTGTTATTTCGTAATTGCTTATGCCTAAAAAGTATAGAAAATGGATATTATTCCCCACAAACTTTTATTTTGTGACCAGGACAGTGATATTTAGAAATGTACCTATTTTCAATGAGAAAACAGGTGATTTTGTCTCTTCGTTCACATAAAGTCAGAAAAAAAACAACATGAATCAAAATTTACATGTATTTATACGAAAGTAATACAAAAGTGACTACAAAAGATTTAGAAGCGAGTCGTTTTTCGAGATTTACGATGATACTGTAAATCACTTTCACGAATCAGCCCCCAAATGTCTCACATCATGTTCTCCTTATACTGTCCTTGGTAGCAGCGTTCAAAGTCCGGTATATCCTGGTGGAAGCGCTCGCCTTGCTCCTCCGAGTACGTTCCCATGTTGTCCTTGAATTTATCAAGACGAGCATCAAGGATATGGAGTTTGAGGGACATCCTACAGCCCATTGTGCTGTAGTTCTTCACCAGTCACAACCAGCTCCACATAGTTTTCGACCTTGTGATTGGCCAGGAAGCCCCAAACCACTGCAACAAAGCTGTTCCAAACTGCTTTCTCCTCACTAGTGAGCTTCTTTGGGAATTAATTGCACTCCAGGATCTTCTTTATCTGTGGTCCGACGAAGACACCGGCTTTGTCCTTTGCCTCAGACAGCTTAGGGAAGAAAGTCTTGAAGGTACTTGAAGGCTGCCGTCTCCTTATCTACACCTCTGACAAATTGTTTCATTAGGCCCAATTTGATGTGCAGTGGTGGCATCAGCACCTTCTGGGGGTCCACCAGTGGCTCCCACTTGCCGTTGTTCCTCCCCACAGAGAACTCGGTCTGCTGTGGCCAGTCCCGCCTGTGGTAGTGCGCCTTGGTGTCCCTGCTGTCCCAAAGGCAAAGATAGCAGGGAAACTTGGTAAAACCGCCTTGGAGACCCATCAGGAATGCCATCATTTTGAAGTCTCCGATGACCTCCCAGCCATACTCATCATACTTCAAGGCATCCAGCAAGGTCTTGATGCTGTTATAATCCTCTTTGAGGTGCACCGAGTGAGCCAGGGGAAGAGACTGGTACTGGTTACCATTATGGAGCAGCACGGCTTTGAGGCCCTTGGATGAGCTGTCAATGAAGAGGCGCCACTCATTCTGGTTACAGGCGATTCCATTTGCATCTAACAGACTGGTCACATTGTGGCAGAAGCAGAGCCCATCTTGACGGGTGAGGAAGCTGCAAAAAGGTTGGTGATGCTTCCTCTGATCTGCGACTTGCACACTTTCATCCAACAAGTTCCACTGCTTTAGCCTAGACGTCAAAAGCTCGGCATTGGACTTGGTGAGACCAAGATCTCTGATCAAGTCGTTGAGGTTTTTTGGTCGGGGTAGTATGGGTTTCTCTCCTCAGCTCCACCTCTGAAATTGTCATCTGGATCTACAATGTCTTCCTTGCTCTCTGACTTGCTGCTTTCTTCTAAAGACGGCTGCTCTCTCTCCGGAGGAGTGGGTACGGGGATCTCATGGTAGTGTGGCACCGCGGCGATGAAGGAAGGTCCGGATACGTGATAGCATGTGCATTCTTGCCAGTCCGACGTTTGGAAAGGTCCACCATGCAGAAGTAGCAGTTGCTTGAGTGGTCAGTGGGTTCCTGCCAAATTCTTTGGAAAGGGAACTTCATGGCTTTCTTTTCCCCTCTGTACCATCCTACAAAAATACATTTATTTCACCCATGACTAATGTGTAAGAGATTCCCGCAACATTTTTCATACATGATATATTTTTTCAATAGCATTGAACATTGTAAAACATGTTTAAATAAAAAACTTTTTTTTTACAAATTTAATAACATCAAATTCCAAGCAACAATTGTACATCTTACCTTCCAGAGTTGTTTGCATTGCTCGCAGGTGAAATGAGGTGCCCAAGGTTTGTCTTGATCCCTGACAGGCATGCCTAAATATGCCTTGTAGGCCTCGCACATCTTAGCAGATGCTTCCACAGAGTACTTTTTCGCTCTTGTCTTGATAAATTGGCCGCAGACATAGCAAAATGCGTCTGCCGGATGCTTGCAGCCTCTTGATGCCATCTCAGAAAAATTCAGATATGTATCCACTTAGGCAGCTGGAACTCAACTGAACTGATGGGCTTATTAAGGCCCCTGTATGTATACTATTTATATTACTGTAAAGTTCTAGAATGTTCTAGAAGTTACTCCAAGTTTACTTGGCACTGAATCTATCTGGAATGTTCTAGAAAATAGGTACATTTCAAAATATCACTGTCCTGGTCACAAAAGCAAAGTTTGTGGGGAAGAATAGCCATTTTCTGTACTTGTGAGGCATAAGCAATTAGGAAATAACACTTACTACCCAGCAACAAAAACATTTGTTACACAGTAGCTTATAACAACATGTCTTCCCACATTTGTCGATAATAGTATGCCTCTTGTATTGAGCTTGAACCGGTGGATGTCACGATACCAGTTATTGCCAATTCCCCACACACGTTGCACTGGCTGGGAATGTTTTTACATTTTGTGTGTGTGCCTGGTGTGGCGGAGCGTAGACTGGGCGGCCTGCTGGTGAGCTTCCACCAGTCGATCCTCGCCTGCCTGCTGCCACAGCTGACGAGCCCCCGGCTGGCGGTGCGCAAGCGGGCCATCATCGCCCTCGGCCACCTGGTGATGGTGTGCAGCCACGGCCTGTTCGCCGAGCTCACCGAGCACCTGCTGGCCGAACTGGCGCGCAACGAGTCGACGTCCACCACGCGCACCTACATCCAGTGCATCGCTGCCATCAGTCGACAGGCAGGCCACAGAGTTGGTACGAAACCGGGGGGAAATCTGGTCCAACCAAGCGGTGCTCCTGATGTACGGCTCGGGTGATTTGTGTGTTCGGCTATGCCGCCAACAGGTCAGGGTTCGCCGTGCTCGAAACGGTCGGCGCTGTCGAGCGTTGTTGCGTGGCTTTTGCCGGCCTTTGCGGCTTGCCCGGGCTTGAAGGGAATTTTCACGAGGCTTCGGTGTGTGTGGTGAAGCGGAGCAGATGAGATCACGTCGTGCATGTCGACCCTGACTTGCTTTCACCCGGACATCAATGCTTGACCTGACAATAGCGCCGACACAGTAATTTAATCTACATGCAATGATTCTTTGGAATGAGCTGACATTTTGACCGCTTTAGCTAGAGACCCATGTAGTCAATCTTTAGCTTATAAGCAGCCATGATATCCACTGCTGGATAAAGGTCTCTGCAAATCATCGCAATCTGTGGTGGTCTTGCAATGCAACAATTCAAATAGCTCCTGCCCACCAAATAATTGTATTGCTCCATCTCAAACGTGAACGTACTCTCAGGTGTGTTCCCTTATTTGGCTGCCACTGTTGTATCACATTGAGTACAAAAATGGAACCATTAACAAATCCAGTCACAACACAAGCGTGGAGTAAAGGTTCAAAGACTACCAACTCGAAATCAGTGCGTACTATTTTTGTGTGCAGGAGAGCACCTGGAGAAGATCACTCCTCTCATTGTGAAGTTCTGCAAGGTGGAGGATGATGAGCTGAGGGAGTATTGCATCCAGGCCTTCGAGTCATTCGTGCGAAGGTGAGATGGTTGGGTTGTCTTTATCGTCCACGGGTTCTAAACCTGTAATGAGTCAGCGAGCTTTTGCATTGTCAAGATTCAGGGTCGCAATTTGATTTTAGAATCAATTTTCCTGTCTCCTTTTGATCATCTCTTGCTATTGCTTCTCTTTTTTATTGACTTGTGTTTATATTTTTGTTCTCCATTAACCTTACAGTACCATATAATTTTCATCCTCCAATCTATCTCCCATAAACCGGCCTAATTATGTGGTTGCTAGGGAACCATTTTGGCAACTTTGGTCATTATCCCTCTTCCTTTTCTGGTCATCAACCTCACGGATTAGATGCTTGTCTGCGATGTTCCGAATCCAAATCTTCTGGGGGTACCCTCGTTCTAGTCTGCTCATTGGTGCCATGTAGGATGGTTTTCATTAGTTTGCTGGATCCCTTTTTGTGCCGAAACAATTGCAGTTTTCTTTAATCGTGGCTAGAAGTCATATTTAGTTTTGGTGGTAAAATCCTATAAGTTCTTTATATTCATAATAACTTTTAAAAGACTTTGAAGGTGAACACAATTTTCACATCATTGCCATAATTTATAATTAATCAAAACCGACACGCACAATTTTCACGCATTCAGTTTTCAGTTTATTTATTTTGGTACAGCCCTGTGAGCCATTCGGCTCTTGAATCGGCTGCAACCACAACAAACACAAAAACAAAAACACGAACAAGAAAACATCTTAAAGTGACTATGTGACTGTGCAAACAGAAAATCCATGAAAAAACAGCAAAATATTCCTGAAAAAAAGCACCGTACACCAACGCTGTGTGCAAAAAATCCCAGTGGGATGCAAGTCAAAACAACAACAACCACAAGAAAACTTAGATTAAGGCCATCAGTCTAACTCCGTACTACAACAAAACAAACATGTCCAAACTAAAAAAGTTTTCGAAATCGCCAAAAAATAAAGCCATAATTTCAACGTAACAGTGATCATGTAACGTAACAGTGATCATGTCAAGTCGGAAGATGCTTGACGTCCTTAAAGAAGACTTTACTAAAATAAGGAACGTTGCCTAGAATGTTGCAATGATTGCATTTACCGTATTCTCCGGATGAGAAGACACTCCGGATAAACAAAACGGAGACGCATGGGTCACGAGTGTAGAATCGGTTTGAATGGTTGTCACCACGCCGGCTGGGGATCGTGAAGGTTGATGGTGCGCACGTTTAAATTCCTCTTCGTGTGTCCCACCTCGCCTGGCACCAGGTGCCCCAAGGAGGTGTCTCCCCATGTGCCGGTCATCATCGAACTCTGCCTCAAGTACCTGACCTACGACCCGAACTACAACTACGATGAGGACGATGAGAACGCCATGGAGTCTGAGGGGGCGGATGAGGAGGAGGATCAGGGTAAGGTGCAAGAGAAAGATTTAAATTCACTCGTGATGGTTCATTTGGGGCCAGGCTGGAGTTTTAGGTTAACAACCAATTTAATCAAAGTTCACCTGTAAATGAGTTGTCATAAAAACACCACACTCGATCTGCCTTTTAAGAATTCACTTTTCTGCCCATGTGTTTTTTAATTTGTATACTTCCTTTTAACAGAACTGTACGTATGTATTTCTCTTAAATTGCGGAGGGTAAACAAATGGGAGGGATGGGGGGGGGTGAGTGGTTTTGTAGCCATCACACTGCACTCTAAACCAATTGACCTCAGTTCAGTTGCTGGGTCCAGTTGACATCAGTGGCAAGTGATTATCTGAACTGGTCCTGGGATTCGTCCTTCAACTTGTGGTGAGCAGTGTGAAGTATGGTTAAATCAACCCCCAATGATTGAAAGGGCATGGGGTAGGCCTTAATACAGTAATGGATTGACAAAGAGCTGTGCATGTGTTTTTTATGAATTCTATATTTTAAGTTAAGCAACTGCTATAATTAGGTGCTAATTTGTTGAAATGCATTATTAATTAAATGCAGACAGGAACTGAACATCTGTTTCCACCTAAGTGGGGCACTACTTCTGCAAGCAAAGCTGCTGCAAGACAGTTGAGTATACCACTGATACAATGCAGTTAGCAACATTTTAGAATAATAAAGCATCTTTATGTGACAGCATTTATATACGCTGCACGAATGTCATTTGGCGACAATAATGATGCTTTTTTATTTTAGAAGAAAACAGCTTTTAAAATGTATTTAGCATCCGAATGCAACCACATATCAAGCCGCCTTGCAATGGTGAAGGGCTTCACTTTTGGTACAAGGCGGTTGGGAGGTGGGAGTTGCGGTGGGAAAACATGGAGAGAGGGCGTCACTAACTCAAGAATCTTGACCAATCTTATGAATAACTGGCATGTGGAAGGAAACCAGAGTACCAATAGAAAACGTGCACGAAGAATTAAAAATCAACGCTCTGAATGGACACTCTTTTTATTCTATTTATATCGCCCGGCCCTCTGATATACTGGCAATGGCTTGTGACAATTCTTGCTGGTTTTTTTGGTTATTTCAGAAAGCGAAGACGAGTATAGCGATGACGACGACATGAGCTGGAAGGTGCGACGCGCGGCTGCCAAGTGCCTGGACGCGGTGCTGAGCACGCGGCATGAGATGCTGCCCGAGTTCTACCGCACGGTGTCGCCGGCGCTCATCGCTCGCTTCAAGGAGCGCGAGGAGAACGTGAAGGCGGACATCTTCCACGCGTTCCTCTCCCTGCTGAAGCAGACGAGGCCCGTGCAGGGCTGGCTCAACGACCCCGACGCCATGGACCAAAGCGACACTCCACTCACCATGCTGCAGAACCAGGTCCTGTGAGAACCCCCTCTGCCCTCGTATACACCTCAGTAGCTTGTATACACCTCCGTTTCACTTTGACTGAGCTGTACAGAACCAGGCCAGCACAGCTTAAGAGGCACCAGTTTGATTATCTATCGACTACAGAACTTGAGCAGTGCCTTCATTGTGTCACAGCGGTCGCGGGATGTTAACTCCCTCGCCCTGATATACAGGAGGGTTGCGAGTTTGATCCTGACCCTGACGCCAGTATATTTGGAGTTTGTGTGTTCTCCCTGTAGGTCACATGGATTTTTTTCCAGGCCCTCCGGCTTTTTCCTCCACATTTAGAAACATGCTTTTCGAGCATTTAGCTGTTTCAATTTCCACGCAATAAGCTACTTCGTTGAGCTATCATGTGTGGTCTGGTCGCTTCTGAAAAGACCTGTAGAGCTCAGTGGTCCTTACCTGTGAAGAGGAGTCGGAGAATAGTTTAAGCAACACTCTTTCCCTTACACCTGTCTAGAATAAAAATCGTAGTAGTAGTCCACGCAATTGTAGTCTCTACACAATGAACGATTTGGACACATAGGTGACGTTGTCATGCTATGCTTGAATTATATTGGTTGACATCGCATGCACTCCCATATGTTTTGATACAACATGTACTGGAGTGCTATGAAGAGGTGACCGATCGTTTTTTTCACAAAAATGCTGAAAATATTGGAAAAGTTCAACATACGTACATCAGTTTTTTATTGTGTTTTTATTATGAATAACATGAGCATATTACTAAACGGTGCATGTTTGTGTTTGAGTGGTCTTAATTTCCCCTTTTGGCAAGCAACATGGTTGATCAATGACAGTTAAGTGGTAGGCGGCTCAGTCTGTTGGTATGGTTACCTATGAAGTATAACCCTTTATTTGTCTGCACTATGTCCGAAGTGCAATGCTAAAATTGTCTGAAATTGATGCTCTATAACAATGTACACGAGTATAACACGTCGCTAGAAAGTTTGATTTCCGGTGGTCGAGGATAACGAAGCGGCAGCCAAAAAACAGTATTCACCCGAGAGGATGTCCAACGCAGAGATGGAGTGATGAAATCCGCTTATGTGCAGGTGGCAGATGGTTTTCTAAATAATCGCAGGAATGTGAGATGGCGGCGGGTTGGGAAGACCTTCATCCTGGCAAAAGTAGTTTGATTCTCGCTGACGATGCTGCTCGGTAAAACCCCAGCCTTTGCCCCTTGGGGAGTTGACGTTGTTGGCGCTCCTTAACGGCCCGCGCGTTGTTCCCGCTGTAGGTGCCCAACATAGTAAAGGCGCTGCACAAGCAGCTGAAGGAGAAGAGCGTGAAGACGAGACAGGGCTGCTTCAACCTGCTCACCGAGCTGGTGAACGTGCTTCCAGGGGCCCTGGCCGACCACGTGCCCGCGCTTGTGCCAGGTAAACACGTGTGTGCGCTGGCTTGGCACAACCCTGCTGTGAGCCGCATGCAATTCTCTATTCCAGTATGGTAACCCTTTCCCGTTGCAATTACATACATTTACCTGATCAGAAGTAAAAGGCCATGCGGGAAGGCATTTGGCGCATTTTGGCGCCAGCTATCATAGAATGCGGTCGTGTCGCTACAATTCTCTGAGGAGAGTACAGTACAATGCCTTTAAAAAACAGCAACGCTACGCCTCTAAATATAATTAACGATGAACCGCTTGCGCGTTCCGAGATGCAGCGGTGAACGGGACACCACCCTGCAACTTGCAGACGTCTCGGAAGGGGGCGGTTAATAATGCGTTTTACAGTGTCACTTGGTAATCACGGCATCCGCATGCTTTTGAGCCTTCTTGTTGGCTTTCAGAGCTCAATGTAAAGTATTTTCTTTCTGTCAAATGAATCGCAGTACTTTCATGATGTGCTTGCTGGGGATATTTGGCCAGTTCCTTATTCCATACGTTCATACGTGAACTCCATTTGTAACTATGTGTTAGCCCATTGAAGTAAGTCTCATGTGTAGGTTCTCATTTACTAAATGTCTTTACTCCCACATAAATATACTGTATTTATCAAGCCATTTTTTTCATCTCAACTATCTCTTTAAAGTTTCATTCCACAGATTCGATTACTTATTGGAAGCAGTATAATTACGGTGAAAATTCACAATGCAGGCAAGCATAGCAACAATAACCAGGTTATTGTAGGTTGCTAGGTGTCTTGAGGCACCGGCATTCTGCATATTGTGTGTCCCATCAGACCAGTTAACTGTTACGATTTGTCGGTGGCGCGTGACAGGCATTGTGTTCTCGCTGAGTGACAAGTCGAGCTCGTCCAACATGAAGATCGATACGCTGGCATTTGTGCACACGCTGCTGTGCCATCACCCACCCGAGGTGTTCCACCCCCATGTCAAGGTATCCATGTCCTCTTGCTTGCCCACCTTGGCACACTCACGCTTTTGTATAGTCTGCCAACGCAACCGGGAACCGCACGCTGCACACAGTCCTGGATGTCTGTGCCACACCAAAACTCTTTTATCAGCCTCGTTTCTTTGTGTATGATGAGTATAAGAGTTTGTGTTTGATTATGGATTCATAATGTTTTTTTATAAATTGTTGTGTCAGCCTTGTGGCAGGTTTTTTAATATTGATGAAGACGGGCCCAAAACACCAAGCCGAGAGGCATGGTGTCGCACGCCTGTGGTTTAGCGCTTTACATGGAGGATTGTTAGATCGCATTCATGTTTAAAACTCAATCCTAGAGTGAGGTGGCGAGGAGTTAGTAGTACAGAAAGTGGGTAAAAAAAAACTATGCAGACCTTTTGAGTGTTATTCATCTATATGTGAGTTTTCTCCAAGTACTCCAGTTACTTACATATGCATAGCAGCTGCAATAACCTTAGGAAGGAATAGGCCAAACATCACAAGGCAGGATCCTACGGAAAAGGTTTTGAGACTAAGTGCAATGTCCATGGGGAAAAATAAGCAATTGCTTTCTTAAAACTAGGTCATTGCAATTTTTTATTAAAAATTCTTTGATATTGATTTTGTGTTTTTTTTACAACTGTTATTGATTGACACAATTGGTTTTGTTCCATAAGGTGCTGGTGCCGGCTGTGGTTGGATGCGTGGGTGACCCCTTTTACAAGATCACTTCAGAAGCCCTGCTGGTCACACAGCAGCTTGTGAAGGTGTGAGATTACTCCTCCCGTCAGCGCTGTTGGTCACACATCGCCTAATGACTACGTTTGCCTCTGCTGAGGTTACATCATTAAAGCATAAGTCTGAGATCTCATACCCTTAATGGAGGGGCTTTGTGCAACAATGACGATGGTGATTAATGTGTCATTCACATGAGTGAATAGTGTACGCATGCTGTTTGTGTGATTGACTTTTGTTACATTTGTGTACGTGGGGTTGTTTAGGTTATCCGGCCATTAGATCCTTTGACCAGGCCCGTGAAGGCTCCAGTGTTTGACCCAAAACCATACATACGAGACATCTTCACCTGCACACAGAAGAGACTGAAGGTAAGATTTTGTTGAAACAACACTGGTTATTTTCGTGAAGACCCAATGTCAGCCCATTTACAGCTTATACTGTTATCTATATAAATAAAGAACTTGTACTGTATATCTCAAAAACCTCTATGGTACTTCCCGACAAGGTAGAAAGCTGAAATTTGGCACATGGGTAACTTTTAGGACACAAACAACAGGAAATATCTGAAAATCTGATATTTTTCATTTTAAGGCTCCCAAATCTTGATTTTAAGTGCCCGGTAAATATGTTTGTGCGTGTCGTTCAGAAATCGTTAAAAATACAAAATTGCGAGTTTTTTCGTTTGATAGAACGTTAAACAGAAAATAAAATTAAGGCGACAACTATCCTATCTTTTTTTGTTTTTGAGACTTCCAATGCAAGCAGTTTTGAAGGAAAAATTACGCATTTTATGGTGTTGAAATATTAATAATTCGAAAACGGTAAAAGATAGGAGCTTCCCCTCAAGCCTATGTGTTAAACTCCTCTCAGAGTATTACGTTCATTATGTTTTGTTCTTTCTACTAAAAAAGAACGGAAACTTTAAATTTAGTGGTTTCCAATGGGGCACGTCTTTAAATATATAAGAAGCTGAATCAAGTCGTCAATAATGTGTGTGTTTTTTATGCAGAAAAATACACATTTTTGGACTAGTTAGTGTCTGATTGTACATAAAAATATAAAATCATATCAGGTTCATTATTATATTTATTGAAAACTTTTGTTTGGCGAAGACGGGCTTCATGAACTAGTACGTGATGTTTTGCTTAACAAGGAAAATAAGCGCCATTAAACTCAGCAAAAACCACAAGTCATTTCTGGAACGCATGATCCAGTGCCTCCAGAAGTTCTGTACGGTACTAACTAGGATTGCCAAATTAACATTGGTTTGCATGCTGTTCAATTGTTGAGCTTCGGAAGTGCAATTTCCAGTGTCTTAATTTAAAACATTTGGCATGCCCATCCATCAATATTATTTAAAACAATATTATTTAAAACATTTGGCATGCCCATCCATCAATATTATTTTGGAACACCGTATATCCATCCACGTCACTGCAAGGAGGCACTATAATGAGCATTGGTTCTTGCTTTAGTAATATCTACACTACCATCTCGATAAGATTATGCTCGTGCATTAGTGTAGCTCTTGTGATATCAAAGGTCCTCCCTGATGCGCAGCAAAAACAAACACAAACCTCTTTACCCCCTCCGCTTTCGCTGCCTGCCCGCCCGCAGGCGGCCGACATCGACCAGGAGGTGAAGGAGCGCGCCATCGCGTGCATGGGTCAGATCATCTGCAACCTGGGCGATGGGCTGGGTGCCGAGCTCGCCGCTACGCTGCACATCTTCCTGGAGCGCCTCAAGAACGAGATCACTCGGCTAACCACGGTGAAGGCACTCACGCTCGTCGCGAGCTCCCCTCTGCGGCCGGACCTGCGGCCCGTGCTCGCCGAGGGCGTGCCCATCCTCGCGTCGTTCCTACGCAAGAACCAGCGCGCGCTCAAGCTGGCGACGTTGTCGGCGCTCGATGCGCTCATCCGCCACTACAGCGACTCGCTGACGGCACCCATGGTGGAGGCAGTACTGCAGGAGCTGCCGCCGCTCATCAGCGAGGGTGACATGCACGTGTCGCAGCTCGCGGTGGGCTTCCTCACGACGCTGGCGCGCGTCTACCCCGCCGTGCTCACCAAAGTCAGCGGCGCCGTGCTCAACCAGGTCTGTGAGGCGACGTGAGCTTTTTGAAGTTGTCGGTGTGGAATTTGGGCTCAAGAAATGTTTAAATGTCGCTGGTGAGCCGGCACCTTAAAGGAGGAGCCCTCTGAGCAGCGACCGGAGGGCTCGTCGGTGTGAGTTGATGGTCTCATCCCCTACGCTTAGTTTGGCTCAGTTCAAGCTTTGAGGATTATTACTGGTAGGAACCTCTGGTTACACCAGCCCACAGGGGATTATTGTGTCCGTCCGTGTGGGTGGGGGGTGGGTGGGGAGGGGCTGGTCACCCCGTGGTGCCCTTATAAAACTCAACATTTAACCTACTCACGCCGGCTTGTGCCCGCCCTCACAGTCGGGCATATTTGCAGAATACACCACGCCGCCGTTGACCCTGGCCATTGACCGAGCAACCCAACGTTCCTACCAGCTCTCTCCGCAGGAATGTGTTTTTTTGGTTCCAATATCTGTTCGATCTGTTATGCAACAAACATTAATTTCTGTGACCCGCACTTAGGGCACGACGCCGACTCGAGCACCAGTTCTGGGCACAAACAAACAAATACAGTACGTCGCCTCGTCGGTCTGCCTCCCGACTCCGGTGCTAAAGCTCTATGCATTATTAGTGACTTTTTAATATTTTTTGCCTCATTTTAACCTTAAAAATGGCTGGTAATAGGGAAGGTCAGTGGTCTTTGAGATGGTGTTGAAGGGAAAGGTAGCAGAAAAAGGCCAATATATTTTAAGTGAAAAGTGATTCATTTGGTGAGAGTGGATGGTCAAACTCTGAAATCGGAAGCCAGAATCAAGGTAAGAACTTTGTAAACACTATTATTGTACTTTACATAAGATTGGTAGTTTATTACATATTTAATTTGTATTCATATAAAAAAAGTTGCATACCCCTGACCCTTGGACATAAACGTAACCCCTTAATATGTCATTGTTTCTCTGGGAAAAACCGATCTTGACCTATGTAATTTCGACTTTTTCAGCACCTTTTCTAGGAACGTAACTTGACATAGGGCCGAGGACCGCCTGTATGTAATTTGATTTACCATTATTCATTAATGCTTGTGATTTTTTTTTCTCTCTCCCCCACCATACAACTCGCCGTCCACCACCGTCCCACACGCAGGTGCTCGGGCTGGTGCGCTCCCCACTGCTGCAGGGCGGCGCCCTCTCAGCCGTGCTCGACTTCTTCCAGGCCCTCGTGGCCACGCGCACCACGAGCCTCGGCTACCTGGAGCTGCTCCGGCTCCTCACAGGTCCCGTGTACGCGCAGGCCAGCGGTGGGGCCGTGTCTCCCGTCTCCCCTGCCTCCCCAGCGTCGCCCGGAGGGGCCACCCTGGCCTCCACGCCGGCGCTGCACAAGCAGGCCTTCCATTCAATTGCGAAGTGTGTGGCAGCGCTCACCGTAGCCTGCCCGCAGGCAAGTCTGCATAACTATCTCTGTGTGTGCGCGCATGCGTTTTCGGATGGTGGTGATATCACCATAACTTAGTAGAAAATGATGGCAGCTGTTGTTAGGGTTATTGTTTGTAGATTTTTTTTCTTCCAGAATGTATTATCGATTTCAAGAGTCATGGCATCGATAATGAAATCGAGTTTTTGTTTGTAACAAACCCTGCTTCCTGTGCGAAATGTGATTGGTCAATGGTAGTGATAATATTTTTTTTCATGTAATTTTTTAAAATATATATCCACCATTGTTTTGAGAAAAACCATCACCCTTGTCATTGACAGAGTGCTGGTATCTCTGTTCGTCCGCCGAAGCAAACTGTCCTTGTTAGGCCATCCCAAGCACCCGTGACCAATTTGTGTTCCTTCGGAAACAGGAGGGAGCGTCGGTGACGGCGCAGTTCGTGCAGGATGTACGCAACCCCAAGTCGAGCGACGCCGTGCGGCTGCTCGCGTTGCTGGCGCTGGGCGAGATTGGGCGGCACTTGGACCTGAGTGCTCAACGTGACCTCAAGACCGTGCTGCTCGAGGCATTCTCGTCGCCCAGCGAGGAGGTGAAGTCGGCGGCGTCATATGCCCTCGGCAACGTGAGCGTGGGAAACTTGCAGCAGTACCTCCCCTTCGTGCTGCAGGAGATCGGCAGCCAGCCCAAGCGTCAGTACCTCCTGCTGCACTCACTGAAGGTGCGGTCATCGAGGGACACGGGAACCACTCGCCCTGCACCACCCCAAACAATCCCGCAGACCAACCCCTTAAAGCGGGGGTGGGGAAACTTATCTTTACTGAGGACCGAGTAGAACTTTTTCACCTTTGGCTCCACACATTAACACAAGCCATTCGCACCTCCGATAAGGACGGTTGGCTACGTACGGTGCGAAAGAAATTCACCAAACATAACTAGTGCACTAAAATTAGCAACAGTGTAAAAAATATTCGCGCCTCGTACCTGGTTAGTGTGGATAACATGATTGCAGTGTTGGGATAATATTGTTTGCAGGCCTTGAATGCAACTCATGTGGCCACGGGCCTTACGAAATGAAGTGTTCGGGCCGTAGGTTAAATATAAACCATGTGACGGGCAGTTCATAGTTAGACAAGTGTTATTTTTAGCCGACAAACAGCTGTACCGTAATCAATTGGTCATTGGTGCGCACTGTTCTCTGCAAGAAAAATTTAATTTGCTACCGATAATTACAAAGAGTTTGTTGTGGAAGTGGGGGGTACTCTAAAGACTCTGACATGCATGACTGCGGTGAAACAGACCTTAGAGCATATCTTCTTGGTCTTTTGACTCCTGGAGGAGCTATGCACCGTGGAAGACCTCGCCAGGGATGCTGACCGGGCCACATCATCATCATCCCGTGCCCGATACTAGATAATCGTTTGACTGGTGGTGGAAATACGAGGAGGAGAAGAATACCAAAGAGTGACTGAATGGGGAACAAAGAAAACAAAATACTTGAGGATGACCGCTGCGCAGATCTAGGAATGAGATCTGTTAACGTACACAAGTAAGATGAATTGTAGCTTCGCAAGACCACAAGGAGTGGTGTTGTTATAAAGAGACATCCAGCGGTGGTTAATGTTATATGTATGTTGGACTTTTTTCACACTGTACGTAGCCAACCGTGCTAATCGGAGGTGCGGGGGAAGGAATCACAGTAGTAGTGGAGAAAATTTCACAAACACTTGTATGGGTTCTAAAAATATCTTGTCATATTCCTGCTTCTTTTGGTAAAGTCACATAGAAGGGAAACAATAAAATAATAAAAATATAAAACAATAAAATTTTAAAGAACCAAGAATATGAATCCCTGCAGTCACTAAAGCTTTAAATCAAAAATATCTTGTCATACTGTTGATTATTTTCCTGTTCTTAGTACCTGCCAATGTAAGTTCATCATCGCAGTGAAAATAGAAGGGTAGCAATGTGTTTGTCTTTATGACTATAAACTGAGCAATTTGAGCAGCATTAAGCAGTTTCTGTTTCCGCCTCCGAGAGCGCAAAACAAGACGCGCCACTGTCTGGCTTTTAAAATAGCAAGGCAACACGTGGGGGTCACAGTGAGCACGACTTATAAATCATGCTCACTGCGACATATTTTGCATCGGCGCTTAAAGTTACTAAGCCAAGAGATGAAAATAACTGCTCAGAATTCAAAGTCAGCCAGCCATAGTTTTCAATGAACTGCCAGCAATCATACCTTGGAAATCTATTCATTGTCCAAAGAGAGCTATTTTTTAAAACAAATTCTCATTGGCTACCTTGATCTTATCACAGCCTTCATGATGTTCGAGAACCGGTATTCAATTGCAAGCCTAATTTTGTATGTACGTAGCCAACACAAGTATTGAACTTTTGAAAACAACAAAGCAGTTCACAATGTTGCTTTAACGTTTTTTCCTGGTAAGGAATGGTACACAGCTACATCAGGTGACTTAGTTTCTCGTTTCAATGAAAATGTGCCACGTCGAATGCAATAATAAATCTCCAGACTGAAGATAATTCTGTGGGGGTTGGGAAAATGAAATAAAACTGTAATTTTACTGTGCACTGTTGGAAGCATTATAGAGTATTCAGGACCGACAACCCAACTTACTGCCAATTGGCATTTCCTTATAATTTGGAATTTCTGACACTTGCCGAACTGATGTTGCATTGTTCCAGCCGGCATAGCAGGTGCTGCACATCCCTCCACCCCCCCTAATGTTAGTCACTTGCTATACTCCCGCAGTCCGTCCGCCTGCCAGATTAAACGGCCAACAGATGTTCTCAACCTCACTTCTCCTTTACTTGCAAATCCCTGACTTTTAAGGAGGTGATTAGTTCGGCACAAGTGGCGTCGCTGAAGCCGTACGTAGAAGACATCTGGGCGCTGCTCTTCAAGCATTGCGAGTGCGCCGAGGAGGGCACGAGGAACGTGGTGGCCGAGTGTCTCGGCAAGCTGACCCTCATCGACCCCGCCACACTCTTACCCCGGCTCAAGGGATACCTCACGTCCGGTACGATGTGCACCGTTGCTTGCAAGGCTGCCCACGTGGAACGTTTTCGAGTGCAAGGCTTCAATTTCAGTTTCCTCGACTGGTTTTGGAATTCCTTCCGAGAAAATCGCGCTACTTGGCACGGTCGAGATGTAAATGCTTTTGAGCTGAGTGCATACCTGTCAAGCCTAATAAATGTGGGAAATGTTATTTCAAAAGGATTGATTTTAAACTATTCACCCAAATGCTGAATTGTGTGCGTTCTTCCCCCTCAATCCCGAATTTTCCCGACCAGCTTCAGCTCATGCTCGGAGCACAGTTGTGACTGCAGTCAAGTTCACCATCTCTGACCAGCCACAGGCTGTGGACTCCCTGCTAAAGAGCTGCATTGGTAAACAATGCGGGTCTCGTCTGTCTGCATCACTCGTGTGCAAAAAGAGTATATCCGGAAAATATTCAATGTTTGCATTTTCCAATGCATGGAGCCTAATGTTCCCGGATATTTCTGATAAAGTTATAAATGCACATTTTCATCACTTTAATTCAGATTAACTACATTTTTAAGTTAATTTGTTTTTGTTTCATAGCTGAGGTGTGAGAGGCATGGTTTGCGTAAGTTTATGTAAACCAATTTGTTTGGGAAATTGCCTGGTGACTGGTAACTACCAATAAATTCTCCCTACTCCATGTTGAATATGGAGGTTGTCTATCCACCAGTGGATTGCTATTTTCACAAGCGAGACGTAGCATGCGAGTAGCCGTGCACTGACTTGGTGACCGCTCCCCATTAAAGGCGACTTCTTGAAGACGCTGGAGGACCAGGACCTCAACGTGCGGCGCGTTTCCCTTGTCACGTTCAACTCGGCGGCGCACAACAAGCCGTCTCTCATCCGCGACCTGCTGGACTGCATCCTGCCGCATCTCTACAATGAAACCAAAGTCCGCAAGGAGCTCATCAGAGAGGTGCGACAACTCGTCACAAATTAAAACTGAAGGAAAATATGGGTAACCTGGAAAATGAACGCCACTTTTTTTGTTGTTAGACCGACTAGAGTTGTCCTTCAACTTGCGTTTAGGCCAACTTGAGTTCACTTGAGTTGACTTCCGTTGGCTGTCCATGGAAGCTGTGTACGTTAAACTTCTTTTGCACTGGATGTAGGCAACCACGCTAATCAGAGGTGTGGGGGAAGGACAATAAACACAAAAAGCAGTTTTAAAGTAATTTGTTTTCAATCTAGATTTAAAAGTGCTTAATATCTGGTAGTGAACAGCGTTCCAGACGACCGCAGAAGTGCATCCGAACACGCGATGCAGTGTGACGGTCTTTGTTCAATGGCTTGCCGAAAGCCGCCGCTGCAAGGACGACCGGCGTTCGTGTGATGGTTTATTATGCTTCTTGACGTTGTGTTTATGTTGCCATGTCGTGCATGCAGGTGGAGATGGGTCCCTTCAAGCACACGGTGGATGACGGTCTGGACATCCGCAAGGCAGCGTTTGAGTGCATGTACACGCTGCTCGACACCTGCCTCGATCGCCTGGATATCTTCGAGTTCCTCAACCACGTGGAGGACGGCCTGAAGGACCACTACGACATTAAGGCACTTTTGATTTTCTTTTTGGTATTTGCATTTCTTAATTTGTTGGCCAGTAAAGCCGCATCATTGTTTAGTCAGTGAAGGTGAGTTTCATTATTTTTATCAGTGGTTGTCGGACTATAGTTTACAGGTCTCCCCTAGGTCTGTTTTCCACTCAATTCACACAATATTATATACTTATCTGGGAATGTGGGCACGGTGGTTAGAGCGCATGGCTCACACTCAGTTTCGAAGCCCTTTTATCCATATGGGGACAATAAAATCAGAAGTAGTTTGTGGAAAATAAGCAGTGGTTGTTTATGGAGTGGTCCGTCAATGTTATAGGATCATGGATCTTCTACCAGTGGCTCATTTGAGCAGGAAGCCATAATGTAGACTAGCAATGGTTATATAAACTGGGTGAATGTACTGGCAGTCTATAATGTAGGCTGTAGCCGGGTTTCGATTTAAAGCTTTCGTGACTGCAGGGATTCATCTTCTTGATTCTTTCGGGAAAGTCACGCTTATCATTGGCGGCAACAATGTCTACATCGGATTGGGAACATGTAGACCAGTGGTTCTTAACCTGGGTTCGATCGAACCCCAGGGGTTCGGTGAGTCGATCTCAGGGGTTCGGCAGAGCCCCCGCCACGGAGGTCCGGACACACTTGAATTATTGTGTAAATTTGTGATGACACACACGGCCCGCTTGGCCATCACTGGCTGCAGATGATCATGCTACACTGCTTGGCCAATCAGCGCTGCGGGGAATTTAGTGCGTACTCAGTAGTCAACGTGTGACTGTTGTTGTCGTACGTCGTGTGATTTCTTTAATATTTTATCCATACTAACTATGTCGGGCAAAAAGAAGAAAGTGGTCGGACGAATATGTACAACATGGATTCTCATGTATCACGGAACGTGATGGGAGTGAGCGTCCTATCTGCATGATTTGCAACGCCAAGTTGAGCAACTATAGTCTTGCACCGGCAAAACTAAAGGAACACTTCTTGAAGCTGCATGGAGACGGGGAATACAAGAACACAACACTTGCTGAATTCAGGGTGAAGAGAGCCAGATTCGATGAAAGGGCCACTCTGCCTGCTCTTGGATTTGTACCTGTTAACAAACCGATCCTGACAGCATCGTACGAAGTTGCTTACCTGATCGCAAAGCAGGGCAAGCCACACACCATTGGTGAAACACTTGTGAAACCAGCTGCATTAAAGATGGCGAATCTGATACTCGGAACAGCGGCCGAAGGTAAATTATCCCAAATTCCCCTTTCAAATGACACCGTCACTGACAGAATAGAAGACATGAGTAAAGACATCTTGGCTCAAGTAGTCGCGGATCTGATTTCAAGCCCGGCAAAATTCAGCCTTCAACTCGACGAAACCACAGACGTTTCTGATCTAAGCCAGCTTGCTGTTTTTGTACGCTATGTGAAAGACGACATGATAAAAGAAGAGTTTTTATTTTGTAAGCCTCTTACAACAACAACGAAGGCAGCCGATGTGAAGAAGCTTGTGGATGACTTCTTCAGAGACAACAATCTTTCATGGGATATGGTTTCTGCAGTTTGTACGGACGGAGCTCCAGTCATGCTGGGAAGAAAGTCTGGTTTTGGTGCGCTAGTAAAGGCCGATGCACCACACATCATTGCGACGCATTGTATTCTGCACAGGCATGCGTTGGCAACAAAAACCTTACCTCCAAAAATGGCAGAAGTATTAAATACTGTGGTGGAATGTGTGAACTATGTGCGAAAAAGTGCTCTGAGGCACCGCATTTTCAGTGAGCTGTGTAAAGAAATGGGCTCTGAATTTGAGGTACTTCTGCTCCATTCTAATATTCGGTGGTTATCCCGGGGACAGGTGCTGAATCGTGTTTTTGCCATGCGTGTGGAATTAGCCCTGTTTTTGCAAGAGCACCAACACTGCCATGCAGATTGCTTCAAAAATCCTGAGTTCATTCTCATTTTAGCGTACATGGCTGATATATTCGCAGCTCTCAATCATCTCAATCAGCAGATGCAGGGTGGTGGAGTCAATATCATGGAAGCGGAAGAACACCTGAAGGCTTTTAAAAAAAAGCTACCGTTATGGAAACGACGAACAGAGAACAATAACTTCGCAAACTTCCCGCTTCTGGACGACTGTGCAAGTAAGATCGAAGATGTGTGTGGAATCGGAGATATTTCTGTATCCACGGAACTGAAGCAAACAATTGCCACGCACTTAGATGAGCTTGCAAAGTCTCTCGACGGATATTTCCCTACAAGAGAGTCATATCCAGCATGGGTGAGACAGCCGTTCACGTTTGCTGTTGAAACAGCAGATGTCAATGATGAATTCCTCGACGAAATCATTGAAATTCAGCAGAGCCAGGTTCAACAGCAACTCTTCAGAACAACAACGCTCTCAACGTTTTGGTGTCGACAAATGAACAAGTATCCAGTTATTGCTAAGAAAGCCCTGGATTTTTTTATACCATTTGTTACAACATATCTTTGTGAGCAATCCTTTTCGAGGATGCTGGACATAAAAACGAAGAAAAGGAACAGACTTTGCTGTGAAAATGACATGAGAGTGGCACTTGCCAAGGTGAAGCCACGCATATCTGAACTGATCTCTCAAAGGCAACAGCAGAAGTCACATTGATTTCCAGGTATGTAATTTGTTGTGAGTTTATGCATTGTGTTGGTTTTATTCCTTGAACAAGGTAATGTTCATGCACGGCTCATTTTGTGTACCAGTAAAAAACATATCTATGTCTTGAATTTGAAAAAAATCACATTTTATTTTTCACTAAAGAGGGGTTCGGTGAATGCGCATATGAAACTGGTGGGGTTCGGTACCTCCAACAAGGTTAAGAACCACTGATGTAGACAATATGACTACCTCCTCAGCTGCCACTATATCGACCAAAGTTAAGGACAATTTGATTTCCAAATTCAACCGCCTTTCATACAAGAAATCGGACCCACACACCGAAAAGCTAGACTTTAACAAAGTCGTAATCAATCGCAGTAACAGCTCTATCTCTGATGGTCTGAAATCTGTTTTAGCTAAAGGACTAAACTTTGCAGTCACACCTAGACACATACCAGTTAATGATATCATTGCCCATGTCGACGTTGCACTCAAGGGCCTGAGTTACATCGCTGCAGACGTAGCAAGATCTGAAATCGCTGCAACCCTCAAAAACGCTAAGATGCCACCTAGCAACATCAGCAAGGATGAGCGCTTTGAATTCTCAATTAAATAAGAGAGATGACATTGTCATCCTCTCAGCCGACAAGGGCAATTCCACTGTCATCATGGACAAAATAGAATACAACAACAAAATTCAGGAACTACTCAACGATGGCAGCTATACAAAAATAAGAAGAGACCCCACCAACAGCCTGGTGACTAAAACCAACAAAATCATTTCTGATCCAACAGCATTAATTGATCAAACCAAACAGTTCTCGTTGAAACCTTCTGCGGCCAGACCACCAAGATTATATGGCCTTCCAAAGATACATAAAGAAGATACACCCCTTCGTCCCATCGTCTCCACTATCAACTCCCCCACCTACAAACTGGCTCGTTTTCTGTCTGATATTCTGCGACCTTTTACTGGAAAAAACACTTCTGCGGTACTAAACTCTACTCACCTGGTATCGACAATCAAGGGAATTTCCCTGTCCCCAGATGACTTGCTTGTCAGTTTTGAAGTGGGTTTCCTTATTCACCACAGTTCCGATACCTGACACCATCGCAATCATTGAAGACTTGGTTCATCAAGGACTGCATACTGATGTACCCCCCCTGGTGAGACACTGCTTAACCAACACATACTTAACCTGGAATGGAACTTTCTACAAACAAACTGAGGGCCCCCCAATGGGCTCCCCTCTATCTCCGGTTGTAGCCAACGTGTTCATGGAAAAATTTGAAACTGACGCCATCCAGACTGCCACTCTACGCCCGACCGTATGGAAGAGGTACGTGGATGACACCTTTGTCATCTGGCCACATGGCCTTCATGCTCTAGACCAATTCCTCGACCACATCAATTCCATACACCGAGCCATCAGATTCACCATGGAGGTCGAAAAAGATGGCAACCTACCATTTTTGGATGTCTTAATTAAAAGGAGACCTGATGGTTCAATGAGCCACTCTGTCTACAGGAAAGCTACCCATACGGATGTTTACTTAAAACCGGATTCACACCACCATCCATCCCAGGAGAATTCCCTCATCAAGACTCTATACCATAGAGCCCAGTGCATTTCCGACCAGGATCACATTGCCAGTGAACTCAAACATGTACACCAAGCTCTCAAGGCTAATGGTTACTCTGACTACACAATCTGCAAAGCCATCACTCAAGTCACAAAGAAGTTTCCTCTTGAGGAGCCATTCAAAACCATCACCTTACCCTAAATTGCTGGGGTCCCAAAAAAGATTTCCAAAATCCTGAATAAACACAAGATCCAGGTCCGATTCAACACGGTACATACAATCCGTGATCTGGTTCCGTCTGTAAAAGATGATGTTCCAGATATACAGTACCCGGGTGTTTACAAACCAAGTTGCCTCTGTGGTAGCAGCTACATTGGAGAAACCAAACGACATATCTCGGAACGCATCCGCGAACATAAAGCAGACTTGAAACACGGTAGGACTAACTCCTCGGCCATGGCAGATCACTGTTATAATTCAGTGGGCTCACATGACATTGACTTCTCCAAGACAGAGGTTCTTTGCAAGCCATCCGGCTACCATGAGAGATTCTTTCATGAGGCCATCCACATATACAAACACAGAGACAATTTCAACCGAGAAGATGGAATCTGGCTTAGTAACCATTGGAAAGATGTTATAAACCATTTCATTTCTTAATTGATTGCATTTTGCGGTGACCTTCAGACCGCAGTCCATTCGCTAGCACTGCCTCTTGATATCTTTCACACCACAGTCAATGGTATGGTTTATAACATGTGTAATAATAAATAGTACAGCATCGTAATGTTTAACATAATTCATAAGGCAATATATAGTATCGTAATTGCATAATGAATATACAGCAGTGTGTCATACATTAAGGTTGACAGAATAAGACAGTGTAATATTAAAAGTCTAATATTTTATCGTCTCAAGTATAGGGTAGTGCACAGTAACGCATTGTATAACTCAAAATGTTTTCCCACTGCCTCCGTGCATTGGTCTACCGGACGTACCGCACCATCAACAGAGCAAAAGAATGATTAACTTAGCCCCACACCCCATCAATGTCCCCCACTTGGCCCCGCCCTCCTTCCCCCCCCCCCCCTTAACCTGTATTTAAGCTGGAGGCTCTCAGAGCCCTTCCCCACTTGATCAGCGATCTTGCTGTGACTGTCCCACCTGAAGACGGAAGCTTGTGTTGCCTCCGAAACGTCGGGAGAATTTTCATTTTTTATTATTATTTTATCCCCATTCTACGTGACTTTACTGAAAGAACCAAGAAGATGTAGCCTGGTTCTTAACCTCGGTGAGCATACTGGCATTTTATATTAATTATTTGTATTTTTTATTAACTATATTTTTATTACCGCTCATGATTATTAATGAGGGGGTGGGGGCGAGTCCACATGAGTGACGTCATCAGCTCATGATTATTGATGAGGCGGGGGAGCTCCATGTGGAGTGACGTCACCCGCTAATGATTATTAATTAGGGGGGGGGCATCACGTCATGCACTCATGATTATTAATGAGGGGGGTGCTCCATGTGACGTGACGTCACCCGTTAATGATTATTAATGAAGGGGGCTGGTCGACGTGGAGTGACGTCACGCTCGTTATATTAGTGATTGGGAGTGGTCACAATACACAATGTGTGTCGTGTGCCACTTGTCTATCGTATGTATATATGTTGAACTTTCGCACCGTATGTAGCCAACCGCGCTAATCGGAGGTCTGCGTGCAGCTCTTTGTAAGCCGTTGGTTCGCTCCGCCGCATGCAGATGCTGACGTTCTTGATGCTGGTGAGGCTGTCCACACTGTGCCCCAGCGCCGTGCTGCAGCGGCTTGACCGTCTGGTGGAGCCCCTTCGCGCCACCTGCACCAACAAGGTGGGTGTCTCGGCAACGGTGGTGAAATAAACGATACACAAGGTGGCTCGGTGCATTGTCTGAGCTGGCAGCGAAGTTGGCGATGATGCATTAGTGAGTTGTCTAAGTCAGCGAGTCGCTCACAAGCAGGGAGTGGCATCGGTGGGCAATGCAAGTTGTCAGCTCACAGAAATTGAGCATCATCACTGGAGCTGGGCTATTAAACTATTAAGTAATGCTGAACGATTATTGGTTTGATCACTCGACTAACTAGGTAACATGTAAAAATGTTCAGAAAATGTCTCGCCGCAGTTTCCACGTGCCGCTGGGTGGGAGCCGATGGTCGGAACTTTGTTTATCATCGGCATCAGTCACATTGTGCTGGGCGTGGTTTGTTGGGGGTTTCCCACCTTCTGCAGACAGGTTTTTTGGGGGCGGCTGTCATTATTAAAGGGGTACAAGTAAACAACGGTTTTTTTGCCAATGATTCGACGAAATCATCCCAGCTTTAATCGTTGCAATGGATTTGTTTTTGTTTGTATTGGTCCATCCAATGCAATGAGTTAACAATTCTTGGCTGTTGGGAACCATCATATCCATTGTACTTGTAAATGGAGTTGTGATAATATTACACTCGCTTTCATAGCCGATGGGAGCAAAATAGGCAGTGTCCCGAGTGCAATGTTATATTATGAAATATTCAATTATCCAGTCGCCAACAATTTAAACGTGAGACCGTTCGATTGCTAATCACTATGTCCCCACTCGGGCTTTGCAATGTGCGTCGCCCCCTCACGCTCGTCCTGTCTGGAATGCGCGCCGCAGGTGAAGGCGAACTCGGTGAAGCAGGAGTTTGAGAAGCAGGACGAGCTGAAGCGCTCGGCGATGCGCGCTGTGGCGGCGCTGCTGACGATCCCCGAGGCGGAGAAGAGCCCCCTGATGAGCGAGTTCCAGTCCCAGATCAGCTCCAGTCAGGAGCTCACCGCCATCTTCGAGAGCATCCAGAAGGACGCCGCCTCCTCAGGGGCACAGGACACCATGGACACCAGTTAGGCCCCTCGCCACCCCCCTGACCTGCTCTATCCATCAGTGGGACTTCGAATCGGCCCGTTATGCACCAGGCCCAGTGACCGCCCATCCACCCCCACGCCATCCTTTTAATCCTTACGAGCTCCCCCCATCACTGACGCTAGAGAAGCGAAGTTGCTCCATACAAACATCGCGTCTCGGGTCCATGTTGTTGCATGCGTGATGTTCCTTGGTTAGTTTTTTGACGACGCCCGGTCACATAATTGTGTTCTCAATGTTTGGCTCCGAGGCCCCTCCTTCCGACTTCCACGTCCACTGATAAAAGGCTCTAGTTTGTACAGCCATAGCTGCCCCAGCCATCTGAGGTGCAACAGCTTTAAGTGCAACACGGAGCTTACTTGGCAATAGGCATGGCTGCGTTGAATTTAATTGCACTTACGGTAACAGTATTGTCGGGTTGTATATCCTCATAGCAATGTTGTCCACACCCAGTGTGTAAGATAATTCATCATAGTTGGATCCCACTGTTCGAACTCCTGGCTCAATGGCATGCACACTTACTGCTCTTCGGCCAGGCAAAACTGTGCACCTGAATAAATGTACTGATTTGTTTATACAATTTATGTTTTGTCTGCAGGACTTAATTTTTATGGGCGTTTTTTTTCTTTTCTTCGGTGGTTTATTTTCTATTTGTTTTACCTGGTGCTTACACTGTGTGCATTTAGAAAAAAATTGGAGTGCATCCTGCCACCAGTTTGGTGATATCAAACAAAGCATCATTATTCTGCTCACAGTACTGTAATGCAAGCAAACTATAGTTGGCATTCACCTTAAACCGACAGGGTCATGTTTCGCGTGCTGTTGCCGGTGAATAGCGTCACTCTGCAGGAAAAGTGCCCTTTAAAACTTTTGTTTCCGTTCGTCTTGCCTCATTCTGCATGTTGCCAGCCGCTGCGAAACTGAATGTGTACTGTGCGATCTGTCTTTTCGCCAAACGGATGTAATGTGTAGAAAGCTGAATACTCCTGAGAACATAAAGGTACGGCAACTGCCGCACCGTTTGTCCACATGTTCATCTACTAACGTAGACTGTGGGTGGGCCCCTTCTTGTTTGTGTTCATGTGTGTGGATGTGTTTTTTCTGCAACCCATAAAAATAGCATACAAACTATCAATCAGATCATCACTGAATGCAAAAAAAAAATGCTGTTTATAAAACGCAAAATGTTGCAAGGCTTTTTCTATAAAACTTTTGAAAAAGTGAAGACCTGAATGTGTATGCTGTATATGCGCAAGAAAGACCGTATATCAGTTTAATGATGTGGGGGACATCAATTGCTATTGGGCATCGATACAAACGACAAGTAATCACATTTATTTTAGACTTTCACTTACAACGAAAGAATGCATAGTGCATAATGCAAGAAATAAACTTTAACAACTGCACTTTAAGGTCGATTCAGCCTTGCAAACTTGGGTTGAGCATGAATTGGAAGGTGTCTCCTTTATTGTTGATGTGCTTTAAAAAGTCACAAAGTAATAATGATAACGTGGAGGTGTCATTCATAATTACTAACTGGTGCAAGTGGATACTGTGGTTGGTTGATCCTGGATATGAATGAGGCATTGAGTCTGAGTCGTCTTTCCTTTGTTATCAGATGGACAAGACACTAACTTACTGTGCAATGCTTTTTTTTAAGCATTGCATCTTGATGGATTTTTGTTTGGTTTAAGCATTTTTTATTTACTTGACACGTTTGGCAAATGAACACGTCATTACAATATAAAGTGTTCACCCAGGAAAACTGCAGTGAGCACGTTATGCCCATTGTTATTAAAGGTTAAGACATTTGCATCAGCGCCAAAACTTGCTCATTGTATTTCATGGCAAAGCAAATATAATGGGAGCCCCAAACTTGTGACGTGTGTATGTGGGATAAGGGGGATGGTTTGTTGGCTATAACATTAAAATGTGTCGCGTTTCTCCCGGTTGCCCCATTCTACCCTCTGCCCAAAAAATTCCCAACAAGACCATTAAAATATGTAACCAGAATTGAGTTCAACATAAGTGGCCTATTTGCAAATTCAATATAGACCTCATAGGCCAATGGATTGGGACATATAAGGGATTGGGTGGTCATTTTTTTTGGTTGAATAGACATCCATGGAGGCTTCTGCTAATGCAGCACAGAACTGAAAAACGATTTAAATGGAATGTATTTCACTGCTTTTATTGAATTCAAAGCAGACATTCACTTGCACGTGTCCATCATTTCAAAATAAATGTATGGTGCCACGCCAGACCAAGTTCTGCGCAGTGGCTCCCACCCATGTAGTGCTCTGTGGAGGCGAATATCTGAAAGCACAACATTGCATTTGTCTTAGCCGACCAACATTTACTGGCAGAGATATCTGTTCAAGCGACTCGCGCTAAGGCCTATTTAGCCTAGGGATTTTCAAGCTTGCATCTTCATTTCCTATCACAGCCTGGATGGTTTGCTTCAATAGTTATCACGTGCATGAAATGTACATCAGTTTGCATGTGAGTGGACAAAACATGTGAACTCTGCAAGGTGTAATGTGTTACAGTTGCAAGGACTGGAGTTTAGGAAGTTACGCATTTAAGTGACCTTTGCAGCATTCTATAGTATTTTTTGTATTGCACCAACCCACATTCATTGTTGTTTAGGGTTATAAAAATACACTGGAAAAACACATTTATTTAAAAAATAAAATGGAATGTTAAGGAAGTCGCTTTAATAGATTGCGATGAAATTCGACAGTGATCGCTTTTGTGGATATCCATGGAAGTGAATGTCGGTAATTTTCATAGTGTCAACTGTAGACATGCAGATGTTTTTGCCCCCCCTATCGAGTGCTATCCTGTGCACGGCTCACGCTGGATTGCCAGGGGGCATGGTGATGGGTACCTTTTTGCGTTAACCTCTCCCAAATCTTGGCGCAAAGTTCACCACCACCGGTGTCATGTGGGATGCTCCACTGCCAGGTTGCTGCAGCTTTTCCTAAGAACAAAAGAAAATGCATTTTGACGTTTGGTTTCATGCGCTTCTCTGCATATGTTACTCTTGTTTTTATTTGCTTCAAGCCGGCAGCGGTTTTTTTTTTCAGGGTGACATATCCACGAAATAGCTATGGGATGGGGGGAGGGGGGTAAAGAAATGTTTGACAGCAGGTCATAATTTAAATTCTTTAAAAATAATACGAGAAAATAAAAGGAAATGTGATTGTTGTGTGGAAAAGGCTGCAATAAATATTGCAAAAACTTCATAAACTCCAGGGCTTCCACTGTGCGTTTAAACAACACTCTTTGTAAGTTCCCACTACGCATTTGTATTGCCGAAGTTGTAAGTGATAATGTAGTTGGTATCGTTTAATCGAGATGAGCAACCCGCACATCTTTTGGACGTGGCTCTCCGTCCCTCACAGCCAGCAAAACTTGTATTCGTATATAGAGCCCCGTCTCTCCACCTTTCTCTTGCCTTCTCTGTACTGTATGTAGCAATTTGTCTCGATTTCTCGCTTTACCTTATTTCCATCTTTCTCGAATCCGATGTACCATCCTCCACGGTATCTAGCTCACTTCCCTCCCTGATCTTCCGGTTTATCTCGCCTTTCGTCCCCCTTATTCCCACTTCTCTGTTTCCAATCTCAATTGCCTAATCATATCCTACTCTGCTTGTTACGTTCTCTCGCTGCCCCTCTTTCCCTGTTGCTCTTTCCCCGGGCTCGACAGACCAAACGGAAGAAACTAGGTGAGATCATACAGTAGAGACATACGAACGAAACCGAAGAAAACAAGTACGAGTAAAGTACGAGATGGCACGAACGAAACCCGGTAAAAACGAGTCCATATGGATTAAACAGTCCAAATCGTTAAAACGGTAACCTTTGAAACGGATAGCTGGCCAAATCGTGACAATTCACGTCTCGTACCGAATTTAATTTATTTTTAAATTCACATCTCGTCGAGACCTGCAACATGTTCGGCATAGCTAGCACTGCAGCATGCACGTGCTGTGACAAGCCTTTTGCTGGAATGGAGGCCTCCCTCCCCATGCCTTTCGGGTAATTTGACCTTCAGCAAGCCGGTCAGTGCGGGCTGCAGCTTGGCCGAAGAGCAAAGAATCGGTTTAAGACGTCGGCTTTCGCGACCAATATCCATAATACGGGGGCGGGTGTGGGTTGGGTTAAATCGCGTAAATATAAATTAAGAAGAACCCTCTTGAGGAGCCTTTCAAAACCATCACTTTACCCTACATTGCGGGGATCACAAAAAAGATCTCCAAAATCTTGAATAAACACAAGATCCAGGTCCGTTTCAACACATTACATAAAATCCGTGATCTGGTTCCGTCTGTAAAAGATGTGATTCCGGACATACAATACCCTGGTGTCTACAAACTAAGTTGCCTCTGTGGTAGTAGTTACATTGGAGAAACCAAACGCCATGTCTCGGACCGCATTTGTGAACACAAAGCAGACCTTAAACACGGTAGGACCAACACCTCGGCCGTGGCACATCATTGTTCTAATTCAGTAGGCTCACATGCCATTGACTTTTACAAGACAGAGGTTCTTTGTAAGCCATCTGGCTTCCATGAGAGATTCGTTCATGAGGCTATCCACATATACAAGCACAGAGACAATTTCAACCGAGAAGATGGATTCTATCTTAGCAATCATTGGAAAGATTTGATAAACCATTTCAGGTCTTAATTGATTGTTCACGCTTACAGTGGCTTTCAGACAGCATACATTATAAAAAATTTCGTCTCCCCCCTCCTCTTTTCAGAATATAGATGGACTAGTCCTAAATAAACTGCCAAATCGTTGCGCGTGGCGCTAACGGTTTTTTTTAAATAAATAAATGCGCCGTTTAAAAATACATTTATGCAAACCAACACACCTGAAGACGACCGTTTGAGTTATGGTCGAAACGTCGTGAGAATTTTTTTATTGTTTTATATATATTTTATTATTTTGTTGTTTCCCTTCAACGTGACTTTACCGAAAAAACTAAGAATATGAATTACTGCAGTCACGAAAGCTTTAAATCAAAATTTAATCGCCTCTACGGGGAGGGTTTTCACATAACTTTAAGATCCTTCAACAAACTCCGGGATAAGAAAGCTCAGCTGATCGAGTCTCTCACCTTCCTGAAGAGATGCCGCGACTCTGGGGTAATACCAATCGCATTTACACTGACCTCTGCTGCTGTAACTTCTTCTAATGCGAAACGAATTCTTTTCAAAACTAGCTTAGCTCTTATCTCAGAAAAAATCAGACTTATACGCACCGAACTAGATCAGTTAGACAAGACACTCTACAAATCACACTTATCATTGACGGCAACAATGTCCACATCGGATTGGGAACATGTAGACAATATGACTGCCTCTTCAGCTGCTACTATGTCGACCAAATGTAAGGAAAACCTGATTTCCAAATTTAACCTCTTCAACAAAAGACCGGACCCACACACCAAAAAGTTAGACGTTAACAAAGTCGTAATTAATCGCAGTAACAGTTCTATTTCCGATGGTCTGAAATCCGTTTTAGCTAAAGGTCTAAACTTTGCAGTCACACCTAAACACATACCAGTTAATGATATAATTGCCCAAGTAGACGTTGCTCTCAGGGGCCTGGGTCACATCGCTGCAGACGTAGCAAGATCTGAAATCGCTGCAACCCTCAAAAACGCTAAGATGCCAGCTAGCAACCTCAGCAAAGATGAGCGTTTTGAATTATATAAATTAAAAAAGAGGAATTATATTGTAGTCCTCTCAGCTGACAAAGGCAATGCTACTGTCATCATGGATAAAATACAACAACAAAATTAAAGAATTACTCGACGATGGTAGTTATACAAAAATAAAAAGAGATCCCACCAACAGCCTCGTCACACAAACCAACAAAATAATTTCTGATTCAACCGCATTAATTGATCAATCTAAACAGTTTTCGTTGAAACCTTCTGCTGCCAGGCCACCAAGATTATACGGCTTACCAAAAATACATAAAGTAGATACACCCCTTCGTCCCATAGTCTCTACTATCGGCTCCCCCACCTACAAACTAGCTCGTTTTTTGTCTGAAATCCTGCGTCCTTTCACTGGAAAGACCACCTCTGCGGTACAAAATTCTACTCACCTGGTATCGACAATCAAGAGTATTTCCCTGTCCCCAGACGACCTGCTTGTCAGTTTTGATGTAGTTTCCTTATTCACCAAGGTTCCTGTACCTGACACCATTGCAATCATTGAAGACTTGGTTCATCAAGGACTAAACACTGAGGTACCCCCCCTGGTGAGACACTGTTTAACCAATACATACTTCACTTGGAATGGAACTTTCTACAAACAAACTGAGGGCACCCCAATGGGCTCCCCCCTTTCTCCAGTTATAGCTAACATTTTCATGGAGAAATTTGAGACTGACGCCATCCAGACTGCCACTCCGCGCCCAACCTTATGGAAGAGGTACGTGGATGACACTTTTGTCATCTGGCCACATGGCCGGCCTGCTCTAGACCAATTCTTCGACCACATCAATTCCATACACCCAGCCATCAGATTTACCATGGAAGTCGAAATAGATGGCAAGATACCTTTTTTGGATGTCCTAATTAAAAAGAGACCTGATGGTTCAATGAGCCACTCTGTCTACAGGAAAGCTACCCATACGGATGCTTATCTGAAACCGGATTCCCACCACCATCCATCACAGAAGAATTCTCTCATCAAGACTCTGTATCATAGAGCCCAATGCATATCCGACCAGGAACACATAAGCAGTGAACTCAAGCACGTACACCAAGCTCTTAGGGCTAATGGTTACTCCGACTATACAATCCGCAAAGCTATCACTCAAACCATTAAGAAGAACCCTCTTGAGGAGCCTTTCAAAACCATCACTTTACCCTACATTGCGGGGATCACAAAAAAGATCTCCAAAATCTTGAATAAACACAAGATCCAGGTCCGTTTCAACACATTACATAAAATCCGTGATCTGGTTCCGTCTGTAAAAGATGTGATTCCGGACATACAATACCCTGGTGTCTACAAACTAAGTTGCCTCTGTGGTAGTAGTTACATTGGAGAAACCAAACGCCATGTCTCGGACCGCATTCGTGAACACAAAGCAGACCTTAAACACGGTAGGACCAACACCTCGGCCGTGGCAGATCATTGTTCTAATTCAGTAGGCTCACATGCCATTGACTTTTCCAAGACAGAGGTTCTTTGTAAGCCATCTGGCTTCCATGAGAGATTCGTTCATGAGGCTATCCACATATACAAGCACAGAGACAATTTCAACCGAGAAGATGGATTCTATCTTAGCAATCATTGGAAAGATTTGATAAACCATTTCAGGTCTTAATTGATTGTTCACGCTTACAGTGGCTTTCAGACAGCATACATTATAAAAAATTTCGTCTCCCCCCTCCTCTTTTCAGAATATAGATGGACTAGTCCTAAATAAACTGCCAAATCGTTGCGCGTGGCGCTAACGTTTTTTATAAATAAATAAATGTGCCGTTTAAAAATACATTTATGCAAACCAACACACCTTAAGACGACCGTTTGAGTTATGGTCGAAACGTCGTGAGAATGTTTTATTGTTTTATATATATTTTATTATTTTGTTGTTTCCCTTCAACGTGACTTTACCGAAAAAACTAAGAATATGAATATAAATGTGCTGTTAAACTTTCCAGCAGTACAATGGATATTGCTACACTGCCCTCTGCTGCCACGCACAACGTAGCGTATGCGTTACACTAGCAGTAGTCACCCATCATCGCAAGCACTATCCAGGCTCAAACCTGATTAACTGATGAGATCTGACGAGATGTGGCGCGGGTCCGCATTGTGGGCGATTTTGCCATACCAGGCTGCGGTCTACAGCACCATACGATACTGTGCATTACTACACAGTACATACTGCAGTATATACAGCATTGTATCGTGACGTTTGGTAGCTTTACCCATGCTCGTGCACCTACTCCATGTGCTACTAATAATAACAACAGCAGCACCGCACACGTGCGGAGTAGACCACAGTGGTGCTGCAGTGCCGCTCGTTCGTCTTGGAGAGCCGTCGTCTTCCAAGGTGTTCGACGCTTTGTTACTTTGCTCGTCTCGTCAAGGAGCAATATGACCCATCGAGTGAAGTAGCCGCTTTTGGCTGCTGGCCATCCAACGAAGACGGCGGTCACCGCATCGCTCGCTTTCAGATGCGCTTCTGCGGCCGTCTGGAACGCTCTTCCGATATGAGCAAGCCTTTTATAAATCATCTTGATTGAAAACCGATTTCTTTAGAACTGCTTTTTTTGTGTTGAGTTTGTTGTTCTTCCACCCGCACCTCCGATTAGCACGGTTGGCTACGTACCGTGCGAAAAAAGTTCAACATACACACATTTTGAGTCACAAAGACAGCATCACGAAACTAACACACGGCCACGCAGGAAAGAACGCACCCGGGCCAGTCGGGACACACAAACCAGCAGCAACGACAACACACGCGCTGTCACTGCCACAACATGTGTGTGTGTGGTTATAGGGTTGGCCTAATCAGCCGCCTTGCGTAGCCACAAACCCTGCCCATCATTACTGGCCCATGGAGGATCATCAACACTCTGACCTCGAGGGGTTCCAGATGACTGGGGAAGGTGGTGGTGGAACGGTGGGTGGTGGTAGAGGGGTGGATGGTGGTGGTGGAGGGGTGGGGTGGGTGGTGGTGGTGTGGTGGTGGTGGAGGGGGTGGTGTGGAGAGGGGTGGGTGGTGGTGGTGGTGGAGGGGTGGATGGTGGTGGTGTGGGGAGGGGTGGTGGTGATGGAGGGGTGGGGTGGGTGGTGGAGGGGGCGTGGCTAGTAAATCAGGCGCCAGCCGTGGCCACCCCCGTGACGCCGCCTCACTTGTGGGGTCCTTCGCGCCGCTGTGGTGCTAGTCGAGGAGCAGGCGGCGTGGGGCGGTCATCGCAGCGTCTTCCTCGGCGTCTCTCTCCCCTCTCCTCCTCTCTCTGTGCGTGAGACGTTTCGTCTCTTTCGCGTGCCGGGTTGTCCACTGCCACCGCGACCCCGAGAAGCGCCACCATGAACATTCGGAACGCCAGGGTGAGCTTTGCCCAGAGGCCGGGCCTCGTGCGGCCAGGCCCGAGTCAGTCGTTCTCTCGATTCATTTCTCAATCCATTCATTCCGAGTTATTGATTGCGAGTTGTCAATCAAACTCGCGTTTCAAAGTCATTCGTGCATCAACTTACTTCCGAACTAGTGCATAAAGCCTGCCTTGGCCGGGCAAAGGTGTTTCAATAAGTGTAATAATTTACCTCGTATGATTTTATCCACGATCAGACACTTAACTACAAAACATTTTTATATTTCCGCAAAAATACAAAAAATGTTGACGGCTTGATTCAACTTGTTATATTTAAAGACGTACCCATCATAAACCGCTTTAATTAAACTATTCCGTATTTTATTAGAAATAGATCATTATTAACTTCATACTCCGAGGGGAAGCTCTTTATATTTTGCCGTTTTCGAATTATTCAGATTTGAACAAACAATCCGTGTTTTTTTCGTTAAAAAACCGCTGTAATCCGAAATATAAAGAAAACTAAAAATAGAACAATGGTTCTCGCTTTAATTGTATTTGCTGTTTAACGCTCTATGAAACAAAAAATCCTGCAATCTTTTATTTTGAACGGTTTTTAAATGACACGCACAAACATGTGTTTGTGGGGGCACTTAAAATCAGATTTGGGGGCCTTAAAATTAATAATCTCAGATTTGTTTTCCCTATTTGTGTCCTAAAAGCTAACTCTGTACCAAATGTCAGCTTTCTCCCGTGTCGGGAAGTACCTTAGAGGTTTTTGAGACATACATACATACAGATTAAGGTCTGTATTTATATAGATACTGCGTTTGCAGTGATCTACGCGTTGTGTAGAAGGGTCGTTGCCCGAAACGTCGCCAATTTGTGAAAAAAATGTAAGGCAGTGTTATTGATCAAGGTGTTGATTTTTGTGTGGTTATGATCAATACAGGCAATCTATTGTAAACCACTGCCATTCACAAACCTGAATGCGAAACCCGAGTTCGTGTTAAAAATATCTCAAGAGTCGAGGCCGGCCGTCTTGACACCTGATTTGCTTGACACAAATGAACCACAATAACTACCTAATCTCGTCAAGGAGTACAACCAATCACGTGAACTCCGCTTTATCCTCGCAGTAGCAGCGGCTCTTTGCTGCTGGCCGTCGAACAAAGACGGTGATCACCGCATCGCGCGCTTCTGTGGCCGTCTGGAACGCTCTTCCTTCCAATATTAGGAAACCACTGGAGCTTTGCACTTTTCAATCATCTCGATTGACAAACTCGGTTTTTTATAACTGCTTTTTTGTGTTTAGTTTGTTCTTCCCCCGCACCTCTGATTAACACGGTTGGCTACGTACGGTGCAAAATAATTTTAACATACATCATCATCATCTGATTTGCCTTACTCTGTTCCCACCTCATGCTTGCAGCCCGAGGACCTCATGAACATGCAGCACTGCAACCTGCTGTGCCTGCCAGAGAACTACCAGATGAAGTACTACTTTTACCACGGGCTTTCCTGGCCCCAGGTGACATAATAATGCAGTTACACAGCAAAAGTAGTCACGTCCGAACATATGAACCTTATGGCGGGAACACGGGTTCCCGAATAAACGGAAGTCTAAATCGTAATTAATACATTTTTGGCGACTCCGTCCCACGGCGCACATAAACGCTGTGACCCACCTAGCACGAATCATTCTGTTATGTCGTCCAAGTGCAGCGAGGACGAATGCGCAGAAGATTTGAACAAGCGAATGCACTCCATGCTTGGGTATGGGCAGGATCATAAGTCTTATCCAAAGCTGCTCAAACTGCCTATACGACTTAAGTCCTTTATTTGTCATAACGGTATGTATAAAGTGAAACTGCTCTCATCTTCATTATTATTTGTGACCTACCAATGTCTGCAGTCAGTGTTTTTAAATAGAGGTACTGCAGGTAAGTAGTTTTCAGTTTTAAAGGCATAGTTTAACAAGACAACACTTGCCACCGTCCTTCGAACCCATTGGTGAAAAAGAGCAACGTTTTTGTTTACATTATAATCTCATGTTTATGCGAAAGCCAGGGGCTTATGGGACCCCAGGGTCCCACCATAAGGTTCATATACTCAACTCTGCAGATGATAAGGCACGCCCTTTTTTCGTATGTGGTTCATTGGGGGGGAGGGGGGCAATTCTTATCGCCTTGTGTGTTCCAGTGTGGCTAATCGATTTGTATAACTATTGACACAGGCACACGTTTAAGGTGACGTACTATCTGGAGCGCCCCATGATGACCTGGAGAAAATCGGTCTAATTTTCATTTGGTGTCAGGTGTTGTGTGATAATGTTCAACCGTTTCACAAATTCTGGTTATTTAAGTAGGTTACATTAAATGCAGACGTTGTGATTGTGCCGAGAGCTGTTATCAAAAGACCTAATAAATTGTCAAGTGGGCAAATTGAATGGTGTCGTTTGTAAAAGTTTCAAATTTTAAACGCAAATGACAAGCCAGCCATGCAAAGAGTTTACTGTAAAAAAATGCAGGCATATTTGTCACTGTTTTGGATAACGCAAAGCTTTAGTATGTACTTGCATAGAACCCAGTTTTCATAGGCGGTCATTTACACCCTCTGACTCCATAAAGGTACGTCAGTGACCACCATTTGAACTACTCACGCCTGGTTTTGGATATGCTATTAAAATAAACACCAATGCGGCCTTCACATTGGGTATATATATGGTCTTTATGTTGAGTAATGTGCCAATATTAACATTTTCATCCGTGTGTACTGTAGCTCTCGTACGTGGCCGAGGATGAAAATGGCAAGATTGTGGGCTACGTGCTGGCGAAAATGTAAGCGATATTTATATTTGGAGCCTTTGTTTAGTCATTGCTGCTTGTTTACGCGAAATAGGTGGTTTGGTTCGTATAGAAGTTACATAACCTGATACTCAGGAAACAAGTCTTGGCAATAATGCAGGTTGCTATTGAAAAAGCGATTCTTAGCTCAATGGACCTCACCCCAATTATACTGACTCACTGATTTCCCATCACTTTGTTAATTAACCTTTTCAGTACTGACTGGCCCTTTAAATCCAGTGGGTATGTTACGGAAAAATAAATCGGGCTAAATGTTTTTTTTGCGGCGGTGGTGGTGGTGCAGTTGTGTAATCTAGGACTTTGAAAACAAGGATTGGTGGATTTGCACATTTCCAAAACTCCCAAAACTACTGGCCTGCGAAGTAGCCATGAGATGGCAGTACAACAAGTGGGTTGTGACCCATCTATGTGGACATGTTGATGCTAATCTTTTGTATGGGTTTACTTCCAGGTGCTTCAGTATCTGACTACTCATGAAACACTCCTTTCTCATGCAACACTCCTTTCTCATGCATCATTCTGACAAAATAGTCGTGAGAGTCTCTGCATATTTCCTGGACAAATTACGGTATATTGGTGCATTCCGAAATGTCACAGGCAAGTGTTAAAGCCGTGTAGAAGTTGCGCTGCCTGTGTGGTGAGGTACCAGTCGCAAAGAGGAACGAGACATTGTAAATTGATGACGCTGCATGTGAGTGTGAAGATGAGGTACAGTGAAAGAGTTTGGCTGAACTTAATTTGTCAATTCAGAAGATATTGAGAAAGGAACATCCTGCTCAGATTTTGAGTCTGGACTTGAATCGAATGACTGCATGTACGCACGACTGTGGGACAAGGCCGTGGGTGTTTGGGGGGGTGGGGTGGAAATAATCCAGGACTGATTTTAACACAAGGCACATTCAATTTCTATCATTCCTTCAATTGTAGCTATATAATTAACCAAACAATCAGACTTCGCACGTGCGTTTTGATGTTTTTATGTGGTGGTGTTTTACTTGTATTGATCTTCTGCATGCAAGGTGTTAATTGTGCGGTGGCTCTGCTCTTTTTGTAACTCATGCAGGGAGGAGGACCCAGATGATGCCCCACATGGCCACATCACCTCCCTGGTGAGCGGGGGGGGCGGGTAGTGGACTCACAGCACCACGATTTATAACAACCCCATGCCCCACGGTTACTCAAGAATGCACAATGGGCTTGCAATCCAGAGGTTCTTGGTTTGATCTACTGGCACAGCAGTTTAAACGATGGGTAGGTTTCTTAAATTCCACGGCCTATGTTCACACGGCAGTATAAATGGGTACGCCAAAATTTGTGTGCGGTTGGGAAAAAAGTGTGGGTACTTCCGCATTTACCAAGACATCTGGCCTGCGGGAAGAGTAGTCTAAATTACATCGGGGGGATGAACAGAGCTAATGCGTGCACTTTCTGAACCTTGACCATCTAATTTTCCAAGGGGAAGGTTGTAGGGTTGTTGCATCGGTAGCAGCAGCATCAGCAACAGCTTGTGTGTTGTCTCCATTGCTGCTTCCCCGGCGTCAGGCGGTGAAGCGCTCGCACCGGCGGCTGGGCCTGGCACAGAAGCTGATGGACCAGGCATCGCGTGCCATGATCGAGAACTTCAATGCCAAATACGTGTCCCTGCACGTTCGCAAGAGGTGAGCGCTCGGGCCACACCATGGCTTTGCAGCCATGCCGCTGTGCAGATTGATGACCATCGCAGAGAACCCACTGGTTTCTTAGCACTGGAGTAGCGTGTGATTGACATTGTAGCGTACTGATGAACAATGATTTAGTCCTCCTTTTCTCATTCAGAAAACATTGTTGTGGTTACTGGTAGGCATATAATTAACCATTCATCAAAATTGATTCTGATTCTCACGGTTCCTTGAATTGAGCTGTGCCCGTGAGATTTGTTTATTTACTCTTGGGGAATTTTTTTTGCAAAATGTGATAATTAGGCTAATGGAACAAACGAGATGAAGGGAACAAAAGAGAACATGCGAGAGATAACACGAATAAGGCAGGCCAAACGAGAGACATACAGTTGCTGTTTAAATCCAATCGCCATTATTAATCATGGTCATTCATGGAATTGTGGTGGTGGATGGGTTCAGTGTGAAAAGCAACAACACCAGAAACGTGCATTTAGAGTATTTGGTTGCTATAAATTTCCACATGATAAGCCACTTTTGTTGAGCTATCATTTGTGGTCAGGTCACTTCTTAAAAAGAGCTATAAAGCTCAGTGGGCCTTACCTGGTAAAATAAAAAAAAGAGTTTAGTTTTATATGCATAGTAACGGCATGGGCGCTAATGCGTGGTCAGCGTAGAATTGTACAAAATAAATCACTCTGCTTTCCTCTGCAGCAACCGGGCAGCTCTCCACCTCTACTCCAACACGCTGAAGTTTCAGTAAGTGGGACCATTTTACATTCGTGGTATAAATTGATGCATGGTGATTATGAACTTCTTTTTCACCGTACGTAGTCAACTGTGCTAATCGGAGGTGCTGGACATGTTACCGTTTGCAAACTTGTAAACAAGTTTTAGGTAATCGTCACATCAAATTCCGATTTTCATTATAAAAACCGTGGAAAATAAACTGCAGGATTTGATTAAAGACGTTTGCAAAGTGTCCTGCCCCGAGCCCAATGAAAGTTTGCTCGGAGCAGGACATGACGCTATAAGGAACGACGGTCGATGGACGAAACGTTGACCGTCGTGGAATGATGGCCACCGGGGAGATGGAATCATGAGATCAGCAAATGCGCAGATGGAACTTTTGTAAGTTAAAACTATGGGGGATGGTGCTGCCAATGGGAGGCCTTCATCCAGTTGTGGACGTAGCATTACTGATTGTAATGATGATAACTCTATCTTTAAAGTGAGATGTTAGGTGCAAACAATATTTTGCTTTCCACCAGTGTAACACTCAAGTTTGAATAAATATATTGCTTTTTAGTTCATTAGTTTCCTTTAAATGTGTTGGAGGAACACAGCCACGAATGGCCGATGGCTTATTGTTCACTTCCTCTTGCAAAAACGGGCTTACGATGATTTGTGCCTACGTGGTTGCCGGCAGGTTGTGTCAACGTTCCATCTCTCCCACCTCTTCCCCGCCCCCCCCCCCCTGGTCACGGCAGAGTCAGCGAAGTGGAGCCCAAATACTATGCCGATGGGGAAGATGCTTACGCCATGAAGAGAGACTTGGCACAGATGGGTGATGAGGTGAGAGAGCCTTTGCCCCAACGCTGTGACAGTTGCTCGTTTCCAGTCGGGTAAACCTCATAAGTCGTTCTGTATTTCTCTTCAATGCGTACAACCCGCAGCATGCATGCCAGCTTCTGCCAATCACTCCATTACGTTGTCGCCAACTCCCTTCATCGGCTCCTGTTAACTACAGGAAGTCGTAGGTTTGAATCCCTACCCTGACGCCTGCTGTATATTTGGAGTTTGCATGTTCTCCCCATGGTCGCGTAGATTTTTTTTCCGGGTCCTCCGGTTTTTCCCTCCACATTTATAAACATGTACGTTAAACTTGTTTCTCACCGTACATAGCCAACCATGCTAGAGTGTTTGGCCGCTAGAAGTTTCCACGTGATAAGCCACTTCGTTGAGCTACCATTTGTGGTCAGGTTGCTTCTGAAAGAGCTACATAGCTGAGTGGGCCTTATCTGGTAAAATAAATAAAAAAAGTTTAGTAGTCTTCTTCACCCTTCTAGAACTTTCTCTGTCTCTCCACCAATCCCCTTCGTTTTCCTCGAACACTCTTCCAACTGACCCCTCGTTTACAATTCACATTTTCCAGGCTTGTCCAAATTAATCTCTCCGTCAATCTCATTTGGGTGTTTCATCATGGCCCCACCCCCCCCAATCAGATTGCGTGCTCAATACGTCAGCTGTCCATGTGAGAGATGGCCAATGGGAAGTGAGCACAATTATTTCATCTGACAAGTCGTTCGACTATATTAAAGCACTTATTTATCTGCTTTTGAGGATTTTCCTCTTGCAGTCCCTTATGTGTTTACACATTTGTAATAAATAATATTGTTTAAATGACAGTTGGAATAGCCGAAGATCCACGGATGTTTCATTACATCATCGTCCCCGTTTTTATTCACCCCAATGCGCCCAAATAAAAATGTCACAATTGGCTTATTTCGTATAATTCTCGGTCTTGTTCCCCTCTCGGAAATACTGCTCCCTAACTGCGTGGCTTCTCGGAAAATTATGGCCCAGCGGTAGAGCGCTCACCACTTGTTGCAGAAGTTTATGGTTTGAATCTGGCAGGCCGCCCCGGTTATACTGCGGGTCTATTAACTGTAAAATAAAATACAAAAATGAACATTAGCTGTCTGTAAAGCTCAGTGTCTTTGAGTTTGACCAATAACCAAGCATCACCATCTGCTCTCAGTGACAATAAACAAACACCACTATTATTCGTCACTTACCTCGTACCTCTTTACCTGTACTCGTCGTACAGCTGCGCAGGCTGAACATCAAGAGCCATACCCCTCAGGCGCTGATGGCGCCGCCGACGCCGTTGGGGCTGGCGGAGTCCAAGGCCTCCTCCGCGGCTGGGCGCCGCGGCGCCCGCGAAGGCGCCGACGACTGCAGCGGCGGCGACAGCAAGGACGTGAGCGAGGCCACGTGCAGCACGGACCTCAAGGACAGCTCCGAGGCGTCCGACTCGGCCTCGTGAAGACCCCCTCCACCCCGGTCCTTCCATCGGCCGTCCTTTGTGCAGGCCCCCCCCCCCTTTCCCTCAGCGTGTCTGGTCTGTTCTGGATTCGAGGCACGGCCGCTTGCGAGTGTTGTCCACCACAGGGGTGGGGAACTCATGGGGCCCACTAGTGGCCCCCCTGCCGATTTTGTTTTATCGAGTTTAGTTCCTGAAGAAGCTTCTGGCACGTGGTGTGAAACATCGGACTATGTGAGGAATAGCACCGCGGTACAACCCCAAAAAACATCAAGAACGATATTTATCCATCACAGCAAGCATGTTATTTGTGACAATCTAGTACTGGAGGGGAATATTTGACCAGGCAAGACTTTCTAATTTTGACTTGTTCCTTTCACTGCAAGGAGGGTCTCTTGCAGGTGAGTGCTCATGCTTGGCTTTCCCAACGGGTTTTGTAATCCAATTTGGCCTTTAAGGAAAATGTTCCCCACCTGTAAATCAGCTTGTGAAAACTCGCAATAATTTTCCTGTACTGCTCTTGAGTAAACTGTCCCAAAGTTTTGCAGGTCCTGTGGTTGTCCCCTCCCTTCGTGACAAGCTTGATATGGCAAATGGGCTGTTGTGCAGTACCTGCTGGAATAAACGTGTGAAGGAAGAGATTTTGGTCAATGTGGAAAGCCACTTCATGGGTGTTGAGTGATGGGGATGGCAAATGGGCTCGAGTTTTAAATGTACGTTTTTGGCAACTCAAGAAATACGGCTTTTCTCAAGCCTTTCACTAAATTCTTAACTTTAGTTATTGCAAGCAAATGCGTGTGGGATTTTATTCTTGAAGCTATTTAAAATCAGAACTTTCTTTTGGAGGTTGAAGTTCCTGTAAACAGTACTGAATTCACTTGGGCAATGTGTGCTTATCCTTCTACCCACTTGTCCAGAATGCCATTAATCTAAACTTAGCCCTTTGTGTAGTCCCATACCTGCCCTCTATTTGAACTTGGGCCTTACCCATTGCCTCAGTTCATTTTCACATGGACAAATGCACCATAATTTTAGTCATTGTAATTGAGGTTTGTTACTGCCACTACATTGCTGATACCTATATTGTTCATGGAATCTAGACCTCCCATGTGCAGTGGGCTCTGCATCGTTTCATACGATATGAACCTGTCACATTTGCTTAACTGTAGCACAAATCACTAGCAGCAGTACGAGGGCTATAACCTTTGTTCCTTCCTAGACAAGAAAGAAATGGCCTTACCATCTAAGAGTTTTATTATAAATCTCGTTTTTAGAGCAGTATATAAACTATGGTTGGGTATTTCTAGCATAGAAAGTAGCCTTGTTTTTGCAACGCGTCAAATTTCCCTCAACCACTGAAGCATTTAATGTATCATTGCATTCAAGGGGTTCAAGTCGTGCATTCAAACACTGTTTGCAAATTACAGGGGGCAAGTATTTGCATCTTGAAACAGCTGTTGACTCGCCCACCCCCCCCAACCCTAAAACATGTTTCAAAGCAAATTAACATTGTACAACTCGAAATAACCATTGTAAAATCAGCACTTTGATTGGCTATTAGTTTTTTGGAGATCCCACGAGTACTGCAAATCCAATGAGATTACATCTTTATTTCATGGATGTAAATGCAATTAAAACCTTGGAATGGGATGGTTGCCATATGAAGACTTCCAGACAAAAGGCCAAGTTTTAAGATTCGAGTTAGGGCTTTCACATGAAGACAGTCTTCCAACTTGCACCACATGTATCTGTAAATGCAAATCTGATATGGATTTGCTACCCAGGTTCGTTTGGAAAGTGATTTACAGTTCAGCGCACGATTTATTAAACATCCAAATTCCACTTAAGGACGAAGTTGACTTTTGGGCCCAGTTTGAGCTTCCAAATGTCCAAAGTTAAACTATCGAACAGATTTTTGGCTATACCGTGTTTGATAAAAGGTAAGTCTAGCATTGTCCTAGAAAGTAACACCCAGGTGTTCTCAGACAGCACGACCTTCCAGCATTGCTTTGACCACCCCACTGCGTGCAAGAGGGTCAGCCTGGGCACACCTTTAAGTGCCTCGGTTTCCATGCTGAATTTTCTGCTTTAGGTTACAGGACGGGTTCACAATATTGAAATGTATCATTTACCATCTTACAAGCGTTCCAGAGCAGCAGTAAAAAGTTGAAGTTTTTATTAAAGTCAAAATAAACAATTACAAAATTAAGATCTGGATACCAACCATGTTTTAGTGCAATTAAAAACTACACGCGTTGAAATTCACCGAACATCAAGCACTGGCTCCTGTTGCTCAGGCCACCGGCTTCTGTTCAGCTTTTGTTTTTTTTGCTGCAGTTTCCTTTTTGGAGGCAACAGCCCTGGGCTTTTTATCCTTAGCCTCAGCGTTAAACTTTACCACTGCAGTTTTCACTACCTTGGTTTTGGTCTTCTTGGGCACTTTCGCATCTTTCGTGCCATGGCTCTCATCATCACCATCAGCCTCCACAACCGCAGGCAAAACCTTGGCTCCTTGCCTTGCAGTCGTCTTCTTGGCTCGAGGTGCCTTGGCATTTAATTGCACCGCCTTGCCCGCGTTTTTGGAGCCAAGCGTCAGAATGCCCAGGGAGTTGCGGTTTCTCACGACCTTCTTCTTCTCGACTGTTGTATTCTTCGGCTTGGCGGGTTTCAATTTGGTTGTGTTGGTTGAAGAGGCGGTGGCGGCTTCGAGTTCCAAGTCGACCTTTTGTTTTTTTGCACGCTGAAATAAAGGAGACAATCAGTAAGGCTTCATCCCCATTGTATGCACGAAGGCCACATTTATTTAACACAGAACATAGCAGTGCAGCAAAATCCATTGCATTATACTACGCTCCAGGTTCACGCCGTGCAATCGCCCATCCGCATTGAAGTCAACCCACATCCGCATGGCGCGAGGCCCTTGCCCAAATTATACAAGTGTACATGGACAGCTTGTCATTGGTTAAGGAAAATGGTCAAAAGTGCACGTTTCCCATTAGCGGGCCGAGTCCACAATTCCAAACTACTGCATACGCCGTTACACTAGAGAATAAGCTGGATAGCCCCCCCCCCCCCCAACTGGTATGTACATTTGGGAGCCCACCGTAACGTACTGTAAACGTCAACATTAATGAATATGGTACCGTCTTGAAAGTGGAGTGTGCCCTAGCTATTTAAGCTGCCGATTAAATACAAATCGCAACTCCCGCTCCATCAGCTCACCTTGGTGGATGCGTCGACTGTCACAGCTGCTGAAGCTTTTCCCGCCTTCGGAGCCTTCGGAGCCGTCGCCTTTTTGGTGGCGACTGAAAGTTACAAGAACAGTTGCAACGGGTTTGTCGTATGCAAGTAGCCGCAAAGTACATGAAAGTTAGTCATTCATTACAGCGACTGAAAACTAGCCAACCAAGATTTAATTTTCATTAAAAAGAGAATGCCTTTTAAGCCAAGAGGCATGGTCAGCCGTTCACACCAAGTCACACCATCGTTTTATGGTTAAGTCAGTGCACACAATGCCATCAAGTACTGTGTTATGTTAACGCACTGGTGTGTGCGAGCATTGCACTTGGCCTGAAAGAAGAAAAGGGTTCCATACGCGATTCGAATTTTAACGCTGGAGCGTGAGAGACTCGACGGTTCATTGCAGAGGAAGCCGTTGCAGTATTCTAAGCACACTTCAGATAAAGGAACTCCTAGGTTTTTGCACCCCAACAGTGTGCCAAGATCCAGCTTCCTGGTGTGTTTTTTTCTAGGGAGGCTGTCTTCAAAAAGTTCTCGTTGCTAGCAAACCTAATGCCAACCTGTCCATTTTTTGGTGTCTGCAAACTTAAGGACCAATTCTTGTCCTTAAATTCTCTTACACTCCCAAAAGGCCGGCTCTGAAAAAAGTATTAACCAATGAAGGCGAGATGTCAACTACCTCGCCTGGTATGCAGGAGGTAGTGGGTTCTAATCAGACCCAACGCCTGTATATTTGGAGTTTGCATGTTCTCCCCATGATCGCGTAGATTTCTTCCGGTCCTCCAGTTTACCACTTGCCACAGTTTAGAAACATGCTTAAAGCGGAATAGGCAACAAGCCACTTCGTAGAAGTATCAATTGTGGCCCGGTTGCTTCTAAAAAGATATACAACTCAGGTGAGCCTTACCTGGTAAAAAAAAGTTAATTGCTTTAAAACATGGACCCTATTTGCAAGGAATAAAAAAAAAGTCTTCCCTGTTCACATTCCCACCTCCCCTACACGAGCACTGCACCCGAGCGCCTCTCCGATGTATTTGTAGCAGCACTGCGCCTACCCACGGCAAAACCTAAACATCTGCATTGAATGCTGGCAGCTAAAAAAAAATGCCAAGCAGATTCCCAGGACAACAGCCCTCCCCCTCCTGGCCCAAGGCCCACTCGCCTGGTCGGGCCTCCACGAGGGCCTCTTCCACATTGTCAACTACAGCAGCCTTCAACTTCAGCTTCTTGGCGTTTGTTGCAACCGGCTTCCCGAGCTGGTGGTGGGTTAGGGGAGGACAAGGAGGGAGAGACAACAGTAAAGTGTGTTTAGGGTAGATGGAACTGCATTCTGTGATCGGGGGGGGGGGGGGGGGTCACCTAAGCTTGGGCAAGGCAAAACCCACATCAGGACCATTCCAAAATATAGCTCAGCCCCCCCATCCCTAGTATGGAGGGTGGTCGTGCAAGGCTGGGAACGTACGACCCATAGTACCATGCGTAGAGAACGGATACGTCTTGCAACCAGAATACTTTTAAAAGTTGGTCACTTTAGTTTAAATAGTGTGGCAAACTTACTTTCCATGCTCATTTCCAAACCAATAACCCCTTGTATATTAAAAAGGTGCGCTACAGAGTTAGATTTTTTTTACCACAATTGCCGCTTACATTTTACGCTGCCCTTTGTAGCGCGCGTCTACCAAGCCACTGCCTACGTATCCCACACCTCAGGTATCACCCTACAAACTCAAAGAAACAAAAATCTAGGACATTAGCCATCCACCTCAAGAACTTCGGCATCAACCTCGGGTTTAAACATTCAAGCGCCTGCCTTTCCGCCACCCGGCCAGGCACATCGCAACACCAACCAACCCCGGCCACAAACCTCACCCGAGACAAATCATCCGTGGGTACGTTGCAATGTCGTAGGGGCTACGCGCAGAGATTTTTTTAAGCGAAATTATCTCATGCATTAGTCTTTGTCGAATATCGTATGGAATCTGCCAACATGAAAACAAAGCCATACGGTAACTTGGAATGATCTAAAAGGCCTTTCTGAACTCATTTGCTCAATGTTTAAGGGTAAAGCAGTGAGCGAGAATAAATTACGTCATGCGTCCAGCGTCCGCTTATTTTATTTTTGTATTCGCTTGCAGTTACTTACGAGTTGATACGCTTCAAGATGGGCCAATTGGGTTAAAATATTAACTTTAATTATTTCGTACATTTAAATCGGAGCAATGTTGGGCCCAGGATCTCTGGGTTGGAATAAAATTCAACGAATGCGAAATTGCAGCCGTTGGTCCAAATCTACGGACGACAAAAAAAATAGCAGCCAAAACAATGACTGTCGAGAACCACCCAAACCGAGCATGCCACACACACACCGCACCACCACCGCCACCACCTCTGCCCACCTTGTAGCGACCGACAGCCGGCGAGATCTCCGGGGCGACCCCATTAGGGCGCACCAGAACTCCCGTGGCCAAGCCTTTAGCGAGGGCGTTCTTGAGCAGTCGCTTTAGCCGGACCTGGTCCACGTCCGGGTGAGAACTGACGACATGGGAGCGGATGGCAATCACGGAGACCCCTCTGCGTCCGGCGAGCTCCCGCACGGCATCAACGGCCATGGTCAACGTGTTGGGCGGCTTGGTCGCCTTCCGCAGGTTGTCGAGGGCCTGCGCCGGTCCCGGATTGCCGGTGCCGGTTTTAGCAGCGGCGGTGGTCTTCAGAGGCTGAACGTTCTCAGGGTCGGTGATGTCTTTGGGGAAGCCCACCATTGTGATTAGCACGCGCAGCACAATTTAAGAGAAATGTCACCGATTAAAAGCGCGTGACGTGCACGTCGAGCACAATCGTGCTCTGTGATAGCAGTGGCGAGTGGTGGTGGCCAGACGACACGCCACAGCGCGACCGTATTTCGCAATGCGCGCCACGGATCTCTGCGTTGCGAGATCATCCCCTTAAATATCATCAAGGGCGCGCGCGCGTGAGCTGCGCGCCTGATCAAGCAATTAAACGCACGTGGATCAATTAGCAACGGGCGTGCATCGTGTTACGGTGCATCGAGCGTCGGTAAAGTGGTGGTGATGTGTACCCTGATTTAAAATTACTTTTTTTTAATATATTACAAATGTCACCAAACGTCCTTCATTATTCCCCTGCCCCACCCCCCCCGTGTCTATCTTCATGGTGATGAATGAAGAACGCATCACAGATGCCATCTGCGTGGGTGAAGTCGCTTCTTTTAATCAATTGGAGACCGTCAACGGCAAACGGTAGAACGCGTGACACTTGCACGGACAGTGGTTCATCAAGCGCGACTTCTTCTTCTTTCACGAAAGAAGGATTCACAGCAGCAGATTAGAGCACTACTAATCGGTACTATTTAATCACCGCAATCACAATTTCAAATCACCGTCGTCTGGGCTTGACCACGAGAATGTGAACTCGTAGTTGCTCTGCATAGACATCAGCAGCCGGACTCAAGAGTGTGATGAAGACCGCAGTCAGAGCGTCACCACCAATTTGAAGAGCACACGATTGATTCAACTTCCGTGCACCGCTCACCGACGACGCACACCGTCTAGGACAAAGGGGATTGTAATCCACCCCCACCACCTCCCACACCCTCTCATTATAATTAATTAGGCGGTTGATAACATAATTGGCCAAGCATGTTCGCTCCATCACGCGAGGTTTTATAATGGCCGACGATTAAGAGGCACCCCCCTCTTTTGGAACGGTGGCACAGTGGTTGGTTGTGGTGGGTGGCCTTAGCCGAGCACGGTTTGTTTAGCTTGGCCACGTCCTCGATGTGATGTTATAGTGTTAATGTTTTTTTGCTTTATTTTTTTCAGGAATTGGTGACACACGTGTGTGTGTGTGTACATTTATTTGACATCGATAAAGACTAGATTGTTGTGTTTTTCGGTGGCGGGCCCGTGTGAGAGTTCGCGATGGAAGATATTGTTCCCGTGAAGACGACGACCCGGTCTCTCAGGCAAGGCTTCAGTCGAGAATTCACAGAGGTAAGCGCTCGATTAAACTTAAAAACGAAAATCTTTAAAAGTTTTTATTTTATTTTACCAAGTGTGCCCCACCGACCTGTTTTACCTCTTTTGTAAAAAAAAAGCGACTTGGTCACATGATAGCTCAACGAGGGGGCGTATCGTGCGGACGTTTCTAGCAGCCACATAATAATAATCATCATCATCCGCAGCAGCAGCCATCATCGATCCACTGCTGGATGGCTACTTGGGGGAAGTGCCTTCATCCAGCAGTGGATGGCTGCTTGGGGTGGGTGGGGGGGGTCTTCATCCAGCAGTGGATGCAAGTTCCCAGGTATAGTTGAGAATATAAATCCCCTCGATCATCAGTAATAATATTTCCGCTGCTGCATGAAGGGCCTCGCCCCCCCCCCCCCCCCCCATGCATAGCGCCTTGCTAATTCGATGTAACAATTCGTGCCGCACCTGCAGGCGAGTGACTGTTACCGCTCCGTCTCGTTGGTCGACCGACTCGGACGCCCTCCGCATTCCCGTGCCCAACTCTGTGCATCGCCACTGATGGTCGGGTAGAAGCTTCAGTTAGGGTCTCGCAGTCTAGTTAAGTCACAAGCCGCATGTAAAGGTTTAGACCCGCACCAACTCGTGTGTCCATCGCCGTTATTGAAAAAAACATATTGCCTGGGGTTGGCGATGTTAGTTCGGGTGCTGATGTTACACGGTGTGTCTTAATGCTTAATAGAATTTCATAGTCGAACTTTCACCAAATCTAAGCTAAGCAGGTTTGAGCCGGGGGGGGGGGGTTGGTGTAGCGCTTGGGCGAGCAACGTGCGTAACAGGTGCTATAGGCTACGTATGGTTCTGTTGTGAGCAACAAAATTTCCAGTGGGGCAAAATCCATTGTTACTTATTGCAGCTCTATGCTCCCCGCCTCCACCCACCCGCCTTCACCAGCGTGGTGAAGTATGGCCAACATTTTCTTTAATTACAAAAACTTATTTTTACCAAATAAGGCCCAATGAGCTCTACTGTATAGCTATTTTTCAGAAGCGATCTGGCCGCAGATGACAGCTCCACTAAGTGGCACCTCACGTGGGACTTTACAGCAGCCGAATACTCTGAAACGCGCGTTGATTCTCAATGTGGAGGGAGATCCTGCGTTTGAGTCCCAGGCAAGCCGGCCCTTTGTGGAATCCGAGTGAGTGTGGCGAGTTTATATTGGGAAGTGTGGTCGTCAATGACGACGATGCATCAGTGGGCGTAGTAACGACTTTATCACATCGGGGGTTGTGGCATATCGGTCAGGTGGGGCCTCCAATATTTGATTTGTCTCGAACCTCGGCTCTTTTATGCCGCGGCTCCTCTTCCCTAATCCCCATCGCGTAAGTTTTCCACGGTGCAAAGAGAACAAAAACTTAACTCGTGGTGGTTGTCAAGGGGGGCCCCAACTCGTAGCTTTGGCCACCGAAGGAGGGGGGGGGCAAGACATCCCCTGCCCCCACCCCCCCCGTTCGTTACGCTATTGCTACAAACTCCCACCCTGTGGGGGTCATTGACCCCAGTGGCTCTGAAATAAAACCATATTTCATTTCTCTCTCTAGATATATATTAAAAAACAAATTACAGCCCATCGGCCACATGGCCTTGTGGGAATTGCATCTTAATTGGTTCAACACGAGCAAAGCTCTGGACCGGTTTTGACTTTACGCATCTCATCAGCTGGGTTAGGGTGGGGGGGCATCCTTGCTCTGACCACTGTGTGTTCGTGACAGACGAATAAGAGGATCGAGGACCTGCAGGCGATCATCACGGCTCGCTCGCTGAACCAGAAGAAACTCCACGGAGCGAGGCTGCCCTCGTCCAAACCAGCGCAGGTTTCAGAAACGTATTTACGACTTCCGTGGAGAGGGGAGGGCTTTTCTTTATACCAATGGGACCTTTTTGAAAGGAAGTCATAAAGAAGGGTGGAGCTTCTCTGGTGTAGAGCAATTGGTTTCAAAGGCATTGCGTATATCGTCAGAGCATTTTGTTGGCATGTTTTGGCCACAAGTGTGTGTGGGTGAATGCAGACCTGATGCATTGGAATGGGTATTTATTTGGTATTTAAACCTCTTAACACCTGTTATAGTGCTAGAGAGGGTAACGCCTATATTCTAATTATTTCTTCCGAGGGATTTTAAGTTTGCAGTCCTCCATTTAGGCAGCCATGGTCCAGTTAATAATCTCCTTTTTAAATTGTTTTTATTATATTTCAGTAGGATCCTGGTGAAGAGCACAAACAGATGTAGGGGAAGGTGGGGGAGAATACAGAATCGATGACCAAATTTAAACAATACCTCTGCACGCGTCGATCCAGCGGTGTTAATGGGTTGGTCGATCGGCCAGGTCACCCGTGGTGGGGTGAAGTGTGGGTATAACCCCCACCCTCTCACCTCTTCCAGTGTGAGAGAGTCGGCCAACATACGTGGGGGCTCTGAGCAGTTGCTTTGCTTCTGCCTCTCCCCATCACCGCCGTCTCCTCTCGCCAACCCAAACCTTGATTTATCCGCTTTGAACAATGACGATTGTCCCTGTTACGAGATAACCGGTGGGATTGATGGATGATCTGTTTTTCTATATTTGTGTGTTTATGCAGAAATAATTTGTCGCGTTTACAGATCTGTAGTCATTTTGTTCATACGTTAAAGAGTATGTTAAAGTACTTTTCAAGAACTTGGAGATGTAATGAGGCTTGAAGCGAATTGAAAAGAGCTGACAACGATGATGATGCTGACCATGATGGAGCCATAATTATCTGGTTTCAACACTGGATGAGGAGGCAATGTTGTATTTGTGTGTCTGCGTGCAAGCGCGTCCGCTCGCTCGCTCGCGTAACAAACAATCTCAATGCAGCTCCATTCAGATGGCAACAAACTGCGCGTCATGCAGATGATGCATCACGACAATGGAGATGCTGGAGATGCTGGAGGTGGTGGAGTTTGCAGCGATGACGGGCATGCGACCGTGATTCAGCTCGGCGAGGAGGTGGCTACTGTGGAGACGGCCCCGGACACGGATCAGACGTGGGAGAGACGCGGCACGTTTTTCGTCATTCCACAAGGTCTGCGATTTGATCCCCAGAGCTGCTCCAACCGGGATGACGCCTCTCCACAGGTAACGGGGTAACAGGGAGGTCTGGTCTCGGCCAGGAATCGAAATTCGGCGGCTTCGGATGCCGCGTGCGGCTCTCAGCGACTGCTTCATGACGCTGTTTAAGGTCCGCCGTCTCGTAATTCACCACCCAGTGCATTGTGGGTATTGATGTAGTTTTTTTTACCGAATTCGAAAATTGCTATATTTTTTGTATTTTGGTTGTCGACCCCTGGTCTAGACGAGCGGCGCGTTCCCAATTTGTGGATTCGTTTAAAAATTCCACTCAATGGGGCCTGGAGCATGATGGGTTGGACGGTGTAAAAAAAAACGCATTTTTGTAACGCTGGGAACAAGTTAATGTGTTTTAATTTACTCCAAGTTTCATTTGAGATGTTTTTACCATTGTTGATCTGCATTTGTGAACTAAAATAAGTTGATGGTAAGTGAAACCTTTTAATGTTTAAACTTTAACATGTTATCATTATAATGCCTAATTCTTTAGTTCCATTAATTGTTCGATAGTTTTGCACCATTATGTACAGCTGTGATAAAATATTGAGGTCAATGTGAAATACAGGTTTAGGACTTCTTCACATTCAAACGTAAACGGTCTGCCGCTTGATTCAACGCCCGTGATACATTTGTACGATGCACAGCACAGCGCAGCGTACTGGGGGGGGGGGGGGGGATGGTGTAGTGGTCAGCAACACTGGACTAGCAATGCCGAGGGCACCGATTCGATCTCCCGGCCCGGAAACTGAAACAATGGTGCACATTTCTTGATTCCCCCCCCAACTCCCCGCCCAATAATATCAATGGATACACACCACAGCCGATCGGGAGCTCGTGTGTGGTTGAAAAGTGTGGTTCATCCCACGTCCATGAAGGCCATCTTGCCAGGAGGGAAGAGTTGGCCAAATACCCTCTAGTTGGAGCGTTCTAATGGAGGCCCTTCTACCAGCAGTGACATGAGAAAAATATTGCAGCACTGTTTTATACCTCTAAATATTTGGTTACTGGATTGGAATTATGAAATGATGATTATGGTAACATGCCCAAAGTGACTTAATGCAGCACCAGATGAGAAAAGCGACCTTGTGTTTGTGTGCGTACGCGCGCTCGTGAGCGATCGATGGTGCGTCGATAAGAGTCCGTTGCATCAATGCAAGTCGCTCAAGAAGGTGAGCAACGGCTCGGGTACACGCGTGTGCGTTTGTGTGTGTGCAGCAGTAGCAGCGTTGGTTAAGTTTGTAAGCCAGCTTGGCCAGGATTGCGGCAAAACTTGGGCCACTTTTCACCCAGGCAACTGGTGATGATGATGATGATGAAGACGGCGGTGGAGGCGATGGGTGGGCGAGGGCGAGCGTCGAAGAGGACGAGGTGGAGACGACGCGGCAGATGGAGCGCACGAGGGAACGCCGCCGCACGTTGCTCATGCTGCCGCAGGCTCCCGAATCCGGCTTCCAGAGCGCAAACTGGGGGCCTCGACTGGTAATGGGAATGTGGGGGGGTGGGGGGGGCATACTCGGCAGTGGCGACGCGGACGGGCAAGGGTCTCGTGGTGTGGAACGCCACTCTCTGTGGAAGTCTCATTTTGAGGATCGTCTGGTGTTTAAAAGTTATTTTTAAAAAACACATTGGAAGCCGGTGGGGGGTCACTTGGGGTCGAAGCAAAATGAGCAGCAGGCACCACTAAAATCCTCGGGTTGAATCCCGGCAGCCACATATATGCATGTTGTGCGGACCGTGCTAATCACACGCATGGCTTTCTGGGGTAATCGTAAGTGCATTCGTTATTTGTGTGCGGTGGGGGGGGGGGCGTGAATGATCCTCCGGTACCTTATCCTCCACCAGCTGCGAGAATATGACGATGATGCCTGTGTGGGCCACGTGTTGTCCTGGCCCTGCCGCCAGGCCAACCCTCGCGTCTGAATTAACGTGCTCGTGAAACAACGATTGCCCCAGAAAGCCATGTTATGCGTGTGTGTGTGCGTGTGTGTGTGCGTGTGCTGCTGCGATTCCTCTCGCTGTCCGCATGCGAGAACGTAGTCCGGCTGGTCGCCGCGATGCCCACAGTCGATTCGAGTCCGACACTTTCCGAACGCCGATCGCATGGGGAGGCCGAGGGTCCGGCCGATCCTCTCTGGCTGGCCAACTCGACCACCTCGTCCGAGCGTCTCGGTCACGAAGATGACGACAGCCGGGAGGAAGCGGAGCGCTTTGCCTCGGAACCTGCAGAGCTCCCAAACAAAATGGTGCTGCATCTCTCCACTGTAAGAGGTCCACCCGGTCGAGTCGCCTGCTTTGTGCCTGCTGGTGGCCATGCGTTTACCATCTTGCTGCTGCCGGAATATAAACTAAACTAAAACTATATAAAACAAATATTTTACCAGGTAAGGCTCCACTGAGCTTATATATAGCTATTTTTCAGAAGCGACCTGGCCACAAATGATGGCTCGATGAGAAGTGGCTTGTATAGATATGTGTAGTAGCCAAATACTTGAAACGCACGTTGAGTCTACATGTGGAGAGGGAAAAACCGGAGGACCCGGAGAAAAATCCACGCGACCATGGGGAGAACACGAAAACTCCAAATATACAGCAAGTGTCAGGGTCGGAATCGAACCCATGTGCTCCTGCCTTCGTCGGGCTATCATTTGTGGCCAGATTGCTTCTGAAAAAGAGCTATATAGCTCAGTGGGCCTTACCTGGTAAAAATACAATCGCTTGGTTAAATATTTTGTTGTGCTGCACCATGGACAGCTCTTGCCTTGTAATCGTCTCTTCCCCCCCCCCCCGACTCCTGGACAGAGTGAGGCTTCGGACGACATGGAGTTGGCGCACTGCCCCGGTCCGGCCCCACAGAAGGAAATTCCTCGCGTTGAAGGCGGGGAGCCAGCAGTGCCGTCAGGTGACCCAACGCAGCGTGCGGGCACCTCCTGGGGCAACGACGGCACGGACGCACCGGGGAAGCTCTCCCCGCCCGAGGAGGTCGTCTCCCGTTCCGAGGCTCTGCTGCCATCGCTGGTGAGGAAGCGTTCATCCTCGCAGCAGCAGCGGCTTGTGGTCAACCGGCGAACAAAGACGGTCGCAGCATGGCGCGCGCTCTCAGATGCGCTTCTGCGGCCGTCTGGAACGCTGTTCCGTCCGATATTAGGAAGCCACTGGTCTCGATCGATCTCAAGTCCTCCTGTATACCATGCAAACGGAGTTAACATCTCTCCACTGCGGCGCCCCCTCTCGCCTATGCAGTCTTTTAAAATGCAGGGGTTTTCGCGAGTGTTTTACTTAATTTACCTCCGGGTTAGTTGTGGCATTCTACGCCTGGCCAAGAAGTTAACTTATTATAACATGACAAATTTAATTGCTACGCTGCAATGGAACATGAGTTTTTCTAAAAGTTGAGGGGGCCCTACAGCTTTTTCTTGCAACTATTTTATCCCAGAATCACTGCTGGATGATGAGTGGTGAACGTGATTTAAATCTGGTGATTGCTACCACTCACTCGGGTGCCACGGTGACAAGATGTTAACTATCTCGCTTGGTATACAGGAGGTGGTGGATTCGATCCCGACCCTGAGGGCTGCTGTATATTTGGGGTTTGCGCGTCTCTCTCCCCGTGGTCGTGTGTGGATTTTGTTCCTGGATCCTCCGGTTTTCCACTCCACATTTATAATAGACATGCATTTAGAGTGTTTGGCTGCAATACATTTCCACGTGATGATAAGCCACTTTTAATGAGCTATCATTTGTGGCCAGGTAACTTCAAAAAGAGCTATAGGGTTTAGTGTAAAATAAATATTTTATTTTATTTTTAGTGTGGCACAGGCGAGGAAGGTTCAAAACGTGTGGGCAAGCGTCCATGCAGAGGGGACAAGGGTTTAAAACACGGCAATGTAAGAGCTTAAACACGGAGGCAAGGCAACGGTTCAAACAGAACTTCTAATTGAATGCGGAGTTCGTTGACGGTGCTTTGTTAAATCTTTCGTTGTGCTGCGCCGTGGACAGCTCCCGCCTAGTAAAAATATTCTCCTCCCGGACAGAGCGAGACTTTGGACGACGCGGAGATGGCGCACTGCCCGGGCCTGGCCACGCCGAAGGGAATTCCTCGCGGTGAAGGCGGGGACCCGGCGCTGCCAGACGACCCCACGCGGCACGCGGGCACCTCCCGGGGCAACGGCATCGTGGATGGAGAGGTGGAGGAGGAGGAGGTCACCGTCTGCGCTTCAGAGGCTCCGCTGCCTTCGCTGGTGAGGGAGGAGGCCTTCATCCCCCGCAGCAGGCGGTGGCTTTCGGCCAAAGACGGTCACTATGTCGCGCGTTTTCAGATGCCGTATACACTCTACTAGACTCTACACTGTAATATACACTGCACTATACACTACACTTTTGGCAAGCCATCGAACAAAGACGGGGTCACTGCATCGCACGCGTGATTTCGATTGCACTTCCACGGCCGTCTGGAACGCTCTTCCGTCCAATATCAGAAAGCCAATGGGAGCTATGCACTTTTAAATCATCATCGAAATTGAAAACAAAAAATGTTTTACTGCGTTTAGTTCTATGGGGGGGGGGGGGGGAGAGTTGGTCTCACTGCCCCACCCAGGTGGGGACCACGAGCCGGGGCACGAAAGTTTACATGGGGAGGAGAAAAAAGGGGGAGAGGAGTGGAGGGGGGTGGGGGTGTGGATTTTGCTCCGGGCTCCCCTCCAGTTTAGAGTAATTTGGCTGTTATGAATTTCCACGTGACGATAAGCCACTTGGTTTAGCTGTCATTTGTGGCCAGGTCGCTTCTACCAAAAAAAAAAGAGCTGTAGAGCTCGGTGCACCTCACCTGACAAAAAAAACTTAATAGTTTATAACTCACGAGAAATTTTGTGTTTTCCCTCATCGTCTCAAGTCCGACGACAGCAGCCAGAGCAGGAGTCCAACTCCTCCTCCTCCCGCGGCTGTGGGCAAGGCGCACAAGAGGAAACTCGAAGAGGGAGGAGGAGGAGGAGGAGACCCCCTCGCCGATCCGCCCGTGGCCGCCCGCGAGGGCGCGGACACGGCGGAGGCGAAAGCTGGGCCCAAGCACAGCAGACGGCAGCCGGAGAAGCAGGGGGGGGAGCACGGCACGACGGCGCAGCCTGCCCAGCGGAGGAAATGGGGCGCTCGAGTGCCGCCCGCCGCCGCCGCCACCTCCCAACAGAGCGGTGGAGCCCCCACCGTGAGTGCCGCTCGGAGTGCGAGAAACAAGTCGGGGGGAGGGGAGGTACAAGGACAAGGGAGATCCCGCCCCCCCCCCCCCCTTATAGGCCCACACAGGCTTGCCGGGGCAAGTGCTGTCGGCGAGCACATGTCAAGGCCGCCACGACGCACGAGGGGGTGGTGGGGGTGACCAACACCGTGCCGGGCCGTCTTTGTCTCCCTCGTGTTTACGCATCGCACCCAGGTACTCGTTTGAGGCCGACTTGGCCTAGGGGGAGGCCCAAGACCAACGATCCCCGGCCCTCTTTGTCACCCCAATTGCTGATATTTTACACCCTGTACCCAAACACTCGGTTGTGAAGGCCGAGCGGACCGAGGACCGCTTGAGATCTTTTCCACTAATGGTTCGCCCATGGCGCAGTGCGCCAATCACTGCACCGCCGCTTCACACGCACTCAATGTAATCTGCTGCCACTATCTGGGGTCCTTGTCTTTTTAAAAAGGTGCGGATAATATCATCAATGAAGCGCTTTCGGGGAGACCACTTCTGGGCAACTCGTATCCATTGAAACATTTTACGTGCAATTATTTGGAGAGATCGAATATGCATTCTTGTGACCATGAATGTATTGGCTATATAAACAATTCTCCCCACACCCCTCCAACCCTACCCAGCTCGGCAAGCCGCGGGCAAAGCGCGCGGCCACCACCTCGACGCTCCGGGTGACGAGGACCTTGACCTTGCAGCAGGAGGCTGCCGCCACCGCTGCTCCTGCAACTTCCCCTACTGCTGCCTCTACTACTGCCGCTGCCCCTGCTGCAAACGCTGCTATCCTTGCTGCTGCCACTACTGCTGCCACTTCCCCTACTGTTGCTGCCTCTACCAACGCTGCTGCCCCTACTACTGCCGACTCTCCTGCCGACATTGTCCCTAACGCTGCCCCTGGCGCTGCCCCTGGCGCTGCCCCTGGCGCTGCCCCTGGCGCTGCCCCTGGCGCTGCACCTGGTGCTGCGGCCCTCGACAAAGTTGAGGCTGCAGAGCCCTTGAAGGAGAAGACTCCTGAGACGGCGAGACGAGGCAAGAGTGAGATGAGGCGTCCATTTCCCAGCATGCCCCTGGGGCTGAGCAGGCCACCCCTGGCTAATAACGAATTAAAAGTATTTCTCGTAACATTCTCAATTCTCACGGTTTTCACACACTGGCAAATGTTGTTTCGGTGTGTTACAAGTTTATTAGGTACAGTTGAGCCAAAATGATCCATCCACTGCTTGGATGAAGGCCTCAATCCGGCCGTCTCCTGCACACGGTGGGCTGGTCTCGTAGCTGAATCTTCCACGAAGGACGTTCTTTCAGCCGTGGGTCCCCTCCTTTGGCTGGCACTCTGTCGTTCGTCTTAACCACCGACCATGTGTTTTGCCCAAGCCCGGCTTTTCGCACTTGGTTACGGCTCTTCAATGGATGAGGAAAGGCAAAACTTGCACCAACTCTCTCTCTGCTTGAAGGACCTCTCGTTGTGACTGTTACACCTCGGCATTGAGCTCCAGGGAATATTGCCGCTGTCATCGTACACGGGAGTAGAATGGCGCTTACAAGCATTGAAAGTCCATTCACATCCATGCACGTGTGTTAGAAGCGTATTGGCTACTCTGGTTAATAGCGCATTTAAAACTTGGCGGTATCTCAATCCACATTTGAAGTTACTTATACTTTTCATATGTGTGTGTATATCTAAAATGTCATAATTGAAAAACTGCGAGGCGAGGGGAAAAAAGGTTAAAAAAATGTGCTGTTTATAAAGGTGCAATGTCTCGCTCACACCGCTGCCGTCACAAGGGCCTCCACCGGAGGGGGGAGCCCTGGAGTCCCTGAAAGAGGGCATTTGGTCTCCTCTTCCACGCTGGCTCGCATTTCTCTGAAGAGGCGGGAGTGCCCACGCTCTGTAAACATACCGAATTACTCGACCGCCAACTAGTGTACAATTATTTTTTAATGTCTCTTATTCACCTTCTAGAGGGTAGTCAACGGAAGACCAAAGCTTCCGCCACGGTGAAGGATCTCTCGGGTTTGACAGGAGAATCGTCGACAACCACCACCACCAGGGTAAGTGTGAGGATCGGACGCACAATCGTTGCAGATATAATCATCTCCAGTCTGACGATCATTCAGCTGCAGCCAACAAACTGAATGCCAAAACGTTTAATTGTCTTTTCAATAGTAACTTTCTGACTCGCCCATATTGGACATCTGTGAAAAAAATAGTTTATTCCACTCTTTGTGTTCCTCCAGCCTAAATAGATAAAGATTCCGAGTCTTGACTAGCGCTGTCCCCCTCCGTCTGATTCTCACGCGGCAAATCGTCCCACGCAGAGCCAGAAGAAGGTGGCGACGGAGGGCAAGGCCATGACTAAAGGCAAGGGCGAGGGCAAGCCGAGAGGCAGAGGGGCTGCCCAGGGGGAACTCGAGAAGGAGACCACGGAGGCGTCTGGGCAGCCGGAGAATCTTGGAATCTGCACTCCTCCGCTGCCTCCCGCTCCTCCTCCTACCCCCACGGAGAGCGATAGCCCCGTGAGTGTGGGCGGCACGACCGCTTGGCCGGGGCATGTCGTTTGCAGTAGAATCCCCGTTATTCGAATCGCCGTTCTCCGCCCTCCACGACCTCGCGTGCCACACGACCTCGCGCTTGCTGCTGTTCAAACACCGCGCGCAATTCGTGCAGCTTCCGTGTTTGTCCTTGCGCCGATGCCTTCCTGCTACCCCGTAATCGTCGCGCAGAAAAGTGGGCAAGGAACTTGGAAGTGTCGGCAAATCCTTCCAATTGTCGGTCATTTTTATCCGCGGGGTTCAAGAAATACCCAGATGGGCTCGAGAATACCCGTGGATAACGCGCGCAGAACTCCTGGTACACAGAGGACATCATCCAATGCATCATGCATCGTTGACATTTTTCCACCTGCTCGTGTTAAGATTGTGGCGATGGTGCTGATGATGGATTAATGATTGATAGAAAAAATTGTCGCTGGGTCGGTGCAGCTTTTACTGTTCTCCACTGTCGGCAATGACAGTGGTGATGGTGACGATCTTGGTGATGTTGATGCCGGCGACCTTGTTCTGTGGGGGTATCGGCATGTCCTGGAGGTTGTTTCCATGCCAATGATATCACCATTTATTGCGTCAGCCGGAAGGAGCTGCTGCTGGTGCAGAGAAGACCCCAGAGAGCCGGCAGCGCTCTCTGAGGGCCAGGGGACCCCAGGCATCCGTCAAGGCCCTCTCCCTGAGTCCTGGCCCAAAGCCCACGCGGAGACTGAGATCAAAAGCCTTGGCAATAATCACCGAAGGTGAAACCCTCAAGGTGAATTGCCGCATAGGAGGGGAAAAATACATCACTATCTGGATTTATTAAGTGATTAACACAGTGTCCTATAGTATTTACTTGTAGGTTCAAACTGTTTTTTTTATTTTACCAGGTGTAAGGCCCACTGAGCAATATAGCACTTTTTTAGAAGTGACCTGGCCACATGATAGCTCAACTTAAGTGGCTTATCGCGTGCAAATATATAGCAGCCGAATACTATAAACGCACGTTTATAAATGTGGAGGGAAAACTGGGGAGACCTGGAGAAATATCCACGCAACCACGGGGAGAACACTGAAACTCAAACTCAATATACACACGTGCGTTTGAAAACTATAACACTTGCGAGTCCCCCTGCAGAGAAGAGCAATCCTCTGCTAATGCTGATTTGGTGTCACTCCATGCAGAGCCAAGATAAGGGGACAGGAGGCAAGGGGAAGGCTGTGGCTACGGCCGAGGGCAAGGCCAAGGGCAAGCGGACGACTCGAGTTGCCCAGCAGGAGCTGAAGAATGAGGCGGCATCCGGGCAGCCGAAGACACGGAGAATCGGCGCTCTTCCTGCTTCGTCTCCTCCCACCCCTAGCGAGAGTGACCCTGTGAGTTGGGGCGGTGCTACAGCTTGACCGGTGGAAATCTTTATCCCATTCCCCGCAATCCACGCTCCTCCATATCAACTGTTCTCGATTATCTGTGCAATTTTGCATTCTTTATTAACTGAACCATTTGAAGGATAACAGGGAAGCTATCTGCGAGTGGTGGCAACATCACCAAGAAGCTGTCAATTAACTTGTGCATTTGGTGCAAGTTCACTAAACCTTTGCTTTACCCCCGTGTTAAACCTGACATTGCTGTGTCTTAAACCCTTGCCTCCTCTGCATGAACGCTTGCCCACACGTTTTAAACCTTAATAGCCTGTGCCGCACTTAAAATAAACTCTAAACTAAACTATTTATTTTACTAGGTAAGGTCCGCTCGGCTATATAGCTCAATTTCAGAAGCGACCTGGCCACATGATAGCCCAACGAGAAGTGGCGTATCACGTGGACATTTATAGGAGCCAAATACTCCAAATGTATGTTTCTAAATGTAGAGGGGAAAAACCACGGGAGCACGGGGGGAAGAGACGCAAACTCCAAATATACAGGCGTCGGGTTCAAAGCCACGATCACCTGTATACCTGGCGAGGTAGTTAGCATCTCACCACCGTGGTGCCCACTTGTTTCCTGTGTCAGCCGGAAGGAGCTGCTGCTGGGACAGAGAAGACCCCCCAGAGACGGCAGCGATCTCTGAGATCCCAGGGGCCCCAAGTGTCGGTCAAGGCCCTCACCCCGAGCCCTGGCCCCAAGCCCACGCTGAGACAGAGATCAAAGGCCTTGTCAACAATCACCGACGGCGAAACCCTCAAGGTAATTTGCTGCATGGGATAGAAAAAAAACAGCACTATCTGGATTAAGTGACTAAATATGCTTTAGGGGGAGCAGTGGTGAGCGCAGTGTCTTAAGAACCTGGCAACCCGAAAATGATTCCTGGCCATGGCTAATGCTGGCGGACAGTTGATATCTGAACCGGTCCTGGCCCCATTTCTTCACTGACCAGCATGAAGTACGCCCAAACAGCAACGGAGCATGGTGAGGCCATAATTTAAATGGGATGCAGTTAACGTGAATGGCGCTCTATAAAATGAAATTATTATTAAATTACAAATGATTGCATTTTAATGAACATTTATTCATGCATATATTGTTTATGTACGTATCAATGTGGCCTGTGTGAATGATCTTTGCTTTAACGTGTTTTAAGAAATGTTCCTGTTGTGGTGGTGTCCATTTACTAGACCGACGCAGCAGATGGAAAGCCAATCCTAAAGAAACGCTTGAGACTGGCTCCAGGAAAGGGGCAGTGATGCATCCCAAGGAAGAGCCGAGAGATGCCCCCCCAGGTATCTCTCGCATCTCATCTGGCTCCATTGCATGACACACCCCACCCACCTTACGAAGTCCATGAGCCCAGACCCGATATCTCACCAGTCGGAGTACCGCCTCAGGTGGCATAACTTCAGTGGTTCCAATTTTTTTTTTGTGGCCAAAAACAGTGAATTATGTCATGACCGCTTTAAATTAATGGGTTCTCGAATAATTCTGCCATATATCTGAATCGTTCCAACCAACGTTTTGCTTGCTTAGCTGGAACTAGTGTTGCTCTGCACCCTGGACTAACAGGGGGAGGAGTGTCGTGTTTGCAGAAGGCAGTAAAACAAACAGGATGAGGGTACACGTCTGAGGATCACTACCGAGATGCAAGGATGAAACCAAACTTGTGGTGCAGGTGGATTGTTAAATGCCGAAACTAAGGGCAATGGCGACTCGAGGGGTTGATTTATTGTACTTCACGCTATAAAGAGTGGGGGTTGAAGGGCGGGAGGGGGGGGCCTTAGCACAGGTCACGGTATCACTTTGCCACTGATGTTAGCCAAAGCTGGGAATTTAACTCCGGTTGCCGAGTTTATAGTGCGGTGTGCTAACCACCGTGCCACCAAAAAATATACATTGTTTTGCCCCCCCCCATATGTAAAAAAAATCTCTTATTGTAAATACCGTGAATACTTAGAATTATCCCGTATAAAATAGAGCTATCCTTGTGTAATCAAGTTTGTTGACTTCTACCCATCATCAGCCTCTCCTGCAGTAACAAGAAGTGCATTCACTAGGTTGTCTAATTGCATAATCGAGTTGCATCCCCTCGGATGGGAAGGGGGGAGAGAGCCAGACTAAAGAACTGTGGCATTTCCAGCACACACGGGTTTTCACCTTTTTGCTCGTATACCCAAATGCTATACTCAGCCGTGAACATGAGCCTTGTATTAAATTTAATTGATCACAAGTAGCCCCCCCCCCCCCCCCCCCCCCAGCAATGTCACGGATTGCCTACCTTTTTGAGCATGTCTTTCGTTTCCTGTCTCGTTTATGCAGTGACGTGTAACAGAATGTAATTTGCACGAATCTTCCATCAATTATTATATAAACGAGTGAATGTCCTAAGAATATAATTTAATCAATGCATCATTACATGACTTGTAGTGGGTTGCTTAATTTTTCATAGTTAATCTTCTTCTGATGAGCTACCAATGATTTGTTAAATGTCTTGATCAAATTGGTGAGCCAAAGGCTAATTTACTGATTTTGCTGCAGGCCAGATTATCCTGCTTATGCATATTCACACTGCTCGAGTGATTTTTCCCTTCCAATATCCCTACAAACAATAAAAGCATCTTGTATCTGGTTATAACTTTTAAAAATATATATTTGGCTGACAACTTTCATTGGTCTGCTAGTGCATAAGTGGGCTCACTCAAATTGTGTTGTGTAAAAAATGGCAAGAACTCGCTTTTTGGAACGGTATATTTTAAATAATAAGACTAAATACATAAACGTTTGAGACATGTCTTCAAATAATATAAAATTCTTTATTGTATGTACACATGTATAATAAAAACGTAGCATTTGTATGCCACACACTTAATTGACGTTATGAATTGTAGAACATCTTAAGATTTAATTTACAAAATAAAGTGTTTCAAAAAATGTTTGTGGCTTTTGTAAGTGTACTGTTCCTTTTGTAAAAGGTTCCATTGTGGCCTCTGCCACAATTTGTGCTTTAGACTTACAAAAGACTTGACGAAAAATATTAACTAGATCACGATTTCCAACAAATTCACCAACACAGCCAGTTGTAAAGTTAATATCTGCTTCAAAACAAATAACTTGACAATCGGGCCTTGAAATTGAACATACCTCAGCCTTGCTGGAACGGTTTTTGCGGTGCTTATCTTGAATTTCCTATCCAGGTACAAGTCTCAAGCCAGACAAGTGAAGCCTACAAAGGTTTAACAAATGTATTTATCTAGGGAAGTCTGTCTTTAGAAATGTCTTGAAAATGAGGGCAGCTCAGCCAATTGCATTATTGAGCGGTTGGCCTCGTAGGGAGAAAGAGGGAGTACCTGCGGTAAAACCCACCACCCATAACCAGGAGATAACACTAACAAGCCAAGCATAGATGGATTCAAGAATTCACTTCAGTACCATCATCTCCTGGCCATGTCACAGCCCAAACGTTTTGCCCAGGTGGGTCTTGCATCCCAAGCACTAATTGGGGGGCTCAACCCTGCTTGAGTTCCAGGATCTTGGCGATCCCCCCAGTGCATTCTATGGTTGTTATTGTAGACACAGGCCCCTCTGGGGGTATGCATCCCAAGGTGTGATGACTTGAGAGACACGGGGTGCTCCCCATATGTTACCTCACCAAAAATGGTCTGCCCATGGGCTTCCTATAGCATACCCATTTTTATTGGAAGAAATGTTGTATCACATGTACCCAAAGTTCCAACACTACTTTGACCCGGTGAAATAAAGTACCTTGGTATGGCAAGTGCAGCATGCTGGACTATCACATGCCCATGCTCTTGAAAAAAAATCCCACCAATACATTTTATCACACTGATTCGGACATGAAAATAGTTTCACAGACACACATCCCATTTGCCACAGCCTACACTGCCATTGTTACTGATGCGGCTTTTAAATATCTACAAAACGTTCCTCCCCCACACAAGGCACTGCTGCTGCAGCCAAGGTCACAGCTGCATGGCCGGTTCTGCCAGTGGCCAAGAGGGTCTACAGTGAGGCTATGCCAAAGGCTGCATGGCTTGGTGACAGAGAGGACATTACGAGTGGGGCCCAGCTGCTGACACCAACTCCTCGAGCTGCAGACGCTGGGTCTGCTCCATGTCCTCCACTCTCCGTTTGAGCAGCACCAACTCCCTCTGGTGCTGATCCTCCTGCTCACAACATGAAAAGCTGTCATTCACATATATCGCATGGTGCCACAGTGCTTCATATCATACCGTGCTGTATTTGAAAAAAAGATGTGGGAATGAAAGCTTGCTGCCTGGCAGGACCCCAAGTTGAGGGCACTTGATGTCATACACATCCCAGTGTTGGTAAGTGGATGCTGATGTCATGCCCCCCACCCCCGAATGTGTATTCCATGCAAATGTGAGGCAGAGAGATGGAAAAGTGAGATGCATAGGGGTGGGGAGAAGGAAGGTGATGAGCAGTAGGAGAGTGGAATAGGGAGAGGCAAGAGTGAGATGCTGTGGGGGGGGGGGGGGGGGGGGGAGAGAGTGTTTGGGTTTGTGTACCTGCAGGTCGATGAAGGTGCTGTGGGAAGGCAGCCAGGAGAGCCCAACTCCAGCACCAACCATTGATGTCCCAGGCAGGGGGAGGGAGGCGCTGGGCACCAGGATTCTCCGGAACTCTTCGTGCCGACGCTGTAGCTCCCTGAACTTACGACGGAGCCGGCGGTGCTCATCGAAGGGGACTCCTGACCTGCAGGGACAGCCACAGTCGGCTGCTGGCGCACGAGCTGTGTACAAGAGCTACCAATAAACCTGCAATCTGCATGGGCTGCTATTGAGGCAACCTTCAGTTGCTGACATTCCATTGTTATTGGTGCCTTTACAAGGGCTTGGCTAGCAAAATGTAGCGACTTATAATTTCACGTAAAAGGAATTGCCACTTTCATGAGTTTGAAAATTTGTATATACGCACTGTAGCATCCTAATATCTGCAGTTATTTATGTTTCCACTGCTTTGTGTTTTGCACTGGTTTTGTATTGGGATTTCCATACACGTGTTTTCTGTGTCCATTGACTACTTCACCCTTGGTTAATATGTATTGCCTTGACAGGTCAACTATCACCACTATTGCAGCTACATGCAAACATTAATAAACACAGCTCACTGGTGCAAAATAGTTATTGAAATACAAAGTGTTTATTTTGTTTACGTTCACTCTATCAATGGAAGGTGATATCTGAACTGGTAATGGCCTGCTCTTCACAAACGGCATCAACCAGTATGGTGAAGAATGGTCAAACCCTGCCCCCCCCCACCCCCCCACCATGACCGACTTCATTCTGCATTTGATTGACAAGTGCTGAACATTAAACTTGATAGGTGATGTGCGTCATGTCTAAATTCCATTTCAAACTATTCGGTATAAAAAAAGTCCTCACTTGATGGCATTCCTCTCTGTCTCCAGCTGCTCCTTTGTCGCCTCCAGAAGCCGCAGTTCGTCCACCATCACGTTCTGCTGCTTCTCGGCCAGCTGCTTTTTCTAAAGCACAGCAACATAAGCATCAATTCACACTAAGCGTGGTGAAAAATGTAAACAAAAGAACTCCCATCACCAACAGGGTGTGGGGGAGGTTTCATCTAGCAGTAGATTGGCAAAGGGTTGTAAGCTATTATAAAGACCATTTGAGATCTAGTCCTTCAATGGAGTGCCAGTGTAAATAAGTAGCGCAGTTGTCTTAAGTGTGTTAAGTCACAAGTGACATCACTGGGCCAATTTAAAGGTATTTTTTTTTCCTCCTACACAAAGTATAAACTAATGACAAGTCGAGACAGCCTAGGACTAGCTATGAGAAGAGCTGTTTTGGGTTCAGTCTTTAGCTGCAACCCACTGGCTCTTGGGACTGATTCTGACATTCCGACTAAGAAACTGCTTCAATGTTTTACCAATTACGTTCTTTTAGTCTTAGCATTAATTGCAAAATCACAATGCACTGCTTGTGACATGTTTTCTGAAATCCAATTTCCACCAGCTTGTGTGGCTAAGAGCAGATTGGGGTCAAGATTTTTCTGTTAAGGCCTGAATTATCTCATGTTTAATTCATCCTGTTAGATGTGCAGGATTCCTTCCAAAGACAAGACATTTTCCACGTGCTAACAAAGTGTGATACAAATTGCATTTGAACTGGGTAGAGCTAAAAAAAGAGGAATAGAAGCTGGGCCTGACATGGAATTTGGCGATATAACTTTCCACACCTTTAAAAAATATACATATTATATTAGTCTTCCACATTTGTTCTATTAAAAAAAACAAGCATGCAAGTGAATGTGCGCATGTGTGGGATTGGCACCTTCTTGTGTGCCAATACAAGACGATTCAGCTTCTCCTTTGCACGACACAGCTTGGCATCGAGCTTGTGTTTCTCCTGGAGCCAATCCAGCCGCTCCTCTTCCAAGGACCTGGCATTCATCCACGCACTTGGTTAAACCACAGCTGGATCAAAAATGGTCAACAAGCACTGACAATCTCCTTCAGATGAGTGGAGTAATGGGTTTCTTCGCTTATCAGCGAGTAGGCAACCCACATGGCATATTAATGAGGGGGGGATATATTGGGCACATAATTAGAAGAGATCATGAAGAATTTGGTCATCAGCTACGATTAATCCACTTTTGCAGGCATGCCCAGGCCATTACCCCATCTCGCCATCCATATACTCAGCACCTGCACACAAGCAGATTCAATACAGGTGTCGGGCTTAACGAGAAAGGTCCTGCAAAAATTGCTCAAGTGAAATGTTAAATGATCAGGGGCTTTTCCCATTGACTCGCTCCCATGTTAAAAGCTGAGTTATGCTTCAACGCCAAAATTTCCCACTTGAAAAACGTCTTCGAAGTGAGAATCACAATTTTATAATAAAGTAATAAAACATCAAATGTACCGCCACACGAAGGATCAGCGGTTTCATGTGCCTGTCCTCGGCGTCTGCAATTCATTAGCGCCACCTCTGATCCGTCTCCCCCATCCATTACCTTTGCGCCTGACCCTGCACCCTCTCCGCCTCGTCCTGGGCCCGCCGAGCATCCTCACGGTGCCGCTCGGCCACCTCGCGCAGACGGGCGCCGCTCGCCTGCAGCTCGCGCTCGCACACGGCGAGCTGAGAGACGCGCGTACGCAGACCCTCCACTTCCTAGAGATACACAACAAAGACAATTTACACACGCGAACACCCAAACATACCCAAAAGACAGCCCACATACAACCACACAGAGTGTTGGGTCGGGTGCTGTTAGCGAGCACCTACGAAGGCAGGCACAGCACACGAGGGGGTGGTGTGGCCAGCACCACCTGTCTCCCCGGTGCTGATGTTTACACACCTCACCCAGGTACTCGTCATTTAAGGCTGGGTCAATCCGAGGCCCAGAATGTTCAGATATCACTCGTCACTTATGTTATATTTAAGGAGACATTAATGTGCACAGAGTACTGCAATCATGAATAAACACAGTAATATTTACATGCAGGTGGGACATTTCCATCTGGTAGTGAAATGATGCATCAAATATGCAATCTACCAGGCAGAAAAGGCCCATCTGATAACATGTAAAGTCTACTTTGTTAAAAGAAGTCTTGTATTTAAATTCAGAATGTAAAAATCCATACAGATATTAACTATTGTTCTGGATTTTTTTATTGGACAGTCAATGTCAAAGGACTGATAACACTTAAGTTAGACTATTATGTTTGACTGTATACTCGGTTTGAAACACGGAACATGTTTCTGTACAGATGGTGCACATGTCCATAAACCTGAGCTGTACATATACACAAAAATACATCAGTTATATTATATGCACAATACATAATATCTTCTCATTGGGGAGCTGTGGTTCAGAGGTCATTAGCACACAACACTATGAACCCGGCAACGGGAGTTCAATTCCCAGCCAAAGCCGATGGCCCTGGGTCCCCGCTCTGCCACCAGTGTGATGAAGTATGGTAAAATAAACTCCCATGAATGACAAGGGGTAAGGAGGCCTTCATCCAGCATTTGGAAAATATTTTGTATTATCTCTTCTAACTGTGAATTAGATGTTGTATACTGACCTGCTGTAGATCTGCAGTTTGCTGCTGTTCCTTTTGCGTAGCCTCCAGCTTCGCCGTCAGCTGTTGCACCTTCGCCCTGTGTAATCATATCATTGCAGAGTCATCCCCGGTTTTGCAACACAGCTGTCGTCTCTTGCCTATGGCCAAATAATCTGCCATGCACCCGCTCTCGTCATACCTGGGAAGCTAAGCGGGGTTGAGCCTGGATAGTGCTCGAATGGGTGACCGCCACGCGCGCCAAATTTTAATCAAAGACGGTAATATCCGTTACATGAAAGTGAAACTGATATTTGTATTTCTCAGCTGGAATACAGCCATGTTAAGAACATAACAAAATACAAACAAAAGATCCATTGTTGAATAGTCTCAAAGAATCAACTATGTATACTTGAGACCGTAGTTTAAATGCATGTGACTGAATCGTATGTATGTTGAACTTCTTTCACACCGTACATAGCCAGAATAGAATCAGAATATTTATCTAAACTGGAGGAATACGATGAGCTATAAAGTTATTTTTCTACAGATGTCCAGTAGGAGTGCTAAGTATAGGAAAGGTAAACAAATCACTTAAAAATATCTAACATAAAACTAATTACTATCTTACCAGGTAAAGCCCACTAAGGTGCGGGGGAGGAGGGGGGACAAACTAAACGCAAAAAGAAGTTTCAAACGAAATTAGTTTTCAATTTAGATTTTTTAAAAGACGTGGATTCAAAGCCAGGATCTCGGTGGTGCCGGGGCTCAGCTCTCCGAAGTCGGAGCAGCCCAGTCACCTGCACGCGGTGCAGCTTACTTGAGCGCTGCGCTATCCCGTCGCAACCCCTCCTCGGCGGTGCGCGCCACCCGCGCCGTCTCCTCCAGGAGCTCGCGCTCCGACTGCCACGATGCTTCGCGCTCCACCGCCACGCGCTCCAGCTCCGCCACCTGAGCCTCCGTCTCCACCCTGCAGCAGCAGCCAAAAGCGACAAACACTCGTGAAGACCGATCAATGCTCAGCCGATAAGTCATTATCCTATGGCAGGGCCAGTTGATCCATTGAAGCACTGTTGACTACCCATAGTGGTGTTACACTGTTTGTTAAATCTTGGGAGTGATGAATGGCCGTGTGAATTACAAACTTGAACTTACGATATATCGATTGTGAGGCATGTTGTAACGAGAAACCTCAAAAGCTGTCTTACCACCTACATCGTTGAAGGAAATTAAATAAGCACGTGCACAAGAACCAAAAATTGCGTATTAGGGATAGGAATTTATAACTGCTTCGTCCGTACACTTGCTCCTGCGCCACAGAGAGTTTCTGGAATCCCTCGCTGCGCGCCGCCTGTACCCGCCGCATCATCTCCTGCTCCTTCTCGGCCAGTGCCGCAGCCTGCCGCTCAAGGCCCTCTCGCGCCGCCTCCAAGTCACCCTGGGCAACTACACACGCGCACGAGGGCAACGGGACATCACGCAAGCGTCGGGAGACCTCACACGGAGCACAGCGGAAACCTGTAGGGGTAGGGGGAGGGCGGGGTAGGGGGGAGGGGAGACGTTGGCAGGAGCGTGGCGCGTACGGTCCAGCTGCCCCCGAGCGCCGTCGCGCTCCCGCTCCAGCTCGGCACGCGCGCGCCCGGCATCCACTCGCAGGTTCGTCATCTCCAACTTGTGCGCGTGCTTCATCTCTTCCAGCTGCACAAGCGACGACACGAGTAGCGGCACTCGGATTAGTTCATCCCAATCGTCTGCTGGGCACCGATGACGCATCGATTCGGCCGATTACAACGGAATTTTACGCTTCAGGCAGGAAACATGCGTTGGATAGTGCATGAGAATCAATTATTTACAAACTGTGCCGGTAATACACCAATTGCGTTGTTATTATTTAAGCTGTGAGCGAACAAAACTGTACAAACATGACAGCATATACAACAACCCACACAAGACAGGGCATTTATAGCTCGGGGTGAGCAGCTACAAAATGGGGCATTTTTTAAAATTGTCATTGTACTGTTTGCCTTTGTCGTTCAGTGCTCTGACACTGGTAGTGAGACTAGGCCCTAAAGAAGGCCGTCTCTGGTGTAGACCAATCAGTTTCAAAGACAATGCCATATATTATCGGAGCATGTTTGTTTGCATGTTCACCACAAGTACGTGTAGTTAATGCGAACTTGATTCCTTGAAAAAGGTTTCTATTTGGTGTTTGAACATCTTAACAACTGTTTTATTGCCATAAAGGGTAAAACCTATTCTTATTTTTAATACTTTGATAGTGGCAAAAAAAGGTACCATTTATAATCTACTAGCGGTACTACCCGGCTTTGCCCGGGACTTGGATTCACCACGGATGGCCGCCTTTGTCTCCCCAGTGGCGATGTTCACACACCACACCAGTTACTCGTTTGAGGCTGAGTCAACCTAGGGGAGGCCCAGGACCGGTTCAAATAATCGTCACCGGTGGCGGCTGTGAGCGGGAATCGAACTCGGGTCACTGGGTTCGTAGCGCGGCGCGCTAACCACTACACTACAATGCGTTACGCTTCCACATGCGCGGGTCACATGACATATTTGACGTCACAGCTCACTTGCCGTCTATTTTTATAATTTTTGCATGATGTACAGTCTGGAAAGTACCCACATGGCAAATTTCAAGTTTGTTGCATGTCGGGAAGTACACTAAACATGTTGAACAGACACACATATTCACAACTTTGGCTTTTATATATATGGAGAAAATAGTGCCGGCACTCTGCGGAAGGGTTGAGGCACCTTGCTGTTAAGGGAGGAGACCTCCCGCTCGGCACGGTTCTGTTTCTTCGACAGCTGCAGGCACTGCTCCTGGGAGAGGCGCAGCTCCTCCTCCAGCCGCTCCACCTGAAGCTTGAGAGACTGCCCCTCAGCCTGCGCAGGGGCACATGACACACGCACGCACGGGCGCGGTGGGGTCAAGTAGAGGCGTGAAATTGTTTTACAGCAGGGAATAACAACACCAAAAACCAGTCGCGTTGTTAAGTCCTTTGTTTTCCCCAGGAATGATGAACGGAGGAATGCTTTATTCATTTCTTTAGAGCTGCTTTTTGTGTTTAGATTGTCGTCCTCCCCCTGCACCTCTCATTAGCACGGTTGGCTACGTATGGTCTGCAAAAGAAGTTCAACATAGACACATACATACTGAGGGCCAATCTTTTTTTCATGAGGGTGCTGCTTGAGAAGTTTGACTAAAACAGTACACCTTTTGACGAAATAAGCTAAAATGGTTGACATTTGTGCAAAATAAATATGGGACACGCAGTAGGATTTAAATTTCAGTCGTTACGACACATTTCAATTGGTATAAAGCTAAACAAATAAACAGATTAATATACAGTGAGGGAAAAAAGTATTTGATCCCCTGCTGATTTTGTACGTTTGCCCACTGACAAAGAAATGATCAGTCTATAATTTTAATGGTAGGTTTATCTGAACAGTGAGAGACAGAATAACAACGAAAAAATCCCCAAAAAATACATGTCAAAAATGTTATAAATTGATTTGCATTTTAATGAGGGAAATAAGTATTTGATTCCCTCTCAATCAGAAAGATTTCTGGCTCCCAGGAGTCTTTTATACAGGTAACGAGCTGAGATTAGGAGCACACTCTTAAAGGGAGTGCTCCTAATCTCAGCTTGTTACCTGTATAAAAGGCACCAGTCCACAGAAGCAATCAATCAATCATATTCCAAACTCTCCACCATGGACAAGACCAAAGAGCTCTCCAAGGATGTCAGGGACAAGATTGTAGACCTACACAAGGCTGGAATGGGCTACAAAGACCATTGCCAAGCAGCTTGGTGAGAAGGTGACAACAGTTGGTGCGATTATTCACAAATGGAAGAAACACAAAAGAACTGTCAATCTCCCTCGACCTGGGGCTCCATGCAAGATCTCACCTCATGGAGTTGCAATGATCATGAGAACGGTGAGGAATCAGCCCAGAACTACACGAGAGGATCTTGTCGTTGATCTCAAGGCAGCTGGGACCATAGTCACCAAGAAAACAATTGGTAACACACTACGCCGTGAAGGACTGAAATCCTGCAGTGCCCGCAAGGTCCCCCTGCTCAAGAAAGCACATATCCATGCCCGTCTGAAGTTTGCCAATGAACATCTGAATGATTCAGAGGACAACTGGGTGAAAGTGTTGTGGTCAGATGAGACCAAAATGGAGCTCTTTGGCATCAACTCAACTCGCCGTGTTTGGAGGAGGAGGAATGCTGCCTATGACCCCAAGAACACCATCCCCACCGTCAAACATGGAGGTGGAATCATTATGCTTTGGGGGTGTTTTTTCTGCTAAGGGGACAGGACAACTTCACCGCATCAAAAGGACGATGGACGAGGCCATGTACCGTCAAATCTTGGGTGAGAACCTACTTCCCTCAGCCAGGGCATTGAAAATGGGTCGTGGATGGGTATTCAGCATGACAATGACCCAAAACACACGGCCAAGGCAACAAAGGAGTGGCTCAAGAAGAAGCACATTAAGGTCCTGGAGTGGCCTAGCCAGTCTCCAGACCTTAATCCCATAGAAAATCTGTGGAGGGAGCTGAAGGTTCGAGTTGCCAAATGTCAGCCTCGAAACCTTAATGACTTGGAGAAGATCTGCAAAGAGGAGTGGGGCAAAATCCCTCCTGAGATGTGTGCAAACCTGGTGGCCAACTACAAGAAACGTCTGACCTCTGTGATTGCCAACAAGGGTTTTGCCACCAAGTACTAAGTCATGTTTTGCAGAGGGGTCAAATACGTATTACCCTCATTAAAATGCAAATCAATGGAGAACATTTTTGACATGCGTTTTTCTGGATTTTTGTTGTTGTTATTCTGTCTCTCACTGTTCAAATAAACCTACCATTAAAATGATAGACTGATCATTTCTTTGTCAGTGGGAAAACGTACAAAATCAGCAAGGGATCAAATACTTATTTTCCCCTCACTGTAATAACATTCTCCGTAAAGTGAGCATTTAAAAAAATAATCTGTTTAGCATATCTGGGCCGTAAGCATCAATTTCCATCTAAAATCGACGCATCGCGGTGAGCGAGCGCGTGCGTAGACGTCACCTCGAGTGCGCGCACGTTGGCCTGTGACTCCGCAATCTGCCGCGACTGCATGCGCTGCACGTTGTCGGCCTGCAGGCCCGAGTTGCCGCGCTGCGCCTGCAGCTCTTCCAGCTCCGTCTGCAGCCCCCGCACGCGTTGCAACAGCTGTGCCCGCTCCCGCAAGAGCGCCTCGGCACGACGAGCCTCCGCTGCCGCCTCCCCGCCCGACAGACGCGACTGCAGAGCCTCCTTCTCCTTCTCCAGCTCCGAAAGCTGCAGGCGTCACCACCCCCCCACCCAAACCGCCCCCCCCCGGCCACCACCCCACACACGACAAGACACGGACCTCTGATTAGCGTGGTTGGCTATGTACGGTGCAAAATAAGTTCAGCATACATACGCAAGAGAGATGGCGGTTTGTGTTTATGATGGGTGGCGTGAGCATTACCATGTTTTACTATTAAACTAAGGGGGTATATTTTCAGTATGGTCATCCACTCTGTCAATCATCATCATCATCATCAAGTTTAAAGATTGTTGTTTGACCATGTGAGAACTCAAGAGACCAGGATAGTATCGTTTTCAAAAGTGGCCTGTCCGTATAGACGAATTATGATCATCATTATGATCATCAGGGCTGCCCAGAATAGCACGCAGAGCCACCATATTCATTAATGACAAAAGACAGGCCCATTGTGGGGCGTTTTTTGTATCAGGCCTGATGAAAATTGCCCTTTTTGCACCCCAATCTCATACCACTGCCATAAACACCGTGAGCAGAATAAAATTACTTTACAGTATTGTGGTTTAACACTAACCATAATCTCCAACAGCCATGCTATGAAGTGATGTCTCATAATTAAACAGTAGTCATATATGGGCACAGCATTATAGATGGGTACAACTTTAATCTCCAGCAGAGTCACTGACGTGTTGTGGTTCTATGACTTACAATATTGCTTGGTGGTAGTTATGCATTTGGTAGTGGTAGTTATGTTTTTGGTGGTAGTTATGTAGTAGTTGGTGATGGTTGTTTGCAGAGGTAGTTATGTAGTATGTAGCTGATGGTGGTAATAATGTGGTCAGTAGTAGCTATGTAGTTGTAGGTGGTAGCTATATAATTGGTAACAGTTAGTTACAAAGTTAGTGGAAGGTATGACATGGAGAGTGATGTTTATATAATTTTTGGTATTTAGTTGTGCAGTTGGTGGCTGTGTAAACCTGGGCTTGGTGTTTGAGCAGCATTTCCTCGAGCACTCGGCCATGCTCTGCCCGTTGGTGCTCGAACTCCGACTTGAGCACAGTCTGCTCGTAGCGCAGCTTGTTAAACTCGCCGCGGTAGCGCTCGGCCTCCTGCGCACATCTCACATTACACAACCACGGCACGCGTGGGACACGCGGGGCATTGCTACGCCATCGCAAAGCTGTGTCATCCTACATCATCATCACGATCCATGGGCAGATAGCCCGTAGGTGTGTCCACTGCACGTCTTATCAATTGATTCCACTTCCCTCTGTCCTCCTATACCTAATTTAATACAATTACATCAAAGGGGTGAAGTGGTGGCACAGTGGTAAGCGCACTGCGCCAAATCCCGACACCTACGTTTAATACCAGCACACTGTTAGCACGCGAACTGCAAGTGATATTTAAACTCAAACTGACCGAGCACTTTCTTCTTTAACCTGCACCAAGCAGAGCAGCAAAGTATGTTCCAACAAGTTCCACGACCAAAAGGATTGTAAATTAATTACATCAAAGGAGGATACCTATTCCAATTAAACACTGTCACCAGCATGGGAACACCTTATTCGTGCAGGAGAGAAGAGAAATACCGATATCCTGATAGTGACAGCGAAGGCAAAGAGTCTTCATGTCACAGTCAGCTGCCAGCACTGTGCTCTGCATTAGACATAAACAAGGGACTGAGCTCTCAACCTCATGTAAACTATGCTAAAAAACATGTTTTATTTTACCAGGTAAGGCCCACAGCGATATAACTATATTTCAGAAGCGACCTGGCCACAAATTATAGCTCAACGAAGTGGCTTATCACGTGGAGATTTATAGAAGCCAAATACTCTAAACACTCGTCGATTCTAAATGTGGAGGGAAAAACCGGAAGACCAGGAGAAAAATCCACGCGACCACGGGGAGAACATGCAAACTCCAAATATACAGACTCAGGGTCGGGATCGCATCCACGACCTCCTGTATGCCAGGTGATGTCGTGGTCCCTTAACCCCAGCACCTCACCTCCTCCTGCCGACGCAGTCTTTCTCTCATGGGCAACTCCAGCTCCTGCTGTATCTGAGCTTTTAGCAGCTCCAGCCTCTGTGGGGTCGGCACCTATGACACCAACACCAACATAGAGGGGGGTGAGGAAGTAGCGTGGGGAATGCTTTGCATCACACATGTGTACGTGTTGCAGCTGGCCGGCCTGGTCACACCTGACCATGCCAGGTCAAGACTGATAGGGGCTTTCTGGAGAAATGGACTGCTACCGCTCACGACCAGCTGGGGCAGAAGGTGCTACGACCGTTTGTTGTCAGTCCAGTGCGATAGCAGTAGTCGTGGTTGGAAGTAAAAACCTGGCTGCGCAGCTCCTCTATCTCCCGGGTCTTGTCCAAAAGCTCCCCGCGCAGCTCGGTGACCATGAGTTGGAAGCGCTCCTGCAAGCTCTGCTTGTCGGTCACAACTCGCTTGAGCTCAGCCTGGGTCCGCAGGCTCTCATCCTGGAGCCTGTGCGTGCACAAGAAGAGATCGACATCAGCACCCCTTCGTTATCACGCATATCGCCCAGCATGCATCGTGGATGCACACCCGTGCAGAGGGTTAATTTAAATGGGGCTTTATGAAGCCATGGTATCTTCATGCTCAATTGAGCGTGGCCAAAACGTAGAAAGAAATAACAAAAACACAGTGGAGCTGTGCCGCTGCGCAACTCATTTTATGTTTTGCAAATTCGAATTTTTGTCTGTATGTGCTGGTTATGTTTATACGATTTCCCCATCCAGCATCTTCGGATGATTTCAGCATTTCGAGGCTATTAACAGGACGCTACATTTATACGCCATGAGAAAAAAACAATGACTTCACTCTTGAGTCAAATCGAAACCCCGCATCGTGACCATTGATCAAGCAGCTGGCGGGGGGGGGGGGCAGGGAGTGAATTGTTACACGCTTATATTATACTCCCACTGGTCACATGGCATATTATTTAGGGTAATGGATGAAGGGGTATCCCAAATAAAAATAAAAACAAAAACACAGACATTGAAAAACATGTGTATATTGGGCTATACAATTTGTATTGCTGTTTAAAATAATCAGTTTACCTGGAAAGATGTGTGTGGTCATATGGGCACTGAGTCACTGACCCCCTCAACAAGTGAGCAGCTGCTAATATAACAAGTTGGATATTTCATTAATTTATTTTTGCAAGCACAATTAATCCGCAACCAAGATAATAATAATAGGAATCATTACTTTAACTTGTAACGCACATAGTATTCGCTCACTCTTGTAAAGGCAACGATGAGCTGGTGCCAACAATTGTTCAAGCTCTGTGGTCCTCTATGTATAGGGGGTTTATTGGTCTATCCAAAACAGATAAAACAGATGGTGATTAGTCCACATTTACCTTATCCGCCTTCTCCTGGCAAGGCACCTCAACGCCCACACGGAGTTTTACATCCCCGTGTCTCCCGCCCTCGTGTCTCCCGCGACTCTCGTCCCCGTGTCTCCTGTCCCCGTGACTCTCGTCCCCGTGTCTCCCGCCCCCGTGTCTACCGCGACTCTCGTCCCCGTGTCTCCTGTCCCCGTGTCTCCTGTCCCCGTGTCTCCTGTCCCCGTGACTCCCGTCCCCGTGTCTCCCGTCCCCGTGTCTTCTGTCCCCGTGTCTCCTGTCCCTGTGACTCCCGCCCCCGTGTCTCCCGCCCCCGTGCCTCCTGCCCCCTCTCCCCCGATTAGCATGGTTGGCTACGCACAACGAGAAAGCAGTTCAACATCGAAACATTGGTGCGACCCACCAACCCTCTCTGCCTACCACGGTTGCTGGATTACTACGGGCGTGCACAGCCGTGAGCCACCACCGCTCGGCTAATCCACCCAACGGAGAATCGCGACTTCACGACGACGCCCCCACACAAGCCCAGGCCGATTAGCCGCCTCCTCCTCCTCCTCCCTTCACCTCGTGTGCTCCTCCTTGAGCGTCCGGTAGTTGGTCTTGTGGTGCTCGCAGCGCATGCGCTCGTCCATCAGCATCTTCTGCATCTCCGTCTCGGGGCATAGCAGTGAGGAGGCGCCGAGCCCCAGCAGCTCGGCCGGCATCAGCGGCGTCACACGCGGCACGAAGTCGACTCCGGCTCCAGGCAGCTCCGTGGGTAGCGACGATTCCATGCCGGAGAGAGGAGCGGACGTCAGGCCAGGGTGGGGGGGGGGTTGTTCTTCCCCTTCGCTCTTGAAACTGAAACGATGAAACAATGCGTGTTTTATTACGGGGTTTGCCGCGTGTTGTCCGGACACCGATGTCCCGACGTTTCGTTCAACGTGCCGGGAGGCACTTTAGTTGGCAAGTCTCAAAAAGGCGAGCTTCACACACCGTGGAGATGGAGCGATGAAGCCAGCTCATACCCAATGAACTACGTGGATTGTTGCATTGCAACAGGTGGCGAAGGCGTGGGGAGGCCTTTATCCGGCAGTGGATTGCCTCGTAATTTTTATTGTGATTTTTGGCAGATCGCTCTCGTAAAATGTGTGTGTCGGTACACCCTCCTCCACCCGACACAGCCAATCAATGAAAACATAAACCAAACAAAATTGACATTAGATCGTGGTTTCGGGTGAGCCTCATCCGTTTACGTTTAAAACGAAAGCACGATAAGGACACCCTCTATTACAAATATTACGTACAAAGCAACAGCACAAAGTTAATACGAGTTACCAGCGTGGTGAAGTATGGTCAAACGTCGGTGGCGTGAGGGAAGGCCTTCATCCAGACGCCTCGCTACTTTTAAAGCAATAACTCAACGAGCGTGACCTATGGACAACCGTAGCTTGTGATCAATATTTACAAAACACACCATTTGGTTGATAAACAATAATAAACAAAGATAAACAATGATAAACAAAGATAAACAATGATAAACAAAGATAAACAATGATAAACAAAGATAAACAAAAATAAACAATGATAAACAAAAATAAACAATGATAAACAAAAATAAACAATGATAAACAATGATAAACAATTATAAACGATGATAAACAATGATGCGACCACAAACTTCCGCCCATTTAAACCCAACCGCCGCGCGTCTAGAGTCAGAGTGGTCGGTGCGGATCGATTCCGCGCGCGTATTGTGCCGGTCGCAGAATCTACACTTAAGTCGAGATGAATGCAAATGTTACCAGCGTTTAGGATAGTTCCACAAACCAGAGAGAGAGAGAGAACAGAACGATACGTTTAAAAAAATCCCCAAAACGAGATCGATAACGCCAAGGGGAAGCGAGGTTAAACGAAATAATCGATGGAGTCGAATCGATCGTGATAGAGAAAAAAATCGAATCGGACGCGGTGGTGGTGGTGGCGGCGGCTCAATCGCTCCACAAGCCGCGAACTCGCCAACAAATCGCCTCACGAAATGAAAGAGTCAACGAGGTCGAGGGATCTTGTTTGCTCTGATCGTGCGTGGCTCCCAACTTCGCTAACGTGAGCGGCGGACGATCGATCGCTGCTTGTGAGTGTCGAAGTGTTGCGCTCACCCGGGGGTTGAGTTTGCCGCTTTTGGCGGGAGCGGTGGCGCCTTCGGGAGGAGGCTGGAGGCGGAGGAGGCTGGAGGCGGTGGCGGAGGCGGCCGCGAGAGGCACCGTAACGACGGACGCGCCGAGCACGCGACGCCGGCGTGACGTCACGACGCACGTTTTAAACCCGTTGAAAAATGTAGCGTGACGTCACGACGTAGGATACCCGTGCCTCGGTTCCAACAGCGCGATGTCGTCACGGCGCATTCACCCCCCCCCAATCCCTCGAAAAAATGTAACCCTTAATGTGACGTCATGACGTACGGATTTATGCCCGTTTCTCAATGCGACCAGACGTCATGACGCCATTTGACGTCCGACGTAGGTTTGTTACGTCAAAAGCGCGGTTAACACGCGATGACGTCATGTCGTACTATTAATTTAGTGACGCAACATGAAGCGTTCGTCAATGACCGTTGGCCTTAAAAAAAAACAGATAACAGGCGACGTTTCGGACAATAACACTTCTTCACAGCACAGAGCCCAAAAAGAAAAAAAAGTGTTAATATACCAACGCGGTTTAGGCTCCATAATTCCAAGTCTATTAGATGGGGTTTTTTACCGTCTGTCAACGCCTTATTAGAGACCAATGCAGACCTCATCGGTCACCCCGTGCCCCTGATAAATCTCAACGTTCATCCTACAAAGCCCCATCATCACAAGGGAGAAGAAACACAAAGACACAATTTTGCCCGTATTGAAACGGCTGTACGCCGTCTGGACCCGAAAGAACCAATAATAATAATACGGGCTATTAGGGGCCGTCCATAAATGACGTCACGCACCTGGGGGAGGGGTCAGACATTTGTGACGATATGTGACGAGGGGGGAGGGGTTTGAGAAATACGACGTCACATCAAAATGCGCAACTTTAAATAAATATAGACAACACGTTCTACTTAATTAGACTTTTTAATACATGTTTTCTCCTACATCAGAGTGCAGCGGCACATGAAATACGCACTACAATGACAATCGTTTTTATTTTTTTTATTTAAAGCTTTCGTGACTGCAGGGATTCATATTCTTGGTTCTTTCGGTAAAGTCACGTAGAAGGGAAACGTAGACAATATGACTGCCTCTTCAGCTGCCACTATGTCGACCAAATGTAAGGATAACCTGATTTCCAAATTTAACCTCTCAAACAAAAGACCGGACCCACACACCAAAAAGCTAGACGTTAACAAAGTCGTAATTAATCGCAGTAACAGTTCTATTTCCGATGGTCTGAAATCCGTTTTAGCTAAAGGGCTAAATTTTGCAGTCACACCTAAACACATACCAGTTAATGATATCATTGCCCAAGTAGACGTGGCTCTCAAGGGCCTGGGTCACATCGCTGCAGACGTAGCAAGATCTGAAATCGCTGCAACCCTCAAAAACGCTAAGATGCCAGCTAGCAACCTCAGCAAAGATTAGCGTTTTGAATTATATAAATTTAAAAAGAGAGATGACATTGTAATCCTCTCAGCCGACAAGGGCAATTCCCCTGTCATCATGGATAAAATAGAATATAACAACAAAATTCAAGAATTACTCAACGATGGCAGCTATACAAAAATAAAAAGAGATCCCACCAACAGCCTCGTCATAAAAACCAACAAAATCATTTCTGATTCAACCACATTAATTGATCAAACCAAACAGTTCTCGTTGAAACCTTCTGCTGCCAGGCCACCAAGATTATACGGCTTACCAAAAATACATAAAGTAGATACACCCGCTTCGTCCCATCGTCTCTACTATCAACTCCCCCACCTACAAACTGGCTCGTTTTTTGTCTGAAATCCTGTGGCCTTTCACTGGAAAACCAACTCTGCGGTACAAAATTCTACTAACCTGGTATCGACAATCAAGGGTATTTCCCTGTCCCCAGACGACCTGCTTGTCAGTTTTGATGTAGTTTCCTTATTCACCAAAGTTCCTGTACCTGACACCATCACAACCATTGAAGACTTGGTTCATCAAGGACTAAACACTGAGGTACCCCCCCTGGTAAGACACTGCTTAACCAATGCATACTTCACTTGGAATGGAACTTTCTACAAACAGAGGGCACCCCAATGGGCTCCCCTCTATCTCCGCTTGTAGGCAACATTGTCATGGATAAATTTGAGACTGACGCTATCCAGACTGCCACTCTGCGCCCAACCTTATGGAAGAGGTACGTGGATGACACTTTTGTCATCTGGCCACATGGCCGGCCTGCTCTAGACCAATTCTTCGACCACATTAATTCCATACACCCAGCCATCACATTTACCATGGAAGTCGAAAAAGATGGCAAGCTACCTTTTTTGGATGTCTTAATAAAAAAGAGACCTGATGGTTCAATGAGCCACTCTGTCTACAGGAAAGCTACCCATACGGATGTTTACCTGAAACCGGATTTCCACCACCGTCCATCCCAGAAGAATTCCCTCATCAAGACTCTGCACCATAGAGCCCAATGCATATCCGACCAGGAACATATAGCCAGTGAACTCAAGCATGTACACCAAGCTTTTAAGGCTAAAGGTTATTCCGACTACACAATCCGCAAAGCTATCACTCCAACCATGAAGAAGGACCCTCTTGAGGAGCCTTTCAAAACCATCACTTTACCCTACATTGCGGGGATCACAAAAAAGATCTCCAAAATCTTGAATAAACACAAGATCCAGGTTCGATTCAACACATTACATAAAATCCGTGATCTGGTTCCGTCTGTAAAAGATGTGATTCCGGACATACCCTGGCGTCTACAAACTAAGTTGCCTCTGTGGTAGTAGTTACATTGGAGAAACCAAACGCCATGTCTCGGACCGCATTCGTGAACACAAAGCAGACCTAAAACACGGTGGGACCAACACCTCGGCCGTGGCAGATCACTGTTATAATTCAGTAGGTTCACATGACATTGACTTCTCCAAGACAGAGGTTCTTTGCAAGCCATCTGGCTACCATGAGAGATTCGTTCATGAGGCTATCCACATATACAAACACAGAGACAATTTCAACCGAGAAGATAGATTCTGGCTTAGCAATCATTGGAAGGATTTGATCAATCATTTCGGGTCTTAATTGATTGTTCACGCTTAAGGTGGCTTTCAGACCGCACCCATTATTTTTCGTCACTCCCCTCCTCTTTTCAGAACATAGATGGACTCGTCCATCTGAAGAAACTGTCAAATCTCTCTCCGTGGTGCTAACGTTAAAAATAACCACTTTTTAAAATTTTCTTGCTGTGATTTTCATACCTGATGATGATTGCTTCTGTTGCAGTCGAAACGTCGTGAGAATTTTATTGTTTTATATTTTTATTATTTTGTTTCCCTTCTAGGTGACTTTACCGAAAGAACCAAGAAAATGACAATAGTTTAAAGCGATTTGAAGCATGTTTTATTTTTTTTGGGGGGGGCAGAGCTTTGTGACGTCATATTTGAGGAGGGGGGTCTGACTTTTTGTGGCGCCGTGTGACGAAGGGGGGGGGGGGTCAAAAATCGTCCAAAATCGCGTGACGTCATTTATGGACGGCCCCTTAACTGTATGGGTTGACAGCTAGGACTGTGCCCATCACCTTTGACATCGGGTCTCCTTTCTCCATTAACGGCTCGTACAACATCTGTCAAACTCCCAGGCACCTGCTCAGCTGCTTAGCAGCTAAACCGAGGGAATCGCTGGAGCGTCCATAAACTCAACCTGTGCGGACCAATACACGGCTGTGATCGATAATTACAAGAGGCTTTCTCCTGGTATACTCCATGGGGTTTCCTCACGCGTGCAAAACATTGTTTAAAATGGAACGAGCCAAACATCCCCAGGGCAGGACCCTCCTGAAAGAGCGTTTGACTCGAGCGCTCGTTGAGAATTTCCTAACTAAACTAGTTCCGTCGACGTAAATGTTATAGTAAAACCTTGGATTGCGAGCATTTGTAATCCAAAGCACTTGTATATCAAAGCACTCGTACATCAATTGTGATCACATGACGCTCGGCAGACAAAGCGTATACGTACTACTCGTATTGCAAGACATCGCTCGTTTATCAAATAAATATTTATTTTAAAATTTTGCTCGTCTTGCAAAACACTCGCAGACCAAGTTACTCGCAATCCAAGGTTTTTCTGTATTTTATTTTGTTGTGTGTGAGGGGGGGGGGGGGGGGCATCAACAGTAAAATAACTGCATGGTAGCAATAGATAGATGCATGCATGTGTAGTGACGCACTCAGAGACACCAGGGGAAGGAGGAAGCACTCTATTTAAGCCTACACAGGTTACAAGGGATAACTACCGACTCTGTCAGGACAGCTGGCAGACTGCCTGAATAGAGAACGCCGAGGTGAAGACGTTGACGAAGACTCCAGCAATCCGACGGGATTCCACTCCAAGCAACAGCCCCGAGCCTCCGTTCGGGGTCCGCTTTTATCCTCCCGGCGTGGCCTCGCTCCGCCCCGGCCACGTCCCCCTTCTAGAACCTCCTCGCGGGTTCCCGGGCTTCCCTCACGTGCCCCCTCTATCACCTTTCCCCTACATCAGGGGTGGGGCACCTTTTTTCTGCCAAGGGCCATTTGGATATTTATAACATTATTCGCGGGCCATACAAAATTATCAACTTAAAAATTAGCCTGTTATTTTTGGTCAAACATTTAATTAACTCACCCCTAATGTGATGGCTGTAACTGCTTCTCTTTGGTGAGGCGTGTGATATTAGCTGGTTGGAAGGATGTCATTAACCAGGTAAAACCTTAACCAGTTTCTTCAGCCTCCCACTCCCAGCCCCACCCACTTCCCCCCCACCCCCTGCTCATCCTCTAAACGCTCTCGCAGCACTCCACTTCCCCTACCCCACACCCCCCTATCTCTCCTCCCTTGCTCCTTCCCCCCTCTATAACCTATATGGCCTCTTGTCATGGCAGCCCTTTTGCCCACTTCAGCAATTGTTTCTTGCTGTGGTTGTCCCACCTGATGACGGACGCTTGTGTTGCACCCGAAATGTCGTTATTTAATTTATTTTATACCTACGTGGCTTTATCGAAAGAACCAAAGGTTATTGACGATGTTGCTACTCGCAACTGCTTTTCCAGGTTTGCTCCTAGATTTATTGAATTTCGAGTCCCGCTTGCAGTTGACTTGGCAGGGCCACACCAAATGATTTTGCAGGCCTCATACGGCCCGCGGGCCAGACGTTCCCCACCCCTGCCCTCCATCTCTCTCTGGCTTATCACGTGACCTTCAGACAGGGCTGCTGCAACTGCAGATCCCCTTCTCTGCCAGCAACCCACGCTATGCTTACGTAGTGACCCATTCCATGTCACTACACGTGGAATTACACTTGAGAAGATGGAAAGAGGCACACACGGATTCGAGAACGCATGTAAAGGTTAATGACATTGGAACTATTTTCAGTGGGTTTGTACAAGGACACGCCACGAGGTTTCAAATTAGTGCCAGCCAAAAACCCAAAACAGTCCACTAAGACATCCATTGAGATGGATGTCTTTACATCCCCATATGGCGGCAGCTTGGATGGCAGCATCCATCATCTAGCAGTGGGTTGACCCAAGCCCTACAATTAGAAATGAAAGCATCATTACAGTTCCATCTTCCACCATCTTTATTCATTTCCACCCTCCCCCACCCTTGCCCCAACACTCAGATCCATTATACCGTCCCGTCGGCCACCACAAACACTTTAAACATGGCACTCTCATTAGTGTCAATACAAACACACGTTTCGTAAAATGCCACCACAAATAAGCAATTCAAGCTCTGTATTAGCCACCCATTGGTGTTTGTTCAGCCAGCAACTCGAGCGATGACACAATAAGACAATCATTTTAAATGTACAGCACACTTAGCGCATGGCATTAAGACCCGCCAAAAAGGTGTAAAGCATTGGGAGGGGCAGCTCTCACCCCCGTGCCAAGTCACACTTCCCTGTACAGGTTCCCTTCGCTTTACGCGGGTTCGGTTTGTGCGATTTCACATATATGCGGCTAACCTACTTCTACGCAAAATTTGGTGTGCGGTTTTATTTCATTTGCATGCGGCTATGCCAGAAGTCGGCAACCTACAGCTCCAGAGCCGTATGCGGCTCATTTAAGGACTTGTTTCGTTACGTTAAGGGCCATCTTTTATTCACGTGCATTGTGGCTTTTGAATTACAGGGACTCTACTTATATTCGACTTACGAACTTTCAGAGATATGAACAAACCTGTCCGTATGTCCAGTTGCCTGTTCGGACCGAGAGTCGTAAGTTCAACAGCCGCGCAATAGATGGCGGTGGTTGCATCTACATCTGCAGAACATGAAGAACCAGTGGCATCTACATCTACAGGAGATGATACAACTTTTAAAGCCATTCCCTATGTTTAGTGTACATGCGGTACAACATGTTTGGAATCTACAGGAGTAAAGTTGGACTTACGAACAAAAAGACTTATGAACAGACCTGGAACCTAACTCGTTCTTAAGTAGAGTCCCTGTATTGTTTTTTTACCGATTTAAAAAAAAAAAGTCTCTTGTTTTAGTTACCGACCCCTGGGCTATGCAGTCGGACGTGGGACGTTGCTTGTGTACTGTGTGCAGCAATTCGTCAGGCAGCCGTCTCGTGCGGTTTTGCTTAGTGCGCCCCTTTTTTGGAATGCATCTACTACCGCAAAAAACGAGGGAAACCTGAATTAGTTGCGGTGTGCTACGAAACGTACAAGTACAGGCCATAGTGCACGAACGCAATATTAAAAAAAATCTGCAAAAAGATGCTTAAGGGCACATATTGCACGCACAAACGGTGCAATTGTAAAGTGGATTATTTGTTCGACAGCATTAATCAGACAGCATTGCAATTACAAGTTTGGTCATACTCGGGACTTCCATGTAGAGTTAAGTACCGTTTGAAGTTTCAATATTCCGTATACACACTGCACGTTTGCATTTTCACATTTCAAAAAAGTGCAAGCATATACTCACTGACCAGTAAACACATGAAGAAAAAAATACCTTTTCCGAATTTCAGCTCTCATCAAAATAAGCTAAATGCGAATTGTGTGCCTTCAAAAATACTGACATTTTTACAACCATGTGCTTTCCTTATTAGCAGTTCACACACACAACACTATTACACCATCAAGTGTGCTTGCTCCAAGGGCTTTCGAAAAGGCGAGATGCCCATTAATAGCATTTAATCGTGTTAAGCCGCAGGGATAGTGCACAGAGGAAGGCGTTCACGTTGGAGGTGGGGGGGGGGGTGTGAAAAGGAGATTCCAAAAGTCACTTAGCATCAGCAAAATGGAAACGCGTACCTGCTGCATGCGACATACCATCGCCACGGAACTAGTGGACGGACAAACTGTGACGAGAACCGAAATATTTAGGAGGTAACACCGACTTCACACGTGCAAGTTGTCAAACACTTCCCAGCAGGTTTTTTTTCGTAACCCACCGTTCAACCTTTCTAACACCGTTAATTGCTTACGTTTCCGTCTTGCTGGCAATTCGCTCAACATTTAAAAACGCGTACCTTCAAGTTAATATGCTCACCGACACTTAAGTTGTAAACTACTATGGACTACATCCTCCTGCATATGCAATTTCCCAGGACTTTTCAATATAAAACGCACCAAAAAATAATTCGGCATTTTGTACTGCCGTTCGAATTTTGTCATCGCCACCCTAACAGTCTGCGCATGCCAATGGAATGTCTTTTAACGTAAAATGCGATAGGCATTTTTGGACACTGCATAGCGACTTTAGCAAAATGGAACAAGACCTGCAGCAAGAAATTATTTAGATGTTTTGTAAACTTCAAGGGGCGGCCTGTTGCTGCTGCAAAGAAAGCCAGTCGTGAGGGCGCGACTGTTGCAAAGCTGAAAATAATAGGGCCAACCTTGTTATCCTAAGGCAATCATACAGCCAGGATCTCTACAGCAAGAGTAGGACCTAAACGTTGAATCAATACAGCACAGGTCAATGCACAGTGTACACAGAAAATTACACTTAATTCAGGAGGCCTGTGTGGTTCTTCATGCAGCAGCACAGTGTACAGTAACGCTGCAAAAAAACACTGACTTTCAACGCAACAACGACAGACCAAATGTCGCAATTCCCCGTGAAGTGTCCAATACGGACGGACGTCCAGCAGCTTGGGACATCACACAAGGACACAAACGGAATTTTTGTTTGAGTTTTGGCAGGACATGATGCCATTTGGCAAGAATTGAGAAGAAAAAAACCACAAGGAAATATTGGCAGAATGGCAGCTTTCTAGTTTCGTCGAGACTTGGAATGTTGAATGAGCCACTGGAGGGTAATATCTGCAAACACAACAAAAAACAATACATATTTATCAGGGATAAGTAAAATTAAAACGAGGTTTCACGACAAAGCAAAAGCCGCCATTTGTAGCCCAGCCGCTGAAAAAATAAAACCCCAACGCACTTCGCCAATCGGCGTCTATCCCACCGTGAGCTCATGTGTGCGTCAGTGGTGATGAACGTGTGCTATTTAGCAAGCAAGAAAGAAAGACCAAGGGCCTGTAATTGGAAACAAAAATCGATGCCCTGCAAATCTCGCGCAATAAATCAGTGACGCGCTGACTGAAGGGGTGGGAAAAACAACTTATCAAAAGAGCAAATGAATCGATGGTGACATCACTCACCTATGTTGTCCTTCTCTTTGCAGGAAATGGAGTAGCAGCAGATCTCTCTATCCTGAATGGCACACAGATTCCTGCAAGCGAAGGCAGTCGAGTTAGTGTCATTACTTCTAAACCGAGGAGACTGGCGAAACGGGCATGACTAGGACAAAGCCCATAGTTTATTACTGTACAAGTTCCATATTTCAATCTTACATTTTATCAATCAGCTGTTTTTCATCCAGAGCATTTGGAAGGTCCTTCTTGTTTCCGAGAACCAGCACCTGTAACAGAAAACCCTTTTATGAACACGACTACTCCAAGGTAAAGGTAACCGCACCGAGCCTTCGGGAGACAAATGCAATTAGAATATCCTATACATTTACGCCTGTGAAGCAATCACCCAGAATGCGCCCGATCTTGTTACACCTTAGAAGCAGCCAAGCAGGATTGAGCTTGGATAGCGCTAGGATTGGCAACCACCGTGGCAGCTGTTGCATGATTTATGAGTTGTCTAAACGAAACTGAAACTAATTTTATTTTACCAGGTCAGGCCCATCAAGCTATATAGCTCTTTTTCAGAAGCGACCTGGCCACAAATTATAGCTCAACGAAGAGGCTTATCATGTGGAAATTTATAGCAGTCAAATACTCTAAATGCATAGAAGGAAAAATCGGACCTGGAGAAAAATGCACGCAACCACTAGGAGAAAGACAAAGACCAAATATACAGCATGCGTCAGGGTCAGCATCGCACACACGACCTGCTATATACCAGGCGAGGTAGTTAACATCTCACCACCATGGCATGCTCATTCTTACCGGGATGCCATGCAGCTGGGGTTTCTCCAGGAGATTGTTAAGCTCATTCCTTGAAGCTTCCACTTTATCAGGGTCCGCCGCATCCACCATGTACCTGTGGACGGCACGAGACAGACACCGCAGTGTCGGCACTCGCGAGCGTCGGCAGTAAATCCGCCGTCATAAACGTCAATGCCCGCAGATCAACCGGCGTAGATCATGTTGAAAGTCATGTTCGTGACGCGACTCGCATGTCTACCCAGTGCTATCCTCCGGCGCGTGCGCGCACACGCTGTCTCTCGTTTCGCAATGATGAAAACAAAACGAAAAATGTTAGAATATTGCATTTGTATTCACGTAAATAAATCTAAATGATGAAAAATGGATATTCGAGCTTTGATTTAAAATCTGGAACATGATCGCTTGGCAATATTAAGCTTCAAATGTATTATTCAAGGTTCATAGGTGTGGCTGATGAAACCTTTCTTACACCACACCCCCCGCATCTCTGTCCATCCCGCAATACATATGGGATACACCACGTATTCGATCTGCAGGTTGTGCGTGATGGGGGAAAAGTGTGGACGCCCACACCTCTTCCAACACGTCTGGCCAGCGCAGAAGAGTAGGTCAGAGATAAGTGTTGGGATACGCTCTCTCTTAGAGAGCTCCTTATGGAACAAGCAATTGTCTGGCATGCACCTTTAACCTTTGAGTACATTTTTAAATGAGTGTAAACCAGGTCTGTTGGATCTTACACGATGGCGTTTACTCCACGGCAATACCGCTCCCACATGCTCCGGAACCGGGGCTGTCCTCCAATGTCCCAAATCTGCACAAATTATAAACACTGTAATTGTCGCAGACGTGGTGGTGGTAACTGCTTTTACAGACACTTCATGCTTTACCAGACAATTACCATAATTGGTAAACACACAACATTATTAGTTCAGTGGTTATTGATAAGGAAATATAAAGTCGGTTCAATAACTAAACAGGGCAGAGCGGTGACGCAGTGCACTGTGAACCCGATGATCTGAGCTCTATTCCCCGTCAGTGTTAACATCAGTGAACTTTTTCTTTGGTTCTTTTGGTAAAGTCACGTAGAATGAGAATAAAATAAGACAATAAAATTCTCACGACGCTTCGGCCACAACACAAGTAACTTTGGCAAGTGATATATAAACCGGTCCAGGACCCCCCCCCCCCATCCTTCACCAACCGACACTGACCAGTGTGGTGAGGTATGGTCAAACAACCCCGATGACTAACATGGCGTGGACAGTAGTACAATGGGATGAATAAACCTACACAATGCAGCTCTGATGTAGTTATCAAGTCCACTGCCGGGAATACCATAAACAGTTGCAAAACTCATGTTGATGGATTAGCTTTGAAATGAAAGACTTCATTAAAACTTAGGCCAGTACTGTAGCATATTTGGCCCCGGCCCTGGTGCAAGAAATGAAATGGAGTCCTCTGACAAAATTTCCCCCATTTCTCTTAAATAATATTTACTTATATTCTTAGTTTTTTCGGTAAAGTCACGTTGAAGAGAAACAACAAAATAATAATAAAAAACCATCACTTTACCCTACATTGCTGGGATCACAAAAAAGATCTCCAAAATCTTGAATAAACACAAGATCCAGGTCCGTTTCAACACATTACATAAAATCCGTGATCTGGTTCCGTCTGTAAAAGATGTGATTCCGGACATACAATACCCTGGTGTCTACAAACTAAGTTGCCTCTGTGGTAGTAGTTACATTGGAGAAACCAAACGCCATGTCTCGGACCGCATTCGTGAACACAAAGCAGACCTTAAACACGGTAGGACCAACACCTCGGCCGTGGCAGATCATTGTTCTAATTCAGTAGGCTCACATGCCATTGACTTTTCCAAGACAGAGGTTCTTTGTAAACCATCTGGCTTCCATGAGAGATTCGTTCATGAGGCTATCCACATATACAAGCACAGAGACAATTTCAACCGAGAAGATGGATTCTATCTTAGCAATCATTGGAAAGATTTGATAAACCATTTCAGGTCTTAATTGATTGTTCACGCTTACAGTGGCTTTCAGACAGCATACATTATAAAAAATTTCGTCTCCCCCCTCCTCTTTTCAGAATATAGATGGACTAGTCCTAAATAAACTGCCAAATCGTTGCGCGTGGCACTAACGTTTTTTATAAATAAATAAATGCGCCGTTTAAAAAAAATAAATTTATGTGAACCAACACACCTGAAGACGACCGTTTGAGTTATGGTCGAAACGTCGTGAGAATTTTTTATTGTTTTATATATATTTTATTATTTTGTTGTTTCTCTTCAACGTGACTTTACCGAAAAAACTAAGAATATGAATTACTGCAGTCACGAAAGCTTTAAATCAAAATTTAATATTTACTTATTTAGACTGGAGGAATCTGACGAGCTATGAAGCTTTTTCCACACATGTCCAGCGTAACCTGACAGCTAGGCCCCTCCAAGACGTGGGCCTTGGTGCAGTTGCACCGCCTGTGCACACAATAGCACTGCCACTCAGGTTAGCATTGGCTCAGAATTTAAATGTGACCCCTCGAGTTAAACCGCACGAAAAAAGAAATGTAGTGGCACAAGCAATCGATGTACAAATAGAAAGTTAGTTCTCATTCGCTCAAGCTCTTATTTTAGTGGACATGGCCAAAATTCCCTGAATGAATCTATTCAACATAGCTGGTTTTGTTTACATGTTCAAGATCAGCCTTAGCTCTGGTTTAGTCTGTTGACTTCGAATTTATTTTACAAATGTTTAATCAGTCACCAGCTGGGAAACAAAAAGGGGGCAAAACAGCAGGACTGTGCTCATCAATTGGAACTAGAATGAGGCTAGTTTATGTAAAATGTGGTAAACATTAACAAGCAGACGGTTTCAGCCCGGTGAAGAATGACTGCGCAAAAACTCGCCACATTAAAATTTGGTGCTGCACTTGATTTGTCTAAATTCCAGCACTGAGATTTAAACTCTCGATTTGCCCTTCATGCCACAACCATTCCTCTCATGTGGCAGTGGAAGGGGCAAATGCTACCATCTCTAATGTGTGGGCCTGATGTGACGTGAAAGGATCCAGGGGTAGTTCTGTGAAATCTATTTCTGTGGCCTGCTCTCTTTATCTCGTGTAAAACCACCATTTGTGCTGCTCTGCAAGACATCCGAAGAAGGCATTCCTTTGTTTCAGGAGGTGACAACAGTGCACAATTGGGATAACAAAATATGGGGAAAGTACAGAAAAAAACCCAATATATTTATAATTTTCAAACGGAATATGTACCTTGATGGTTACATTGCCTTTTGATATTTTCCGCATGTTGAAGCCCACAGTTGGAATCATATCTTCGTTGAACTGGCCGGACTGCAAAACCAACAAAACCAACACAAACAAGCACTCATCTACGAATTATTTAAATCCCCTTTGAAAAGGAAAACCCTCGAGGGTTCAAGCGACATGTATTTTACACGGGAAACCTGGACTAACACAAAGAAACGGAGGCATGAAAAGATATGATAAACGTTCACCTGCTGCAATGTAACACATTAATCAGCACGGTTGGCTACGTACGGCGCGCAAGAAGCTCAACATACATCCGTGCGTACGATCATACATGTTAAACTAGCGGTAGCATTGTAAGGAGCGGAACACATTGCTACAAATGCGGCTTCGTATAAACTCCTACAAGCCTTCTGCGCTTATTATGGGTGCATTCTGGGAGATAAGGCGACTACCATGGCAGTGGTGGCCTCATCATGAATAACAAAATGACTCAATACACATTCGACAATAACGCACTGCCCTGAAAGGTAAAACAAATATGATGCTGACGTTTCGGGTAACGACCCCTTGAAGGGCAGGCAGGTGCTATTTACGGACTAACCGTGTTGAGATGAAGTGTTTAGGGGAGAAGTATATGGGGAGCGGTAGCGTACGGCCAACACTAGCGATAGCGATTATCTGAACCGGTCCTGGGCCTCCCCTAGGTCGACTCGGCCTCAAAGGAGTGCGTAAAAACATCGTCACTGGGGGGTGCCGTAGTGCCGGCCTTCACCGGGTGCTGCTCGCCAACAGCACTTGCCCCTACAGCTGTTGCAGGCTGCACGGGGGACCTTTGTCTTTGAAGGGTGTGGCGCCTAGCGAGGAGGGTGGCGCTTTGGCAGCACCGCAGATAAGCGGGATTTAAAAAAAACACACATTTTATCGGACAAAATGAGCCCGGGGGTGGTTGGGTGGGTCATTAATTTTTTTTTTGTATATAAACACACGGGCACGAGCGAGTGGTGGAAATGTCACGTTAGTGTGGCGAGGGCAAGTACATCCAATGCGGGCGAGTTGCGCAGTGGTGATCGCGCGCACGGGCAGCAGCAGCAGGTTTAAGATGCCGAAATGTCCCAGATTGTTGGGGCGTGTTAACGAGCCGACCTATCATCTCTCTCAGAGGCGGATAAATCGAGTACCGTCCTTTGCGACGTTTATTCCTTTTTTTGAAGGAAAGAAAGAAAAACAATTTCACCTCCACCCATTGTTTCGCTTTCCGCAAATACAAACGCCGGGACCGCATCGGCCGCGTTAAAACACAACAATAATAACGTCAAAGCGATACAACACAACAACAATAACGTAACCGCTGCAGTAATGTATTAACCACGCAGTTTTATGTCGAGACGCCTTTCAAAGCGGGCAAAAGTTGTCGCCACAACGCTACACAGTCGAACGATCGAAGCGATTCATTCTCAATTTTTTTTTAACGCGACAACCAAGGGCGAACGGTGATAACATTTTGTTTTAAAATAAATAAATGCGTGTTAGTTTATACGTGGGGCCTACCCAGGAGAGGGCTCGCCTCGCAGACGCGCACTGAGTGGGCAGCTTTACCGCAATAACGTTGACGAACGTCGTCTTTCCCGAATACTGGAGCCCCACCAGCGTGAGCTCCATCTCCTCCTTCCAGAAGAGGGCCTTAAACCAGTCCAGCAGTCTGTTGATGAGCGCCAACATCTTTCAACAGCTTCAATCCGCTCACCTCCTCCTCCTACTCCTGCCCACCCGCCCCCCGGCCCAAAGAACGCGATTTAGAGCCGCTTTTTGCGCTGTCCCCGGGCACACGGCTGATGTGGTGGTGGTGGTGCTGGGTCGGTCGTGGTTGCTTGTGATGCTGATGGTAGTGGTGAGATCTAAGAATCGCACGGTGCATTCCCCCACTGCAGATAAGGGCGTGTGGGCGTGTGGCCGCGTGGGTGCTGAGACCCCCCCTCTTACCCCTCCCCCGCTATGCTAATCACGTGTGCCGGTTCCAAACTCGCGTGTCCGTGACGTCACGCGTCGCAGCAATGACGCCGGGAGAGGGCAGACGGTGGTGGGGTGGTGGTGGGGGGTGGGGGGTGGCGGGATGGTGGTGGGGGGTGGTAGGGGGTGGGATGGTGGTGGGGGGTCGTGGGGGGTGGGATGGTGGTGGGGGGGGTGGGATGGTGGTGGGGGGTGGTGGGATGGTGGTGGGATGGTGGTGGGTGGGATGGTGGTGGGGGGTGGTGGGGAGTGGGATGGTGGTGGGGGGTGGTGGGGGGTGGTGGGGGGTGGGATGGTGGTGGGGGGTCGTGGGGGGTGGGATGGTGGTGGGGGGTCGTGGGGGGTGGGGGGTGGTGGGGGGTGGGATGGTGGTGGGGGGTCGTGGGGGTGGGGGTGGTGGGGGGTGGGATGGTGGTGGGGGGTCGTGGGGGGTGGCTGTAAACGATGGGACGATTCGATTTGTCGATGTCGCAGGGTTGGTCCAGATGTCTTGCGACCCTCATTTAATTCTCTAAAACAGTTTCTTTTGTATAGTAAGGTTGATTTAAAACAGAGATGAATATACTAATGGGGAGGGGGAAATGTTAGGGGTCAATTAATTGGCGGTCACAAGACATCTGAACCGCCCTGTATATATTTGACCATACATGCGTCGTGCATCCACCAGTGTTGTGTGTGCATGTCAGACTCGATCATTTACGACGTATGGAATTTTATATACAGTACTGCATATATTTTTGGTGGAATCAATGTCTCTGGCCATGATGACATGTTGATCGTGTTTATTTGTTTTATTCCAAATCACGTTCACCAACTGACCTGACCCATCTTGCGATACAGTATATCACAAGGCTTGCCACTTTGTAACTTGCTGACTGGCCCATACTGCGCATCTGTGAAAAAGAGCTCCTTCACGCATCGGATTCTTCCAGTCTAAGTCAAGATTCTGATTCGGAGAAGTGCGCCAATGGTCCAGTGTAGCAAGCGGCTGATGTGATATTTTTTGCGTGGGTTTCTCAAACCATCTTCAATTGTGCCATTGTGTGTCCGCGTACACGTGCAATACGTATATTTGTTATCAGTCACCGGTCGAATGGTTTTCCAAAGTAATTTTGTTGAACAGAAGTATTGGTTAAAAATAAAACATAAGTTCAGATGTTATTCGCCACTGATGTTAATCGTGAGTAATTTTTTTCAGGTCGCTGGGTTTATACTTGTTATCCTCACTGCTGCAGACTGAATCTTAATAACTTCGTTTGGTTAACGTTCAAGCGGTCGCACTGCGAAAGAGGTCCTACAGCGCCCTCTAGGGGTAACCAGGCATACGAATGCTGTGAAAGTGGCATTGTCTTTGTGCTGTTCGCTTTTCGGCGTCCTCTGGTCTCACACTGTTTGAGGCTAGGCTCTAAAGAAAGCTGTCTCTGGTGTGGACTAATCAAAGACAATGCCATTTTTTGTTTGCATGTTCACCACAGGTATATTTGGTTAATGCAGACGTGATTTTTTGCGAAAGGTTTCTGTTTGGTGTTTTAACATATTAACAGAACTGTTTTATGGCCAGAAAGGGTAAAACCTATTATTATATTTTGATACTGGCAAGGGAGGTCCCATGATTAAACAAGGCTGTCGTTAGCGAGCGCCTGTGTCAGTGTTCTTCATAGCAAGGCCCGTGGGCCACTGAAGGCCCCTGGTGGCCTTTAATGTGGCCCTGAACGTGCGGCCCCTGACAATACACAAAGAGTGAAAACACCCCCCATCATCATCATCATCGTGCTGCTGTCACACCCAACAATGGTTTCAAATGTGTGGCAGCCCTCACACTGATGATGTCTTATCGGCGAAAGTCCCCCCCCCCCCTCTAAAAATGAGTGAAGAACGCTGGCCTACATGAAGGCCAACACGACACACGAGGGTGTGGCTACTGGCCAGAACCACGCCCCAGCCGCCTTTGTCTCCCACGGTGCCATTGTTTAAGGCTGAGTCGACCTCGGGGAGGTCCAGAACCGGTTCAGGTATTCGTCACTGATATTGAGCACGAGCCGGGAGTAGAATGCGGGTCGCTGGGTTCGTAGCTCAGTGTGCTAACCACTGCGCCACCTCTCCCCAACAAGGCAATATTTACATAGTCATCCATAAGCAAATAACAATTCACCTCCCGATGATTCGATGACATTTCCACGGCTAAATTAAATTATTGACTGTATTGTCGTATTTATGAATTCATAGAAAGGTATATTAACAATATAAATTACACGTCCGTTTCAAAAATTGATTGAATATATTCTATGTATGTGTACGTGTAATAGCCCGTTTGTCAATCCACTGCTGGATGAGGGCCTGGCAACGCTGTGCAAAGTAGTGAGGCTTATTTGGCCATACTTCACCACGCTGGTCAGTCCGGGCTTGTGAAGATCGGGAGGGACTATACCTACAACCCGGTTTGTCAATGCAATGATGGTCAGGGGCTAGATGTCAATGTCGAGGTCTGCTCGCCACGAGAGGGCTTCAGGAGAGCGAGAGTTCGTGGAGTTCTGCTATTCCTCCTCCGTTGAAGGAGCGCAGACCACACTGGGTTACGATACGATCCTCGGTTTGAGTTACATGGCCACAGTCGCACTCACTGCGGTGACTTGTATCTTTAATGTTCCACTCGACGAAGAAGAGCAGTTGCCTGTTGATGTTCCGACGTCTTCGAGGAATGTCAAATCCAGAGGGGGTGGGGGGGGGGGCGTGATGTTTGGCTCTCGGATGAGGCGTTTATCCTGGACGTCTGCGTGTGCTCCACTCTGTTCGCCAGCGACCTTCCGGATCAGGGTGAGATCATAGCTAGGATGGTGGCACAAGGGGGATCGGCGATGCACCTTGTGCAAGCAGTGAGGCCTATATTTGACCATACTTCACCACGCTGGTCAGTGCGAGTTGGCGAAGGATGAGGGTGAAGGGGGGGGGGGTACAGATAGAAGCGTAGAGTTTGCTGCACAGGCCACAACGACTACAGGACCCGGCTCGTGTGCTGGGTGATCACGGGAGATGCATGCATCATTCGCACAATAACCGACGCGTATCGATGAATCATCATCATCACCACAATCGCCGCCTAATCTCTCCGATTGGTACTTTACACGGCGTGAAACTATTCGCGTTTTCCACGAATTATAAGACGCTTCGGATTATTGCAAGACGCACCCACAAACCTGTGGTTCCGCGTCACAATCCTGTGGTCGGCGTTACACACACACACACTTTGCTTTAAAATAGGGGAATAGAGTGCGTCTTATAATACAGAGAATACGGTAGTAATTTTTTTTCGTTTGAACTCCTTGCATATTGTTACATCTCGGAGGTGATAACTAACGCCTCTGACACAGTGACTGTGAACCCTTGGCACCACCCAGCCTCCTTCACTCGATGATTGATGCGCGCTCGGTATAAGTGCTGCTGTGCACTCGTTTTTTTCTCTCATTATTATCAGCTAATCTTAATTTGAAGCTTTCGTGACTGCAGGAATCTATACTTTTTAGTTATTTCGGTAAAGTCACGTAGGTAGAAAAATAAAATAATTATCAGCCAACTTAACAAATTTCCTAATTGTAGTGCGCGATGAAGCATACTTTCATCAGTTCGATCCCGGGCACGTTTCTTCCCTCCCATCGCCACCCCTGCCCCCATCCACTTTAACCAATCAGCACTGACCATGGTGGTGAAGTATGGGTAAACGACAATCTCTTTTACCGGCAGGGCATGGGGAGGCTTTCACCAGGTGATTGACAAAGGGGCTGAACGTTGTTACGGTATTTGAATTGTAAGTATAAAGATGGAGCCCTGAAACTGCTCGATCATTGCATTGCTGGTGGAAGGGCCTCTATTGTAGAGCGAACTCTATTACCCCACGCTGGCGAGACGTGTTGGAAGAGTTGGGAGTGCCCACATTTTACCCCAATACAATCGAATTGCACGAGGTGAAAAATACGTTGCCCACATCTACATTGACGGACATTGCCTTGGAAAACTAGAACAAATACGTACACGATAATGTTTCGGGTAAAAAAAAAACACATGTTTTGGTAGCCATTAAAGTGCGGGTGAACGGTGGTCCAGTTTCCGCAAGTGATTAGCACACTGCTCTATGAACCCGGTAACCTCAGTTCGAATCCCAGCCACGGCTAACGTCAGTGGCTAGTGATATCTGAACTGGCGTTGGATCGCCCTTCCCCCGTACACCAACCCGAACTGACCAGCGTGGTGAAGTTTTGGTTAAATAATCCCCACGACCAACATAGCGTGTCGAGGAGTTTATCCGGCAGTGGATTAGCAAACGGCTGAAATCTGTTAAAGTCTTTGCTAGAATGTATAAATAGTAAAACTAAGTGCTGGTTCGCTTTTATAATTTAAATATTATATTCGTAATTTCCCTGTTGCAACACAAGATACCTACGTTTCGTGTTGTAATCATTTATCAGTAAGCTACCGTCAGTTATACTTTTTCTAAAGTATGTATATGGCTATTTTATAAATAGCATATCAAGTGTCAATTATTGTGTACCCAGGACGGTCCTGCTCCTAATTCCATTGTTCACGATGACATTGTTCCCAATTCCATTGTTCACGATTACATTGTTCCCAATTCCATTGTTCACTATGACATTGTTCCCAATTCAATTGTTCACGATGACATTGTTCCTAATTCTATTGTTCACGATTCCATTGTTCACGATGACATTGTTCCTAATTCCATTGTTCACGATGACATTGTTCCCAATTCCATTGTTCACAATTATATTGTTCCCAATTCCATTGTTCACTATGACATTGTTCCCAATTCAATTGTTCACGATGACATTGTTTTTACATTATGAGACCTCCTTTGCCAGTAACAAGATATAGTAATAGGTTTTACCCTTTAACTGGCACAAAAACTGACACCTTTATTCAAGGCATCATGTTTGCAATAACCACAACACAAGCAGTCA